TATAATTTAAATTTTCATTAAAAAAAAAATTAACACTTCATACACGAAAACAAAATTTTAAATTTATCAGCACCATTGCAACCTCAACCAGGCTCCCTTTCATCATTCTTCCCTTTTATTTCATTTTAACAATTATATTTTATATTTTCTTTTATGGCCTGACCGAAAATACATGGACCATTTACACTATAAACTAGAAAAGGGGGGAACGGGGAAAAAAAATTAAAACAAAAAAAAACAAATCAAACATACCGCAAGTGCCAACCGCAAGAAAACAATTATTTCTCATCTTATAACACATAAAAACGCACACAAAAATAACGTTTTTTATCTCCCTTTTACGATAAGCATTTCACCGTTCATTCCACTTTTTCCTTCAAATTTTATTTATGTAACACAGCCGTAAGTAATACTTTTCCTTCCATACATAAAACATTAGCCAAAATAGGCATGTTTTTTATAACCCCAATTCTCCATTACACAAAAAACATACAAGAAAATGTTTTTATCTCATTCTTCCCCTAAAGTTAAACTTATTTCTTGCCAACAACTGGACTGGCCTACCAATCTTTCCATTTATTACAAACATAAAAAAAATTAACATCAATGACTTTACATTTTATCAATATCTCTCATTAACATCGTGTAATTCAATTTTGAATATATAACATAATAAAATAAAAATGTAAATGGAACATTTAAAGATATTTGATTTTAAACTTTTGTAAAATTATGAAGAATTAAAATAAGAATTGGAAGATTATAATCGTTGTCAATTAAGAAAGGTTAGAATAAAATGATACTAAATCAGACTAATCTCGTTAGAACTAAAATGATACTAAATCAGACTTATATCCTCGATTATATATATTTTTCTATAATATTGGTCAAATCAGAAAAGTTAGAACTAAAATGATACTAAATCTTTATTAAATAATAAGTTAAAATTATAATCAAACTAAATTAATTAAAAATTAAAATAATAAAATTAAAATTAAAAATTATAATTAAGTTCGTAAAATCATCCTCTTCCTCATTATACAAATATCCTCGAATATATATACTTTTCTATAATATTCATTTACATAATGTTTTACAAACAAACTGACAAAAAATCTTTGAATAATCATTCTTTTTTATTCATCTTTCTTTAAATCATTTGCATTCGAAATTTAATTCTTTTTTGTTGAGTAGATTTGAATATCCTTCGGCTTCGTAATTTGGTTTAACAATTACAACAACTTTAAATGTTGATTTTCCTATTTTAAACATGTACGCAAGTGGAGCACTCCAATTCTTAGACGGACGATATACTTACATAATCTCAAAAACCTAATTAACATATTTCATGTATATGTGACACCCACATTAAATTTTTCACTTTCCACAAATAATTTACAATTAATTAAACTAATTTATATCCTCTAGGTGGCGTAAAGTATTTATACATAAAATATCGTTTTCAAAAATTAAGATTGATCAAAAAATTACCACTTTTTATATTTATAATGTTTAATTTAATAATAAATTGGTATTATTTATATAAAGAAAGAAAGAAAGAAAGAAAGAAAGAAAGAAAGAGAAAGAAAGAAAGAAAGAAAGAAAGAAAGAAAGAAAGAAAGAAAGAAAGAAAGAAAGAAAGAGAAAATTCTAAAAGTATATTAATATATTAGAAGAATGTGAATATAAAACCTTGAATCGGCTTCAGGGCTAAGCACCTCCTTAATCACAATTGATCACTTCTATAAAAAAAAATCACGCACTTTAGATCAATGTTCCATTTTTTAAAAGCGGTTGACTCGATATTTTAGCCAGGAAAGTATTTCCTAGGACCTCTAGATTTCGCTAATAAATTTCCAAACTTTGTGCCCATCAATAACCAAAATCTTAAGGCTGGCGTAATTATTTTTCTGAATAACTGCTCAAATCGGGCCTTGTATGACAATACTATTTTGGATGTCAATAAAACTTATATATAATAACATTATAGGTGTCTCTACTTTCTATTTCGAAGCCAACCAAAATGAGTTCTATGAGCTCTTCTATTTTTTCTACTTTTAGGCCCTTCGGGTCTGGACTCCGGGTCTGAACCCCGGGGTCTGTGCTCTGGGTTCGTGCTCAAAGCTGGTTTGGTCTATTTTTTAGACCCAAACCCGGGTCTGGCCTTTACACAACCAACCAATTAACAACACTACTTCTAACTAGTCCTCTTAAACCATGTATAATAACCAACACCTTTTAAGATATAAATTACAATTAATTTGAGTTATTTCTTTTAAGAAGAAACTCCCTTAGCTCTTTAATAAAATACCAGGGCTTGAAGTCTTAGTTTGATAATTCTTGGGCGCCTTAGTTAAGGCATTTATCGCGCTATTTCTCATAATCCGCTTAGAGAAAAATCTCTTCGCTTGACGTTTTATGTCAAAAGATATCAAGGGAAGTCTATGGAATTTCACCGGTCTCTTAATTTCTTTGGAATAGTGTTATTGGATGAAGTGTGTTTATATATATATGAAAGAATGCTTGGCTTTTGTTAAGGTCAGCGGTATGGTTACTAAGAGTCTGTCTTAGATCAATACAGAACTTGGCCAATAGGAGTTGGGGGGGGCAGTCTTATTTTATTAGGTCTTTAGTCCGAACCCTTCTCTTATATAAATATTTTAACTTATTAAATAGTAATTTTATTTATATTTTATTTGTTACTTTCTTTTCTGGAAGAGTTTTTTTTCATTTATTTATTCATTTTCCCCCATGAAACTTGAAGGTTTCTCAATTATATCATATTGATTCTTAAACAATCAACTTCTATCCCCTGTTAACAAATATCTTTCCAAAGCAGGGATTTTGTCAAAATAAGAAACAAGCTTCTTAATATGGCAATGATGAGCGTGGGTATTAGTATTTATTTCAAAATAGACCAACTTTAATTAATATTTTATCACGTGGGTCGCGACTTAAACCGATCTCTTCTAAATGGACAGTGAGTAAAGCCCGGTCCTGACCAAAGATACTACCTCTCTTTCGAGTCTCTGAGTTAGGAGAATCTGAGGCTGCTGTGTGGTGGTGCTATCACGTGTTAAATCCATCTCCAAGGTATTGGTTAAGCTTTTTATAAAGTATATTAGAGACCCAGATATTTGGAAGGGATTAACATTTATACAATCGTGCCAAGTACCATTGTTAATATTCCATAGATCGGAGGGCATACCATCGGGATTGTGGTTTACTTGTGGTGTGATTGGATCATTTGACATTTTAGTCGTAGATAATGGGATTTCAGCCCTTCCATTCCCTGGTTCCTATTATGCTGAATTCTAAAGCCCTGTTGATAAATACTATATAACCCTGTAAGCGATGTAGAACGCAATAAATACTTTTTGGTAAATTTTTTTTTTTGAAATAGCTAATTATTCAAAGTCTTAGTGTACATTTTGAGACCCAAATATATTTTTATTGTTCAGATAATCATATTGTAATTTAGATAAAAATTTATATCGAAGGTTTATAGAGAGGGCGGGAGGCGCCATATTTCAACCAAGAATGTTTAATAACTTTATAGAGTAAGACGGAAATAATGAATGGCTAAAATAAATTAAACTATCATTGTTGCCAAGAAAAAAACGTAGGATCTAAACGAGAATGGGAACGGACTTAACGGCCTTGTCTTGATTTCTTTTATATTCCTTGTGTAGTATATTAATTATTATAGTGTACCACCCTTTAAATGATCGGATTTAGGAGAAGAACTGGTAAAAGTCTATAGACTTAGTACGTTTTGGTGTCCTAGAAAACGACGTCATTTATATGGCGAAATATAACGCGATTAAATAATATACACTTTATTATACGAGGAGCTAATTTAGTAGACGTATTATTTATACAATAAATTTCATTACTTATGATTGATGCAGATAAACTTTATTGAGTTTTATAAATTTTGAAAATATGGTCTCAAAAGATATCACCCTTTTAATTAGATTACTTTGAAGAAGAAAAAAAGTTACTATGTCTTTGAAATGTCGCTATATGACTGAAAAAAGGGGGCATTACATGACTAAAACAAGCGATAAATATCAGAATGTCGTATCATCGAATTCTATACAGGGTTGGTTTGACATTTACTCAAAAAGAAAAACAAAGATTTTGATCTCGGAAAAATATTTTTTTTTAAGAAGATTTTTTTGAGAATGCTCAAGCAGGATCTTAGATCAAGTTTTAGCTAATATTCCAATTTAAATCTTTTATAAGTAAATATAGTACATGATTCTTTATGCATAAAAAAAATCTTCAAATTACTCATTTGGAGAAATTTTGTTAAATCATGATTGTAAGCATTTAAAAAAAAATAATATTCAATTCAATCATTCATGATTATATACAGATAATAATAATAGGAATTTTGATATATATAAATATAATAAAGTATATATGACATTACTGAATCATAAAAAAAAATTGCCTGCGTTAAACGCGAAAATGATTTGTGTCATTACGTTATAGTATAATAATTAAAATGATACATAAATAATTCGCTGTTATTTTATATGTTAGCTTCAATGTTGCGTTTTCTTTTCTCCAAGCAATGCGCGTTATTTTTTCAACTTTAAATCATTTTTTTTTTGAAGGCGTTTTTTAAAAAAAAATTTAAAAATCTCATTTTACCGAAAATGTATGCCGCCATGTTTGGAATAATTCTACCCTAAGAATTCCAGTCAATTTTTTCCATGAACTTTTTCAAAACTTAATATAAATTTATATTAAAATAAATGACTCAAAGGTTGATGCCAATATTGTCTACAATTCATAAGACAGGTATTCCAAAACATGATAGAAGATTATTCCAGCAAAATCAGATTTTTTAATTTTAAAAAAAAAACGCGTTTTAAAAAATTAATTTAAAAAGTAGTAAAAATTAACACATTGGCGCTAACATAATATATATTAATATAAAAGACTTATTATATACATATAAAATATAAAATTATAATAAAAATCTTCAGGCTCGACTAGATGTGTTTTTTTTATAATTTTAAATATTATATATTATAATTTTTATATAACAACTAATATATCATAATCTTTTAAAGAATATTTTTTAAAAAAAAATTAATAATAATAATAAGATGTGAAATGAGATTATTTTTTTTTACATATAGTTCATCTAACAATTTAACCTATGTCCAAAAGACGCAACCGCCAAAATTTGTAGCGTTTTTATCTTAGGACATTTGCACCGTATAATTAAGTATTTGAAATACGCTTGCATTTGTATTGAGATTTGATTTTATCGGGCCTTTTGGGGTAAGTCGAGTTTATATGGTCGGTCGAATGCAAAATTTTGTGAATATAATTGAGATTATCGAAATCGATTTTGACGCATTTACCCTCCACGGGCTCGTACCTGAATGAATGCGAATTTCTGCCCTTGTACGAGTCGTAAGTGCCGGATTCAGATTTGGCGTTCGCGACAGGGTTATGGCACATCAGTGATTGACAATCTTAAAATTTATGAATTGACATTTATATTTGTATCGAATAGAATTGACATGACCAATTATCAAAACAACCAGGCAACGTTTTCTATTATAATTATTATGAGCGAAAAAGCCATATTTTTTTAATATCAGCTGATACAAAAATTTCGAAATTCTTCTTAGATCTTTAGGACCAAAAATCTGCTGGAAAAACTGTTGGAAAAGCTTAACCGGGATGTCCTATAATATATTTTCCTAATACTTTTGGCGAAGAGCTTGCTAATCCTTGACATGGGGCCCAGATAATCTTTCAAATATTGGCTGATGTTTTGACATTTATCTTCTAATCTTTTGGAGGATGCCCATATAATCTAAAACGCGTTTAAGAATCGAAAATAAGGTAATGTGAATGAGGGTGAGAGATTAAGTGATAAATAAATAAAGATAGGCATAGCAAGGGATTTTCAGAAAAGGGATGGAGAATTTATGTGTAGCTTTCCCGCTATAGTTCTTTTTAGAGGTAATATAACACACTTTCTAATATATAACAATTAGTTTCAAAATGCATTTTTCCTAAAAATTTTAAATTGTAATATAGTTATCATAACCTTTAATTATTTCTATTTAAAAAAAAATTATTGTATATTTTATTAATTTTTGCTGGGGTATAGTGGTATGGGGTAAGGTGAATGTAGAGGAATACATTTTCTTGAGAATTTGCGGCGAGGGTAGCGATATGAAAAAAAAATGATGGCGGAAGCGTCAATAAAAAAAATCGTCGTACTTAAATAATCAGCATTAATAGTATTTAAGATTAAATTTATTAAACCATGCCATCCATCCCCATATCCAATGCTTGCTTGTAGGAGAATTTTAAGTCCTTGATTTCGAGATATGGTTCATATTTTTGGCCCTCTTCTGCAGGGTACTCGAATCGGAAATAGGGGTAAACCGGCAAATATTTGGATTTCACTTTATCGCGTAGCCTGTTAACCTCGTTGTATACTATATGGAAGAAAAAATAATAATCAAGTTTTTGAACCCCTATTTCCACTTCCGCCCCCCCCCTTACTTATTTCCTCCTTCCTTCTCTCCCTTCCTTCCTGGGCCACTAATTATAGGATATTAATTAGAACTCAATAAAATGATCAAATTTGATCCTTATTATTTTTTAACGTGTTAAGCGGATATAGTAAGGCGTGATTATTATACGAATCGGGTTTACTACGCAAAGCGCATGCTCATGATAATTATCAAATCAAAAAGTTACAAGTTTAATATGAAAAGCTTAGGGTATATATCAGACACCAACAGAGGTACCATTTACACGGCCCGACCCGGCCCGGATTTTTTTTCAAAATTTTTTTCGGGCCGGTAATCCGGCCCGGTGGCCCGGCCCGGATTTTATAAAAATATATTCTATTTTTGATTTTTGTAGCTAATAATGGCGATTTCAAATATTTGGTTTTACAATATAGGGCCCGGCCCGGGTATATTTAAAAAAAATTAAAATATGGCCCAGCCCGGCCCTGATACACGGGCCTGTACAGGCCGGGATTAGAGCCGGGCCTACAAATTAAAATCCCTAATTTTCCAAAAAAATTCTACCCCCCAAAAAAATTATATATATTTTCTACGATAAAAAATCAAAAATACTTTTATGTATCCAAATGCCGGGGTCCATAGGTCGGGGCAACGGTTTATTGTAGATGTAAATAGCGGGAAAGAGTGCGGTGGAGGCTTCATACAACCATAAATTTTCATCGTTCATTGTAGACATACGTTCGCAACACTTCAAATTGTCCAACTCACTTATATTTTTCATTAATTTCAAGTTCAAAATATGCCATTTATTTTTTATAGTAAGAAAAGGAAAATAATCAATTGGAAATATAAGTTATTTTAAATTATTATTATTTTAAAAAGGAGTGACGTAATATATTCCTCAAATTACTACAGTGAGGAGTGATACACCCCCATAAGTTATACCTATGTCATTTTGATGCACTAACATCCTTGTTTACCTTGGTTATTTGGAGACAAAACACGTGAGTACAAAAATAAAATTAACATTCCTCCTGTATAAGTTATTACAATAACCAAGGTAAACGAGGGAGAGAGTGCATCAAAATTTACTAAAACAGCTGTCACTACTCTTAGAAGAACTAAGAGTACCCATAACCCTAGAGGGTCGGAGATATATCCTAATACTAGTATATGGGGCATTTTTATATAATTTAATCCCATCGACCTCCAACTTCGAGAACAAATTGCTTAATTCGCTAATTATAATATATATATATATTATAGGTGATATAATAGTGTTGTAAAACGGCTAATTCAAATATTTTATCCAGAATAGTATTACGCAGGCCTGAAGATCTTCTTTGTAGAAGGAACAGAAGCTTTAGACATCTATTAGCGAAATGTCGAGGCTTAGGCGATATTTTTCTGGCTAAAATATTTTAGTTAGCCGTTTTTGAAATATCGGCTCAAAAAACAAGCAGTTTAAACAACATTATAATAATATAAGCTAAAATTGTTCCCTAATTTTTTAAAAAACAAATTTTTTTTATAAAAAATAAAAAATTAAATTATATTTTCTAATTTTTTTTTAAAGGTAAGGGTTCAAAGTAATAAACGCAGGTTTGAACTTCGTTTAAAAATTAATGATACATTAAACCCTCGTAAATAAAAACTCCTAAAAAATTCACGAATATCAACAATATTTTTGTAAATTAATATTTCGTAGATTAAATTATTTGTTGAGGGGTTATAGAATAGTATTTTTTTGTTTATAAAATTTTATCTCGGGGCGTTTAGTAAAAACGTAAACGGTAGAACACGCGGCTTGATTACCGCGACATTTTAGAGGGTGTCGTTGGGGAGACGGAAGGCGTGTTCAGAACAGAAAATTAAATTAATCTCCAATTGGAGCAAAAAAAAATTTTTTTTTTAATGATAAGGGCTAGAGAAGCCAATCACGTGACTCAAATTATTTTCTTCTTAATAAAATTGGTTTACAATTTTTTTATATACTTTTTGTAACAATAAGGGAAACCGTAATATCCCCATTTAGCGTTCGGTCGCATTTGAATCCCCAATTTAAGGGTCGATTCGAAGAAGAGCCTAGCAGCCGAGTTAAAAAGTTTGGCGCTTATGTCTTTCAACTCCTTCACGTCAGTCACGTCCGGATTCTGTTCCTTGGCGAATTCCATCGATTTTTGCTGGGTGGTGACGAAAGTTTTTTTTTGTTTTTATTTAAATATTATTATTTAAAAACAAATAAATAATCGAATAATTATTTCTTCGACAAAAAAAAATTAATAATTTTTATCAAGCATGTGGTGATTTTGTTTAAACGGTTCAATTTAGCCAAATTTTAAAATTAAGATTTTAGACAATATGATATCGCAGCTAGTTTTGTTAAACGGCCGGTTTTTAGCCGATTTTTAAAAACCGCTAACTCAATATTTTAGCCGGAAAAATATCGCCTAAACCTCGAGATTTCGATGATATATATATGTTCCAGACCTTTGTTCTTCCTTCTATAAGCAGAATCTTCAGACTCGCGTAATACTTTTATGGACGAAATATTGAGTTAGCCGTTTTTTAAAAATCTACTCAAAACGAGCCGTTTAACAACACTAATTACAGCAGGCCTCTAAATTTCGTTAATAGATGTCTATACCCTTTCTGCCATATGATTAGCAAAATCTTCCGGTGTGCGTATGGCTAAAATATTAGGTTACTCGTTTTTTTAAAAAAAATCCTGCCGTTTAAACAAACACTATTTGCAGGATCGAGAAAAAAAAATGGAATAGTCTACTTTCTTATATTCATCATTCCTTAAAGAAGAAGTCTTTTTTTTTAAAAAATTATTTATATAAATGTCGCAAGAGGGATTTAGGAAATTCTGATGATGCCTTATAGTCACGAGTTTTCAACTAATTTCAAAAACCTTAGATCATTCATAGCAATCACAGTTTGTTAATAAAGACTTTAACCGGAATCGTATTCCAATGCCCACCTTGTGAATTTCTGACAATTTCATCATAAAATGTTTATTTATTTTATATTTATAATGAAAAGTCTAATAGGAAAATATGAAAATTAATATAAATTAAGTTCTAGTTTAAAGGTTCATTGGTAAAATTGTCTGATATTCACATGATTCCGGCATAATCAAAAATTTTTTTTTAAAAAAAAACTGGCGATATAAATTTTAAGGATTTGGTTAAACAGATAGGCGAAAACCTACAACATATATTATACTCAGGGATCCAAACCGAACCTGAACCGAACCGTTAAATCGCTAAAAACCGGTATTTTTCTAACCTGAACCGAACCTAAACCGCTAAAAAAATTCTAGCCGAACCTGAACCGAACCGATAAAATGCCTCTGAACCGGTTCGAGACTCATGATTTTATGCTTATAAAATAATATGTAAAGTTATTATTAGTATAATTGAAAAGATTTCAATTATATTCTAATTATTTTAAAGATTATCATGAATCACCTTTGATTGATAAGTGTCGGTAATAATTTTTGTAAAATTTAGTAAATTGTCATTTAACAACATTTTCCTCTAAGCTTATAAATTATAAGGCTTAGAGAAAAATGAAATGCAAAATATTATTATAAATCACATATCAAATCTGATATCATATTGGCAGTGCATGCTACCAGAGTTAGTGTGGACTATGGAAAGATGTTTTTCAACAATTAAATTTATAAGCTATCTCCTTATAGATGTAATTTGAGTGGGACGAATTTTGAAAATATATTAATTGTGTGGCTTAATAAAAAAAATTTAAGTAAAAAAAGTAAAATATTGTTCATATTAAAATTAATCATTGATATTTATTTTTATATTTATAAATTAAATTTTATTTTATAATGTGCAATTAAAATAAAAGGTAGGTTTTATACATGTATTTTTTTAAATAAATGATAAAATAAAAAAATATTTTCCCTATACATAATTCGAATGTAAGTTTGAATACAAAAGTGTTCAAACCGGTTTTTAGAGGTTCGAACCGAACCGGTATTTTGATTTTTTACGAACCGAACTTGAACCTTGAACCGTTATTTTTATCCGAACCAGAACCCGAACCGAACCGATATTCGTTTCGGTTTGAATCCCTGATAGTTATTCTAGTTTGGGTCAATTAATTATGCGAAATATTATTTAGGTGATAATTATCATTTGCAAATAACCAGTTTTAGTTAACCTTATAGACGTCTCTGAGCTTGCCTTCTAATACCTTAAGACTCAGGGTGTATTCCTCGAAATCGATCACCGCCATTCCCTATTGGTCGATTATTTTATATAAGCGAAAAATAAAAAAAAAATATATAATCGTAATAACGGAAATGGAAAACAGTTTTAAAAATGGAATTCTAACCAATTATCCAACCAGGGTTATAAAGTTAATTTAAATTCTAAATCCTTAATACATGATAAATGTTTGTTCATTATTTTCTAAGGAGTATAAATTCCAGCCAGACTTCTTCAAAACATATTTCCTTGCAATAAAAAAAAACAAAATACTAACAAAAATTTAGAAATTTAAAATACTTTAGGCGATATTCATACCGGAAACCTGGCCAGGCCCGGTCCGGATTTTTTTTAAAAAAAATTTTTCGGCCCCCGGTTTTTTTAAAAATATGTTTTATTTATTTTTGATTTTTACAGCTATAATAATGGTGATTTCAAATATTTGGTTTTGAAATATACGGTCCCCCCCCCCGGATATTTTTTAAAAAAAATTTTCAGGCCCGGCCCTGGTATATTTTAAAAAAAAATTTTAAAAACCGGCCCGGGCTTAAGGCCGGGCCTGCAAATCTCTGATTTATACTAATGATTTGTTTAAAAAAAAAATGATTTTCAATCTTTAAAAAAAACATATTTTGCAAACGCATAAAAAAAGTCATATTTATTTTCCAAATTGTTAAAAAGATATTCTAAATTGGCACAAAATTTCGCTTCACTAATGGTGATTATTCATTTTAAAAAACTTATTTTTTATTTATGAAATGATTATAATATTTTTGTAAGCGCTCACTTAATGATGAATATTCATTAAAAGAAATATTTTTTTTTTAATATATAACATAAGGCAGATGTAGTAATACAATATATTTCACAAGAAATACGGAATGAAGTGCTACATAAATCGTGCTATTATCACAACAGGCATGACATTTGATATGAAGGAAGAAAGGGGGAAAAAAATAAAGAATATATTCTTGATTTATCGTGGAATGATGACATACACAATATTTGCTCAATGTTTTCAAATGACATTGGAAAATTGATAAATTAAGATAACCATTTATTAAAAAATTTTTAAAAAAACTGTTTTTTATAGTTTGCTTCCCCCCCCCCTCCCAAAAAAAACATGTTTTCTATTATTCCTGAATAGATTATTAATTGAGTATTTCAGTGGTCTTATTATATATTTCAAATTATCAGATGAGCGAGTTTGAGGATATAGATATGTTATATTATTACACTTATATTCCATTATTATAATCAACTCACATCGAATCCAGAGTCCGGTATGAGTTTCCTTACGCTTTCCGCGAATGATTTCAAATGCGTTTCAAGGTCTCCTCTTTGAGGGATGCCCCCATTGATTTCTATAAGCTCGGACAGCGTGTCGTTGTCGTTTTCTCCAAACAATATTTCCTTGGATATAATTTTCCCGGAAGTCACTCTCTTATTAGCTCTCGCATCCGAATTCTTGTAATGGGGCCATAGACCTTCCCTGAGATAAAAGATGCTGATCTTGGAGCCGAAGAACTTTTGTTCCTCGTTAGCGATGATCCCGTAGGTGGAAAGGGGTATTTCTACACCCAACTTGTCTCTGCACACGTCCGTGGGAATGTTCCAGAAAGTTTTAAATCCGGCATTTATATTTTCGTCACCCTCTCCCGTATCCGACAACGTTCCTCTTTTGGAACCCGGTTTGAGGGCTGATTCAACCTCTCGAGCTGAGTGATTATCGGGTTGAGTGAAAAGTTCGTTCGTATTTATGGAACGTGGGGGTAGCAAAGTGTAGGAGGGCGTTATGAAATCTCGAATTTCCTTGGGTCTCGATACGCCGAATATATTTTTGATCTGGCTATCGTAGACTCGTAAAATTGCTTCCTTTTCCTCCAGCGAAATATTTTGATCCTTGGAGTTCGAGGAGTCATCTTTCCTGGACGGGAAGATGGAAGACGGGTTAGCGCTTATGAGGTATCTTCCGTTATCGGGAAATTTGGATTCGTCAAAATCGATGGCCTTGACCCATTCGACGTCATCTAATGTTGTCGCGAACGATTCGGAAAAATCTAGACTTGTATCGCTGGCTACTAGCATATCTTTTTTTTCTTCGATTGTTTACACAAAAACAATGGATGTAAAAAAACAAAAAAATTATACATTTAAAAGATAAATATAGACTTCAACTTTTTTTGGAAAGAAAAGTATTGTCTAATTTTGCTCATAGTCATAGTTTAAATAATGATATGGATATTAATATTAATATTACTTTAAAAAATTAATTAATTTTTGACCTTAAAAATAAAAAAATTATAATAATTTATTAGGCTAAAACAACGATAGTCTTAAAAAAACCGAAAAAAACAAAGTCCTCTTTTATATTATAAAAAAATTGTAAAAATTGTTTTGTAAAGAAAAATATAAATTTTTATTTTTAGCGCTACCATATTTAATTTTTAGTGACTAATTAAATATATTAGATAATATGAACTAACCATACAAGGATATCAACTGTGGGCCTAGGAATAAAAACTAAACTTAAAAGCTGTCTGTTGGGATCTATTGTTAAGCTAAGCTTTTAGAATTGGATATATCTATAAATCTAGACTCAATTTTTATAAGATTCAAAAATTTTATTAAATTCATATTTCGAGTCGTTATGTGACCTTAACAAAAAATATCACATAATAATTTGATTATTATCATCACCACAATAAAAAAAAAAGTATAATAAATAATTTTTGAAATAAAATTGAAGAGTTATATACATATATATATAATAAATATAATTTTTTTTACCTTCATTAGATTCCCGATCTAAATATAAGGCGCAAAATCCATTTATCGTGTGAATCAATGCTAAGGTATAATATAAATAGTAAAGGGTAGCTCGAAGTTCCAGGAGAGATGAGAATACCTTCATAATCATTATTGGCACAATAAATTGTGAGATTCTGAAAAACAGAACTAAACTATAGAAAACTGCCGCCTTCTTTCCCCAAAAGAAAAGAAAGAAAAAAAAATGCGTAATAAATTAAATAAAATAAATTTTTTATTTAAAAAAAAATAAAAATTAAAAAATTTTAAAATAAAATATAATAAATAAAAGTGTTTTTATAAAAAATATTTTCTAATATTTTTATTGGGTTATATTTTTTTTTTAAAAAAAAAATAAAAGAAAGAAAATAATAAAAAATAAAATAAATTTTTTAAATAAATAAAATAAAATCATTTTGTTTAAAAGTAAATTTTATTTTTAGGTATTTTTTTTGTACAAAAATTAAAATTAGATTTAAATAATTATGGTTATAAAATCAGAATTAGTATTCCCTGTTCTCGAGGCAAAAGTGAGAAAAATCTCTCATCTTTAGGATACAATGAAAAAGCCTCTTTGTCAGAGACCTGCAGAGGCCCGGATTTTTATAAAATATATAAAAATCAAAGCCCGGCCCTTCGTATACGTTCCGCACCGGGCATATGTCCTGTTCTCAAGGTCTCTTCTATTTGTATTGTGCTTACGTGCGTTAAATCATACCCATTTGACAAATGACTATTTATGGAAACGACTAATGGAATATTTAAAAAAAATTAAATTGTTTTAAATTTAGAATATTTTTATTTTGTTTATTCTTTAATTTTTGTTCTTTAAAAAGAAAATCTATTTTGGGGTTAAAAGTTGAATTTATATTCTTGGAAATGAGAGTTGACCTGAATTGATTGGATCTCTAAAATAAAATCTTAAAAAATCTTAAAAAAAAAACGCGGGGTTTTATCATAATTGATATGTAAATTTTTTTTAAAAAAAATGAAATATTTTCCTGTAATTTTGAAAAAGGAGAATTTGTCAGAAAATTTATAATTCAACCCGAAAAAAATTTTGATGGGATAAAATAAGTTCTGGGTCCTTATCCCTGGTTCGACTTATTACTAAATACACGGCAGTTCCGCTGGCTATAATTACTTCGACTAAACAGCCCAAAAAGTAAAAATAAAAAAAACTTAAAAAAACAAAATAAAAAACAAAAACAAGATAGGGTGTCTCCAAGTTAAAAAGCTGTTTAGCTTAGGCTATAAGTATCAAAATTTGGTCAAAACCAGGACATAGTCTGACTCTGATCGCTCTATACTACAATTTGTTTTTAGTGGTGGACCTCCTCATACAGTAAAAAAAATTATTAGAACAAATTGGAATCTAGTTATCTGCCAAAATCGGTACGAATCGTCTGTCTGAATATATATTTCCTTTTTTAATTAGAAATTTATTTCGGGCTATAGAGCCGGTCATTAAGTTCTGATTAACCAGTAACGCCTAAGCTCCTGATGTTATTATTTTCTGATTGGTTAAAAAAAATAATGTAAAAACAAAAATAGCCGCCAATCATTTTGAAGTGATGAAATTATTCTTATATATATATTTTATTTATTTTTTTTAAATTTCACCCCAACATGATAAAATTTATATTGGTAGCAAAAAATGTTTTAGCGCACTGAATCTTATATAGGACTCGTGTTAGATGATTTAACTGACTATCTACCCATGAGCGTAACCAAAGGGAGGAGGGGAACCAACCCCCCCCCCTCCCATGCGAATTTACCTTTTCTCGTAAATATCAGGCTAATTAAAAATAATTCCTCTCCTCCCTAAAAGAATATATACAATATATCTTTTATAAGGAAGAATATGAAAGAAAGATTAGTAAAAGTTTAATATAACTTTAAAAAAGGATTTTAATATATAAAAAAGTTAAATTCATTCCTGACCCCCCCCCCCTCCCCACCCCCAGATCTAGATCCATCTATTTGGAAAGATGATCAGTATTGATACCAAAAATTTTTTTTTAATTAGCTTTAATTTGACACCTATATCATACATTGTTAAAAAAAATTATAAATCTTTCTGACCCCCCAAGACCCGCCTCATTAAAAGGATTATTGAGTGAATAAGTCCGAGAATTAAAAGAGACTTTAATCAGTTTTTCCACCCTTTATAATAATATCTGTATTGGAGTCAACCCGAGTCGGCTCTTGGTCGAAAAACACTGACCCTAATTTTAGGTCGGTTCTTTTAGAACCGGTCCGGGTAAGCCGTTTAATGACACTACGCCTATGTATCGAACTATAGTATTCTTCTGGAATAATGATAGAATCCGGTCTAACTTTAAACCCCCCAAATCCAATAAACGTAGTATAAAAATATGCTAAACTTGACCATCATGTCCCGTCGCAATTAACCCTTTTACCCCGCCCCATCACTATTTACATTTTCCCGAAGGAATTTGATTCATTTTTTAATTTCATTCCGAAAAACAAACAAAAAATTATAAAAATTATTTTCTATTTAGACATAATTTATATTTGAGTGGACATCAAATCCCTGATAATGAAACCAAAATATATTTTTTAATGAATATTAACGAATGGCGGCCATGTAAGTGGGAAGTTTTATAAAAATTTTGAAAGATAGCTGAAAATTATATATAGACTGGACTGATAATACCGAAATTGATATATATGATCATGATATCTAATATGAAATCCAACCAACTCTGATAGATGATATCATTCGAAAAATGTCATTCTTCATAGATCATTTCCTTTATCCCAAATCGACGCAGCACGAAGTCGCGTCAAAAAATTTTGGCTAGCTAATAATCCTCAAACCGGAAGCCCCTAAATAGGACTTCTATTTCCGTTAAATCAAATTTTATTTTGTTTGGTTCGATTCCTGGCTAAGGACTCATCTCAAAGATTTTTTTGATTTTTTTTTTTTAAAATTATAAATTGCACATACAAAATTAAATAAAGAAAATTAGTATAGAAAATGACTTTTCATATTGACACATAAAGATACAACCTTTACAGATATTACGAAAATTGATATAATTAAAACAAATATGTTCGCATTATTTATTCGTATCGAAGGTAATAAATATATTTATATTTATTACTTTTCTGACTCATTCCCTGATGAAATATTTGTTTAATAATCCTTTAAAGGATTAACATTTTAATTGCTATGGCACAATTATGTTATAATTTTTATTTCAAATAAATTTTCACAAAAACCTTAAATATATTTTCGAATTTCACCAAAATAAAAAAAAATTAAAAATATATGTATAAAATTTCGTACAAAATCTAATAATTTTTTTTTCAGTTTTGTTTTACATTCTCTTCTTTTCTTTTCTTTCTTTCTTTCTTTCTTTCTTTCTTTCTTTCTTTCTTTCTTTCTTTCTTTCTTTCTTTCTTTCTTTCTTTCTTTCTTTCTTTCTTTCTTTCTTTCTTTCTTTCTTTCTTTCTTTCTTTTTATCTTTGCGAAATTATTTCATTATTTGAAATTAAATGTATATAAGGGAATGGCAGCCGGATGTGTATCCGGCTAATAGCTTCGACTAAAACAGTCCTAAAAAACGTAAGAAAACTAAAATGAAATGCGGAAAGTATATCAATGCTACCGCCAATTCCATTAAAATAAAATCAAAACTGAAGTCAAACCAGGACAACGGTTTATATTTTTTTCACTACGGTTATTTTTAGATCGGTTATAGTTAGCAACGACTTACCCATTTGCCATAATAAATAAAAAAAATACTAAAAGTAACAATGCCACCCAATTCCTTAAAATAACTCAACAAAACTGAAGTCACGCCAGAGCACGGCCTTAAGGATGCAATTTTATTTTTTTCTTACTACGGTTATTTTTAAATCATTTAGCAACGAATCTGTCATAATAAATAAAATAGCGAAGTAATCAATGCCGCCCAATTCCTTAAAATAAATCCAACTGGTTTAAGGTGATGTAATTTTACTTTACACTTAAGCTTATTTTTTAAATCGGTATTATTTAAGGAGCCTTTGTATTGATTCAACGATTTGTCATAATAAATAATGATAAGGATAAGAAATGATTCATTCATATAATAAAAAAAAAATTTATATATAATAGTATATATATATATAGTACACTCGCGATATTTGTCCCAGAGGTGACAAACAAATAGGGTTCGGCCTCTTGTATACCTTTTCCTGGTTAATAATAGATTTAATTTTATCGCAAATTATTTTTTGAAAGTATATTAAAATTCATTATAGAGGGGGGTTTTAAAAACATAGTGTCTGTCTGATACTAATTTACAAAAAAATAATTATTCTTTAAATCTATTAAATATGCTAAATTCTGTGTAAATAATTGCTTATCAAAATTATTTCATCTTGGCGACTTCCAGATTTGCCTAGGTTAGCCAGTTTTCCCTCTGATTAAATTATTAAGAAATTTTTTTGTAGCAAGGTTTTTTACAACCGGATGTCCTTCCTGATATCAAACACCTTTTAGGTGGCTTTTTTTACACGCCGTCGAAGAGGACGGTGATCCAACATCTAGACCCGGACCACAGGGAGCCTTTTAGAGCCGTCAAAAGACGTTGCCACTCCACCGCCACGATGAGTTTGAAGTTAGGAATTTAGGGGGGGGGGGGGGATCTAAATAATTTCTAATTAAGAAGTAATTATATTTTGACTCCGGAGACTTATTCCATCTCAGATATTCAGATAAATAAATTTATTGTGTCAGGGGACGAAAGGATTTCTGAGGCTTTATGGAGAGTTATTGAAGAATGTATATTCATATGATATTGTATCAGAGTAAAGCAGGTAATATGCTGAGTTAGATGAAATGGTCAAGATTACAAATCAAGCCTTGCTTAGCTTGAGGTATCTCTTACTTTTTTTAATACATCTGCTCATGCTGCATTTAAAAAAAGCATTCGACATTCTTTTTATTTCAAGCATTTATAAAATGTAATTTGTGTTTGTTTTTTTTCTGCGCTGTGAATATGTAAGTTAATAATTTACGGATACTAAAATTGTTATTATTTAAAGCTTCAATGAAAATATTTTTTACCCTTTAAATAATATTTATTAGTTTTCTATAAACCATAACATTTCCTTTAGTTTTCTATAAACCATAACATTTCCATTAGTTTTTTTTAAGAAATATTAATGCAAACGCGAAATAAACGTATACATGGACAAATTTAATAGCTCGAATTATTAGAGAAGAGGCTAATTGGAATAGAGAAGAGAAGAGAAGAGAAGAGAAGAGAAGAGAAGAGAAGAGAAGAGAAGAGAAGAGAAGAGAAGAGAAGAGAAGGTGATGAGTTATAACTGATTAGGTGAGAGAACCGTATAGCATTTTCTTTAAGGCGGGTCTGGATTTTGAGAAAATAATGTTCTCATTTTCTAGCTTCCATGTGTGCTCGAATTAATTTTTAAAAAAAACTTAGCCAAGTCTGCGTCAAAATTCGGGTCATTTTTAAATTGAATTCTATTGTGGCAATAAGCAGGGTAAGAATATGAGGAAGAATGCTTAATGATCTGATCCATAATGTTCTAATTTAAATACATATATTTTTTTAAGCTGCTGATCTGAGTTCGTAAAATTGTATAATAATACATCAGCTTCTGCGAAGAATAAGAAAAATTCACATCCATTTTACCTATCGTTTTCCACTTTGCGGTTAAGATTTACTCCATTTACAATCTATATTTGAATCTAATTTTTATTAGGATACCACATTTAATAATAATAAATAAAATGCCCCCTTTCAACCCTAATAAATTTTTTTTTAAACTTTAAATTGTAAGTATATATATACAATATATATTTTTTTTTAATTGGTAACGCATCTGTATTGAGCTTTGATTTTATCGTAACTTTGGGGGTAAATCAAATTAATGTGATCAGTGGAATGCAAAATCTTTTTTATATAATCCATGTTCTTGGAATCAATCTTGACACATTTGCTTTCCTCTGGTTGGTAATTGGCTAAAGAGGAATTTCGATCCGGGGCTGCGATGGAGTCATTACAACAGGATAGTACCGTTCTGCAAACTTGTATATATATATATATAATTGTAAATTAAATAATGCATAATTAGCAGAGTTGTTAAAAGATACTTTTTAAATGGATCTAGATACAGATACAACGTCTAAAATAATATCTAGATACAGATTATTTAAACAAAAATCTATCTAGATACAGATACCACATTTTTATATCTAGATACAGGATCTAGTTACTTTTGTATCTGGATCCTTTAACAACTCTGATAATTAGTGTTGTTAAACGGCCTGTCAACCTAATATTTTAGAGCTAAAGAATATTATGCAGCACTGGAGATTTTGCGTCACATATGGTAGAAAGGTTTGGACATCTATTAACGAAATTTCGAGGCTTGCTTTGGTTAAAATATGGGGCTCCTGTACGAGTTATAAAAATAACCGAGGTAAACAAGGAGGATAGAGCATCAAAATTTACTAAAACAGCTGTCACTACTCTCAGAAGAACTAAGAGATATATCCTAATACAAGTGTATACATTAGTTATTAGTAGCTGTTTTTTTTTAAAAAAACACTATGCACAAAACATATGTTACCTATCTAGAGTTCCTATCGGAATATCAGGAAGACCTTTGCTCGTAGCTGGCAGAAATGCTTGGGGCATCTATTCGCCAAATCTCGATGCTATATTATTTTCGACAAAATCTTAATAGGCACCATATCACTAACTGTCAGTTCCTCTAAGATTTTAATTAAAATCTATTTTCCGAAACAACTTTTGAAAATATAATTCCCACATTTTCTAAAACTTTTGAAACAAAAAAACAAAAAAATAAAAAACATGTCCTAAGCTTCCTAAAAGTTTTGAAAATTTTTATTTGTTCCATACCTTTGGCAAAATGTATGCTAATATTCGATATGGGGCCTAAATAATCTTTCACGTAACGGCTGATGTTTGAACATTTGGCTGATAATTTTTTCGAGGATGCCCAAATAATCTGAAAATTTAATACATTTATTTTTTAAATATTTATAAATAATAAAAAAGTGACGAAGGGAAAAGATAAGAAATTCTAGCTAGAGCAAATGATATAACATTATAATGGTATTAAAAAAAATTATTAGTTGTTTCTTTCTTTCTTCCTTCCTTCCTTCCTTCCTTCCTTGTTTTTTTTTAAATTATAAAAAAAAAATGCTAATGTTTTAAAAGATTTATTTACTATTCCATCCATCCCCATGTCCAGTGCCTGCTTGAAGGAAAACTTTAAATCCTTCATTCTAAGGTATTTTTCATATTTTGCGCCTTCTTCTGCTCGGTACTCGAACCTAAAATAAGGGTAAGCCGGCAAATATTTATGGGCGACTTTGCGTATCCTGTTAACCTCTTGGTATACTTTTAATTGATTAAAATTAAATTAAAAAAATTATCTCTGTATATAAGAAAAACGGGGGCACTTTGAGAAGGGGAACGTTGGTTCACCCCCGATAATAATTAGAGCCATTTGTTTCTTAAGACTGGAATTTAAGCCTAATATAGATAGTTACACGTCATGCATGATTGGCTAAAAGAGATCTTAAATAATTTAGCATCTTATAATTTTTCTCTCTACTCCTACAACTAAATTAATTACGAAATATATCGGACCAATCATATGACTGTCCAAGCATTTTAAACAAAATTCATTTTAAAACCTCTAACTCAGTATTTTATCCAGAAAAATATCACGCAATCCTGAAGATTTTGTTCATCTAAACATCTATTAAAGAAATCTGGAGGCTTAGACAATTTTTTTTCTGGCTTAGATGTAGAGTTAGAAAGGAAAGAAAGAAAGAAAGAAAGAAAGAAAGAAAGAAAGAAAGAAAGAAAGAAAGAAAGAAAGAAAGAAAGAAAGAAAGAAAGAAAGAAAGAAAGAAAGAAAGAAAGAAAGACTAAAACCTTACTTATTATTAGAAGATCGAGAAATAATAAAAGAGAATAGAAGATTTATTGTCAAAGGCACACTTTTGGAGATTTCCATTTCACTTTTTTAGATATGGTGGTAGATGATGATGCATCATTCATGAATATATTGCGAGATGACCAAACTTCCTTCTATTACCTCCTTAATTTGATAGAGGAACCCACAAGCACTCAAATGAGCAACCTTACAGATTGTTAATGCAGAACAACTATTTCGTTACATTAACGTTATTTATGGTATCATTTTTTATAAAATTTGAAGTTATAAATGATTACAAACTAATATTAGAGTGAATGTGAAATCGTCTGCTTTTGAACATCTACAAAAGACAAGTTTAAAAAAACTACTCTTTTTTTAAAAACTATTATTTTTTGAATTTTAATTTCAAATATCCCGCGAAATTCCAGTTGATCGAATTGCCTGGAATAAAATTCTAGATTTACCAGAAGAAGGAATGAATAATTAGCCATAGCCAAAAAACTTCACCTAAGTAAAAACGATTAGAGACAATATTAGTAAATAGATTGATCCCGTAAAACTTGCCAGCATTGGCCGCCTCAAAAGGAGAGGACAACCCCCTAGGGATAAACTAAGATTGCACCAAATTATCCTAGAAAATGACGGGTCGAATCTTTGTTCAATTTGACTCAAAAATTTGAGAGAAACGGCAAATAAAATTCCCGGAATATATCATTCTTTGGATTATAAATTTTTATAAAGAACCTCTATTAACGAAGGAAAACGGTGTAATTTTTGCAAAGAAATATAACAACTGGAGCATGCATCGAATGGTCAACAGTTGCTTTTACCGACAAGTTTAAGTGTTTATTGAACTTAAGTGGAGTGCGCACAATAATGTGGTAAGTAAAGGAAATGAAGCATTCCATCCAGATTGTAACCCTAACGGGTAAAATTCTCCAAACCTTACTTTCTTGAATGAACAATTATTTCCAAAAATATATCAAGAAACTATGACTATTTCAAGAATCAATGCTGTAACTTCATCATACTCTTAATATTTTCTTTTGAATCTCGATATTCCCAAAGTAAGAGACTCAAAAATACCAAAAAATAGTCGTATTGCGGTCTGAATAAAAGTTAAGGATAGCTGATTTTTTTTAAAATAACCTTTATGTATCCAAATACCAGCATCTATGGGTCTGGGAAACGGTTTGCTGTTCAGATAAATGGTGGGGTAAAGTGCTGTGGAGGCTTTGTACAACCATAAATTTTTGTTGTTCATTGCAACCATGCTATCTGAACAATTTAAATTGTCGAATTTACTACGTTTTTTTTTCAAAATATTATAATAATAAAAGATGAAAATAGTTTCAAGTATTACAATTTATTATTTTTTTAAAAAATAAAGATGAAAACGTAAGTGTGCTTTTTTAGCTAGAAACGGTATTCGGTCTGTGACCGATCCGGTCTTAAAATAAAATTTTCGTAATATAGTAAATGTAATATTTTTTAAATTTTTTATTTTATAAATTTATAGATTTTATATAAAACAATGAAAGTCTAAGTTAAACTTTAGAATTATTCCCTCTGATTTTTTTACAGCGAAAACTATATCAAATTTTTTTTATACCCTTTGTAACAATAAGGATATCCATAATAGCCCCATTTAGCATTGGGTCTCATTCGCTTTCCTAATTCAATGGTAGATTCGAAATAATTCCTAGCAGCCAAGTTAAAAAGGTTGGCACTTATAGCATTCAACCTATTTCTATCTTTTATTTCTGGGTGTTTTTTTATAGCGAATTCCAATGATTTTTGCTTTTAGCGATTTAAAAATTTTTTTAAACAAAAATTTAATTATTTTAAAAATAATAAAATTGATTTATGAGGTTGATGATGAATGGTATTGTAATTTAATAATTTGGTCAAATTTAAATTAAACCAATGACATATATAATACCTAGACTGACGATTCATTCATAAAGCAAATCAACTGGACCCGCCATTTTGGTAACACATATAGTAATTATTCTCAGGTTAAAAACTACTATTTAAATGGATAACTTGCTTCCTTATTATCTCGATGATCCGGTAATTCTTTAATAAAGTTTGCATCAGATATAGGAATAAATTAGGCTCTCGTTTAAAATTTTAATAATGATTAGTGCAACCAAGATGGCGTCTCCAGCTGATTTGCATTGATGTACACTTTTAATGAATGAATCGTCAGTCTAGGTATTATATATGTCATTGAGTTAAACATACCTTGTACAAATCTTTGAGCTTTCCCGATAATACGTAAAGGCTCGGTGTGTATTCTTCAAAATCGATCATCGCAAGACCCTATTGATTTACGGAAAAAATAATTTAAGCAATAAAATACAATAAATTCAGTGCAATCTTGGGATTCATCCTTAGAATTATTATAATTCATTTTATGTTTTTAAATTCTTTTTGACACTAAACCCTTATTGTTAATGTCATATTTGTCATATTATTATTTTAAATTATTTTGTTTAATATTTATCATATTATTTTATATATCACGTGTAGAACACGTGATTTCGTTGTTCCAAAAAAAAAAGTATAAAAGGAACGATATTTTATAATTATGAAATTATAATGACTTTTTATTTTATTTTTATAGAATATGTATATTTGGACAATAAAAATTGCAGTTGAGAATTTATTACTTTTAGTTATAGATTCGTGTTGGTAAATTGCGTGAGATATTAAATAGCATTGTTATTGGTAGAGTTTTTTATGTTATATAATTTTCACAGTTATAAATGAATCATATTAGATAGAATGAAATGTTTTGTTTTTTATAAATATGGTAAAAATAGATAAACTCGATTTCAAAAACACCTTCTATATCTTATATCGTACCTCTTTTTTAAAATTCTTCTATGAAACCAGCCCTCACCCTGTTACTCTAAGTAGACGCCTTTGACATCTGAACCTTTTCAGATTTTGTCCCAAGAAGGCACACAACAAGGGAATCCATTAGGACCTAACCTTTGAATCCATCATCTCATATACAAAATTAAACCGAATTTTAATCTAGACATTAATCTGTGGGTATTTAGACGATGACACCATCTGCGGCCCCTCGGCCAATGCACCTAGAGTTGGAAACCAATTCCCAAGCTATCGGTCTCACACTTAACATAAATAAAACTGAATTATGCTTTAACAATTAGCCATCAAACTTGGAAATCTATAAAATCATTGCTCCAGGAGTACCCATTAGCTAATGATATCAAGTTAGAAGATTTCCTTCATAACATTTTTAAAATTGCAACATGAATCACTTCTATGCCATCTACCGGCACACTAAAGTTTATTTTTAATAAGCATGTGCCTATATATACCAAAATATCTTTGCACATTTTCCGAGCATCTTTTTTTAAAAAACAACGTATATTCATATTAAAAATTCAAGATAAATTTTTAAAATATTTCTAGAAAATATTTTAAACATAAACTTAAACCTATTCAATTAGTCACTCGCCTAACGGTTTAGCCTTTTTGCCAATTATCCAGATTAAAAAACAATTCTTTGATTTCAGGCTTCATATGCCCTACCGATCGTTTATTAGCTTATGCAATTAACAAATGGAAGGCTATATACCCATTAACACTCATGTACCATCAATTATATCACACATAAAAATTTTCACACATATAATTTCGAAATACCAAATCAATATATCAGTTAATCCACCTTTAGATTGCATTCAACACCTTCAATCATCTGACAGACTTGGTGCTTATGATGGTAAGAATCACTCCCTAGTAGTCGTAACCTTGGCAATCTCTTATCAAACGAACAACTGAATGTAGCCATTGGTTTACGTCTAGGTTGTGACACTGTAAAAACCTCATGCTTGCATCAAATGTAAAATACAGGTCGATTCAAAGGGTAGGTACGGCTATAGTTGTATATTTAGTCAAGGGCGACACTAACGACGCACATCAATAAAAGATTTAACAGCCGCCCAAATTCCGAACCATCTTGAACCCGTAAAGATATCTCAAGTAAATGGGTTGAGACCTGATGATGTGACAACCATACATTGGGCTCTTGGAAAATTGCTAATATGGAGTTACATATGCGTCTCTTCAGTTCCCTCAAACTTAAATACACTATTACAGGCACAAACTAAAAAAAATTTTAACAACTTCATATTCACTCCAATAGTAACCTCCACAATTGCCCATTTTTCGCCATTAGCATTATAAGTTTTTAAAAAAACTCCAGGCAATAAAATACTGACATTTATTAAATGAAACCACTTTTATATATATGGGCCTAAAAATTCAACTAGAAATTTTTAGACGTAATCATGGTTCCTATTTGGGAACTTCATTTGTAAAATTGTATTTTCAAAATTATATAGCTTTTTTTTTTAAATTTTTATAGTGTTCGATAGTGCATATTAATATAGTAAACGATAAATATTAGGGATGAAAACCTATGAAAAATTATTTATAAAGAAAGAAGATTGAAATATAAAAAACAGGCGAAGATAAAAAAAAAACCTACCAAACATTTTTTATAAAAAACCCAAAATAGGGTATCCTATTTCAAAATTTGTTTAACCTATATGAATCGAAATCAACCTTTTTCCACTCAAAAAAAATGCATTTATATATTGTTTATGATTTTGATTGAATCAATAAGATCGTCTAAATTTAAAATGCCGCCTTTATAATTTGCAAGTCCTCTTGGTTTTTTAGAAGATTCTGAAGTAAACGTTGGAATTTGAGAATCCTAAAATAATCCCCAGTTCTGTAATACATATTTAATAGGTATCCATCCTATATTTTATGGAATGCATAGACCCGGATATTCAATAAAGCATGATTTTTTTTTAAAAAAAAGTAAAACTCTACTAATTTTACTCTCGATATTGATATCCATTTTTTAAAAAAATTATAACTAAATTCCTGGCGTGTGCCTGGCCTTAAAAACGTGCCATTTGTAAAAATCTCTGAACCCAATTACAATTGGACGATAAATATAATGATCCTCACGTGAAACGAAGGGTCCGGTATTAACTTCTTCACGCTTTCCGCGAATAATTTCAAATGCTTATCGATATTTCCACTTTGAGGAATGCCTCCGTTGATCTCTCTAAGCTTTAAAATTTCTATAGACCTTTTATTACGTGTGGTGAATAATGTTTTTTTCTTAGTGGTGAATAATGTGTTTTTCTTAGTGGTAATTTTTTTTTTGTATAAAATTTTTCCCCTGTTATCTTGTTTGTAATGGGGCCACAGACCCCTACTTAGGTAGAATACGTTGATCTTGGAGCCAAAAAAGTGTTGGTTCTCATTAGCTACGATTCCGTAAGGAGGAAGAGGAATTTCTTTGCCCGTCTTATTCTTACATATATTCGTAGGAATGTTCCAGAATATTTCAAATCCTCTGTTTTTGCTTCCACATTTCTCCTTGATCCGTGCGTCTATTTCAAAGTCCCGTTTAAGGTATCGAGCAGTCAAATTTGTGAGATTCGTGTGTTGGTTAATTGAAGATAGTCCCCTAGCATATGCTGGTGTGGTTGATTTCACGGAAGGGTTGCGATTTTTATCGCTGATCGGCATCTCTTTCAAATAATTTAAAAACACAAATTTAAAATAATTTAGCTCTAGCAAAAGAAGAGTATTTTAAAATATTTAAAAATTATATTAAGTTTAAATATTTGTGGTAAAATTGTCTGAAATTCAGAGGACATGTATTTCATATAATTATTTTTTTGAAGGAGTAAAAAGAACCTTTATAAAAAAAATGGTTAAACCGGTTCAAACCGGTTCGGTTTTTATATTTTAGAAATGGAAATAATTTGAACATCCTGAATTATATAAACTTGCTCTTGTAGGACTGGCGGTTCCCGCAACACATGTTTCTGTAGAAAGGGCCTTTTCGGGGCTAAAATTTGTGTTATCGTCACAACCATCAAAAAGTAATCCATTTATATTAGAAAGTATATTACTTATACGTTCAATTAGTATATTTAAAAATGAGTTATTTTAGAATCATATATATTTTTTTATATATATAATTCATAGATGCTTTTATTAATAAAAATAAATTAGAAGATGATGTTGCTTCAATAAAAAAAAAATTTCTAACCGTAATGAAACTTTATAAATTTTTTCTTCATAACCGTAACCTTAAAGTAACCATTATAATTTTTTACACACTGAACCGTTATAAATAACGGTTAGGGTCCCTGCTTTATATACGTGTCCACTTAAATGTTTTTATTTTGTCAATTTAACATATTACTGATCAATTTATTTGACCATGTATTATATATATATATTATGACTGTATTATATATACATGATCATCATTGAATCTTAAATAAAATAAATAAAATTAAATATTTGGATATAAAACTTCTATCTCTATTCTTATCGTTCTCAATCTATACCACCAAGTTTCAACTTAATTGCAACCTTACCCCACTTCTTATTGCGACAAAGGCGCATAGCAAAAATGCAGTTGTATAGGCATTTTGTTTTTTAAAAAAATATATATATTTTGTATAATCTATACCTTCGTTAGTTCGAGAATAGAAAGAAAATATATCTTGCACACCATGAATCCCATGAATCAAAGCGAGAACATTCCATAAAAAGGAACGGATGTTATACAAATTCATTATATAAAATAAAAAAATATACCTTTTACAACAATATATAATCAAAAAATTATCAAAAATTAATTTTTTTAAAAACTATTTTATAAATAAAAAAAATTTGGCATTTAGAAATAAATAATAATAAAAAAAATATTGATTATACCATAATCTTTAGATAATTATGATAGATATCATATCTGCATTTTAAAAAAAATTTTTTTTTTTTTACCTTAATAATAAAATTAAAGAAAGAAAGAAAGAAAGAAAGAAAGAAAGAAAGAAAGAAAGAAAGAAAGAAAGAAAGAAAGAAAGAAAGAAAGAAAGAAAGAAAGAAAGAAAGAAAGAAAGAAAGAAAGAAAGAAAGAAAGAAAGAAAGAAAGAAAGAAAGAAAGAAAGAAAGAAAGAAAGAAAGAAAGAAAGAAAGAAAGAAAGAAAGAAAGAAAGAAAGAAAGAAAGAAAGAAAGAAAGAAAGAAAGAAAGAAAGAAAGAAAGAAAGAAAGAAAGAAAGAAAGAAAGAAAGAAAGAAAGAAAGAAAGAAAGAAAGAAAGAAAGAAAGAAAGAAAGAAAGAAAGAAAGAAAGAAAGAAAGAAAGAAAGAAAGAAAGAAAGAAAGAAAGAAAGAAAGAAAGAAAGAAAGAAAGAAAGAATTCTTGCTCTACCATGAATATTTTAACTGAGACTCAAGTTGTAATTAATTAATTGCTTAACTTAATTAATTCCTTAAATTAAATATTTTGGCAATTTGATACTGCGAATCTTAAACTATATCATCTTGCCATGATTACTTGTCAAAATAGTAATGAGTTTGCTTGCTCTCTTGTCATCATCCAATAAAGACCTAATTTGCACCCCTTGGTATATTGATGATGGAATAATAACAGGCTCGCTCGACCAAGAAAACATGGAAATAGGCATAATATAATCTTATGAAAACATAGTGTCGTCTAAACAGGAATGTTCAAAATGATTTCAAGTTTAATCGTACCCAGAAAGAGTACCTCTCATATCTAGGGTCACTTTTAGCGATGAACACTCCTTCACTAAATTAATAGCTGAATCATTAAAGATTTTTAAACAAATGCTTGAGATCTTGCAGCATCTCTCTGCACAACAGTTTATTTTCCTTATAAAGAATTATTTTGTAATTCCGAAGATTCTTTACACCCTATGATCAACATGTATTTTTCAATATCCTGTATTCTTTCTATCTACCAACAGGAGATCAAAATGTTGACCGAACATCAGTCTTAAATTTGAAGATTTGTCATGGCTACCGGCCAGTCAACCAACACAGCAGGTGAAATAGGAAATAAGATCACCTCCATACTCTCCGTATGTACCTTCATATTTTAGTAAAGTACTAAAGAATAAGTTATATTTTTATCTACAGCATCAGTTTTAAGTGGAACCAGACCCACGAAAATGGAACTCTAGTAGGCTGAGAAATTATATCAAATCAAGTATTTTAGAAATAATATCGATTAAGCTCAACTTGATAGTTCATAAAAATTGTCGTTATTTCTCTATCCTTCCCCACGTTCTTTTTATCAATCCATATTGAATTTAAATGACCTTTAGAGATTTCATATTTTAACATTCCTATTTTTTTGAAGATTTAGATTTAATAGTTATTGCCGACTGAAATTCAATAACTAATATTTTTTTAAAATTTAGGGGCCGGAGATATTCTTTGAGGTCATTTCTGGGGACAAAGAAAATATATTCTGGAGCAAGGCTTAGAAACAACATTCAGGGTACAGCCCCACCCCAGCGTCAAATTCAAATTACCATAAAATAAAAATAGGGTTAAGAACCAACTTTCAAAATTTTACTAAATCCAAATTCTTTTTTTTAAGCTATGAATTTTATTAGGTGATGTGAATATAAAATTTTTTTGATTTAATCATAAATTTTTTTGTATCAACAAACCTAACCTAACCAATCAAATAATGGTTGTATTGATTTTGAAACTTTTTATTTAGCACAAAAAAATATATATCAAAATGATTACACTAAAAATATAACATAACTTGTCTATTATTTATATAAAATACAATGCAAAAGATTGATATAAATTTAATATAAAGGAAAATAATTTCATGTCTTTAAGACAGATCCTGCAAGCGCATCTAGCTTTTTTAGGCACAGACAAGCTTGAAAAGTATGTTCATCTAATGAACAACGTTGGTCCGTTATAACATACCGTCCTTCTGAAAACAATTTAGACACTATAATAGATAGTAAACCTTCTCTTAATAACCCCATTTATTAGGTTTTTGTCCCATCTACCTATTTTAAAAATAATAACAGGGATACTATAAAGAAAGAAAGAAAGAAAGAAAAAGGAAAGGAAAGGAAAGGAAAGGAAAGGAAAGGAAAGGAAAGGAAAGGAAAGGAAAGGAAAGGAAAGGAAAGGAAAGGAAAGGAAAGGAAAGGAAAGGAAAGGAAAGGAAAGGAAAGGAAAGGAAAGGAAAGGAAAGGAAAGGAAAGGAAAGGAAAGGAAAGGAAAGGAAAGGAAAGGAAAGGAAAGGAAAGGAAAGGAAAGGAAAGGAAAGGAAAGGAAAGGAAAGGAAAGGAAAGGAAAGGAAAGGAAAGGAAAGGAAAGGAAAGGAAAGGAAAGGAAAGGAAAGGAAAGGAAAGGAAAGGAAAGGAAAGGAAAGGAAAGGAAAGGAAAGGAAAGGAAAGGAAAGGAAAGGAAAGGAAAGGAAAGGAAAGGAAAGGAAAGGAAAGGAAAGGAAAGGAAAGGAAAGGAAAGGAAAGGAAAGGAAAGGAAAGGAAAGGAAAGGAAAGGAAAGGAAAGGAAAGGAAAGGAAAGGAAAGGAAAGGAAAGGAAAGGAAAGGAAAGGAAAGGAAAGGAAAGGAAAGGAAAGGAAAGGAAAGGAAAGGAAAGGAAAGGAAAGGAAAGGAAAGGAAAGGAAAGGAAAGGAAAGGGAAAAAAAGAATTTCCACCAATCTATTGGATTTGTTTTATTAGAAAATGTGACTTCATCAACATATTTTCTTATTTCTATGCTATTATTGTTGTATGTTTAACATGATATATTTTATCATAAAAAGGACAATTTTTTGGATTTATTTACTCTAACATATATATATATGTTCAGCTGAAATTGAAATTATTTATTTTATAAATAATATATATCCTTCGGTTAGATATCCAATGCCAGTGTTTATTACTAATATTCTTTAAAAGGTGACTTGATATTTTAAACCGTGGGTCAATCATTGTTGATATAAATATTAAAGTAACCCAAAATGGCACATCACCAGTCGATTTGAATACAAAGAATTCGCTCCAATCAATCGATTCAAGGCTGCGATAGACCAGTTTTAGGAAATTAATCCCGGCCGGCAAACTCGAAATTTGAAATACAATCAAATTATATCTCTTGCACTTAGGTCAGCTGGTTTTCCTACCTCAATGGAGCCTTCTGGCTTATTTTCCGATAGTAGGCGTCTTGATGGGGTCACACGTATTCCATGGTCTCAAGGAAAGTTTTTAATATGGGATTTCTCTTGTCTGGACACTAACTCCCCCTCTAATTTTAACAAGGACGCTCTGAACAGAGCTCAAAATTTTAAGATCAGCAAATACAGCGCTGATTCCTCAAATTACGTATTCATAACCATCATTTGCTCAACCTTAACTACATATGGCGATTTGGCTAAAAACTTTTTTAAAGATGTTGTCCGCCTATTCAGAAAAAATTCTGGGGAACCTCGCGAAGATTTTTACTTAAGGTAGAGGATCGCAATAGCCATTCTTAAGGCTAATTATGTTTGTTTTATTAATTCGATCTCTCCTGATGATTAGATGAAGGAGATTAAGAATAATTTCTGCTGCTTTCGCTTATGCCTCAATATTATCCTTTTGTTATTATGATTTTTTTTTCGTAATTGTTTACTAATTATATATTTTTCAATGATGATTTATATTTTGAAATTGAGAATATAAAATTTTTTTTAATTATAATATATATATATACATAATAAACCTTGTCTTCATAATATTTTTATTGTCTTAAAATTTTAATAAAACTCAAGTTCATCTTTACTAACCCTTATTTTTTACAATTATAGTGCGCTTAATTGTAAAGTTCTTTAATTTGTTCAACTTTGATTTTGCATAACATTGGACCCTAAAATTTGACGAATCTTGCAGGAAGTATTGATTATTTATCCCTCTCTCGATTTATAAAATTATATTGAATTATATATAAAATATTTGCACTATTATCATAGACTAGCAGAGATAGCTTTTGCCCTGTCTGGCCCAGAAAATACTTTTATTTTTAATTTTTATAGCATATAATGATTTTTTTTTTTAAATCCTAATGAGATACTTTATTTAAATAACAATTTTCACAAATTTTTTATTACGAATTATAATTAAAAATATACGTAAAAAAAAAACTAATAATATATTAAAAATGAATTAAAAAATATGTATGTATATAAGATAAATGGGGTAAAAAAAAATAAAATTTTTTAAAAAGGGTACAAATCACCCCAGAGAAGAGGGAATGCTTAAAAAATTGGACCGGCAGATTTCCAGGGAAATCTGTTGACGAAAGTAAAATCCTTCATTGGGGTACCCTGAGATCTGCCTCATTTTTTTTCCTATAGTTTTGATGAAATTGAGAGCATCACCCGAACATGCCTAGGGTATTGGTAACGATTGGGATGAACACGGTATTAGTGAGGCAAGCATATTTTTTTTAGGATTTCGGCCTTTTCGATGGCAAAAAATGAGAGGTTTGACTTGGCGACAAAATCGACACAGGTATAGTCCCAAGCTAGGGGGAGACCATTAGTCCAGGGAATGAGAGATATGTCATCAGGGCGTATGGCGTTTTCGTTTGAGAGGCCCTCTGGTTCGAGGGTGGATGAAATATTTACTTTTTTAAGAGCTGCTAGGAGGATGTTGTTAATAGATTTATGACGCGGTTGTCGTCCATGAGAGAACTTGCAGTGCAAAGGATGGTAAGCTTTCGATTTGATGGGATGGCCACAGTCGATGCAAATGGAGGGAACTACGGCATTACAGCCAAAGCGGAGGGCTATGGAAATACGTAGCTGTTCTCCATTCAAGAGGAGGCCAAGATTGGAAGTGGGGATGGTTTTGACCATTAGCTACCTGAGCTTGCATATAATACTAAATTATTGGGATTGTCCTCAAAGGGCCTGTTCGAAATAAGGTATTCAACGGAACTAAAAATATGTTGATTTAATAAAAATAATAGCTCTCCCCGGGCCTATCAAATGATACCGGGCTTAGGTCCGGACCTGGAGATCTCTGAGATGTATTGCTACTACTTACAAGGGGTATCAATTCAATAGAAACAGTGTATATAAATAAATTTTAAGAAAAATCTGAGTGGAATAAACATTTTTTTTTAAAAAAATTACGACCGGGCTAATTTTTGACTCATAATGAAAGTTTGAAGAAAAAAAAAATATCAAAATATTGAGCAAATATTTTTGAAGATTATTCTTAAACCAATATTCTTTTTTTTAAAAATAAAAATCTTTTATAAGTAAATATTTTATAATTTTGGGCATAAGATATTAAAAGAATTTTTTTTTCAAACTATTTATATGAAATATTATATTAATTTAATATTTAACAATAATTTTTATCAAAGATTAGAATGTAATTCGAATTTTATAGAAACCTATCCAAAATATTTAATGGTTTTGGTTAAATAATAAGATAATTTCAAATAAAGAGACATCAAGATAAAGAGGTGGGAATTGGTAATTTTCTATAAAATATGATATTTTATAAAAGCATCAAAAAAAATTAATAATTTTCTTTTCAGAAACTCAAGACCAACTAAAATCAAGTGTTAGAACAAGATCTAACCCTGACTAAGTAGATGCCCTATTCCAATATGGTCAGATTAGGAAGGTCAAATAAAATGCTTTGATATACCTTAATAGTATTAATAATAATTGAAATATGATATATCAAAAATTTTATATTTCCTTTATAAATTGTGAAAATAAAGTTAAAAATTTGTATATTACGCATCTTGATATAATATTACAAAAATTAAATTAAATTTTTATCTCATGTTTTTGTTATGAAGTTTGTCTGGGTATTTTTTTAATTAAATAAAATTTTATTAAAAATCAATTACATACAAAATATACAATACATATTATAGTTATAATTTCTCTTTTTTTTAATAATTATTTCTAAAAATTTTGCAAATACAAGCATAATATGATTTCCTTTTTAAAAATTTGGCATATATTTTAAGAGAAAAAAATATTGTTATTTCATCGGGATAAGAAACATAAAATATTGAAGAAAAAAAAAAGAAAAAATAATAGTATAGTAATGAGATCATTAAAACCCACGGCTCACCTGAAAGACCGGTTCGCGGGTCGGAAAAATATTTCAAAAAAATGTAACGGGTCGGGTTTAGCGTAAATTTTAATGATGGACCGAACAGTTTGTTCATAATAGTTTTTAGGTTTTGATTGGACCTGGCCTTTTAACACATAATTGAAATCTAATTAAGGAGGAGAATTACTACAAATTTGAATACATTTACCAACCTTATATCATTTGTATATTAAAAAAAACATACACTCAAAATAAAATAAGCTTCAACGGTTGGTGATGAATACTTTGTGCAATTTCTTGCGTGACAATGAATGAATAAATATTTGAAGAGTTTCAATATGGGAGTTTAAACCCTTCATACCATTCTTGACATTTATACCATTTAGTAGACATAATAAAAACTAAACAAACTATTGCAATTTTAAAAATCGAATAATAAATTATTTATCTGAATACGAATAATCATTTATTCGATTCGAATAAAACGAATTATTCGAATAAAACGAATTATTCGTAATATTTAATAAATTGTTTAATAAATCTAACATTTGTCACTTCTATTTGTTGACCTGCCAATCTGACAGGTGATGTGTTTGTGTTTATAAAGATTCTAGCATAAATTTAAAAATTTCTGAAGTGAAAATTTAAATTTTTATTTGCCACATTTTTTGAATCTCACGAAAAGTTTATTTTTTGAATCTCATAATAAATTATATTAAAAATTAAACAAACCAGAGGTATATAAAAATATATTACATCTCTAACAATAATTATTGTTAGCTAGCCTAATTATATTAGAGGAGAATGCTTCTGATGAAATTATGCTTGATGTTGAAGATGAGAAAATTTCCTCACAAAAGAGAGCAATCATATGGGATCAATATCAAATCCTTAAAGAAGGTGAAAAGGCTTCTTGCAATCATTGCAAGAGTATTATAAAATGTAAAGGCAAAACAACCTCTCCTCTTATTAATCATTATAATAGGTTTCATTCACACCTTAGTAAAAAAAATAATAAAATTCACATTTTTTTAAAGTCTACACCAAATTCTTCAAAAAATAATTAATTTTAAGGATAATTTATTAAAATTATTGATAAATAATAATATACCTTTTAAAATTATAAATTCAAATGATTTTAAAAATTTTATAAGTGATCTTGATTGTTCTGTAAAATCATTATGCTCCAATACTTTTAAATTGCACATGTATAATATATTTGCAGATAAAGAACAGTTGGTAAAGGAAAAATATATAAAAATAAAACAGTTTAATTTTTCATCTGACATTTGGACTAGCAACACAGGTTCCTTTTTTAAGGCTAACAGCCCATTTTATTGATGATAATTTTAAAATAAATAACATAATTTTGGATGTCAGTCCAATAAATGAAACACATTCAGGTGAAAATTTATTTAAAGCCTTTGTTAAAATAATTAAAATTTATAATTTAGAGAATAAAAATTTTTATATAACTTTTAGATAATGCAACTAATAATAAAACATTTATTGATACATTTTCTTTAAAATATCCATTAATAAAAATAGGGCACATCCGATGCTTTGCCCATGTAATTAATTTTATATCCAAAGAAATTTTAAAAATTTTAGATCCTTCAATTCTAAAACTAAGAAACATTATTAGAATGATTAGTATGTGGTGGAAAGCAAATGCATATAGGATCCCCATGCTCTCGAAAAAGCCAAGGGATTATCTATCTATACAAGGAGCAACAACTGCTTGTGAAAGGCTTTTTTCAGTTGGAACTAATTTATTGTCAAAAAACCGCATCTCATATAAGGAAGAAAATAAAAGAAAAACTCTTTGCCTTAAAAATTGGCTAAAATTATAAAATAAATTAATAATATACATTTTAATTTTGTTTATAACTTGATTATATATTATTTATTATCAGATTATTGATTACATATTATTATAATTTTTTCTGTTTAAAATCAAATTTGTAATAAAAAAATTTGTCAATATATTTGAGTATGATTTATTTTATTAAAAAAATTAATTCGAAATATTCGAATAATTCGAATCGAATACAAATAGTAGATTTTATTATTCGTACGAATTCAAATAGTAAATTATTCGATTCGTTACTATTCGATTCGAATTCGTTTAGGCCTAGTACATAGCAATTTAAACTGATAACCAATTCTCATATTATATCCATATGTACAATCGTTACAAGGGCGTGCTAAAATTTAAGCGGCACATGATGAAAATAAATTTGGTGTTAGTTATTTAAAAACATTCAAATTTAACTAGGCTTTATTAAATATTGTAAAATTACGTATGTTAACAACCATATGGCCATTAAGTCTTGGTCCAATAGCTTACCGGACCTCATCGTTTGTAAGTAGTAAATCAAGATTACGTGAAAGGATGGTTTCAAAAAATTCATAACCGTTTCCTGACGAAGCTGAAAAGAGAAGGGAATGTTCCACAGGTTAACTTATAGATTTAAGAAACTCGACGGATTTGCCAACCAATAGTAAATCCCAATCTCTCTGCAATGACTTCGACTAGGGAAGAGTCCGAAGAACGATGGTCTGAAATAGTAGAGGATCTGGGCGAGTCTTTAATTTGTATGATTGGAACACGTGATAAACGCTAAAGTATGAAGGCACTTACGGAGAGTAGGGAAGGTGATCATATTCCTATTTCACCTGTATGTTTAAAACTTAAAAATGACCATTTGTTCGGTCAATATTTTGATCTCTTGTTCGTAGGTAGAAAGAATGGCAGGATATTGAAGAATACGCTATGATCTTAGGGCTTAACTAAATTAATTCTTTAAATTAAATAGTTTCGCAAATTTGATACTAAGAATTTTAAAAGATATCGCCTTGCGATGATTTGCCAATATAGTAATGAGTTTGCTTAATCTTATTATCATTCAATACAGTAATTTGCAACCTTGATTGATGATAGAATAATAACGGGCTCGATCAACCAAGTCAACATGGTAATAGGCATAATAAAATCTTATGAAAACATAGTGTCCCCTAAACAGGAACGTTTAGAAGGATTTCAGGTTTAACCGTACTGAGATAGAGTACCTCACATATCCAGGGACACTCTTAGGCAATGAACACTCCTTCGCTAAATTTTAGGCAGAAACAGGTTCTCAAATAAACGCATGACATCTTACAGCATCTCTCTGAACAACAGTTAGATAAAAAAATTACCTTGTAATTCCGAATATTCTATATAAATTACAACTTGACTCGTAGTTTAAATACATGGTATCGTATGTAAACTTTATTTCAAATATATATATAAAAAGCCATAGTCGAAATTATAATTTTTCATTGCTTTTTATATCATTTTTTTTATTTACCTTATTTAAATGATCATAAATTATAATATAAAATAAATAATTCAATTACATATCTGACTTTCGCGCATCAAAATTTTTCTTTACTAAAAAAAAAACTATATAGTTTTTATAATAAATTACTATTTAAAAATAAAAAACTATTTGCATCATAATAAAAACATAAACTGTTTAATTACGAAATCATCTGAATTCAAAAAAAAAATATAACAAAATATGCACATAACTTGCGACAAATGGCTCTAAGTCTCAAATCTTTCTTAACTTGGAAGTATCTGAAGGAATTTTTCCTTCGAGCATATGGTTTATGAACTGGGTAATTTTTTGTAAGATTTTAATCAACCGTTTCAAATTTTAATATTCTATTAGAGTGTTTTTAAATTTTTTATATAGTTTGAAAGTTATATTTAAATAATGAAATATATAGATAATACATTGTAAAATGGGAATGCTGGAAAGAAGGGGAAAGATCAGAATAAAAATTCCAACAGAAGAATGAGTTAATAGAACATTAGAAATACGATTTGATGACTAAGGGTTATTTAGAGTAAAACTCTGCCGGTCCCCTGTCTTGACTGAAATTAGTCTTCTTGTTTTTTATTTAGGTCTTGGGTTTAAGGACCAAAAATTGCAAGATTACGATGGCCGGAATGAAATAATATTTATCACATTCCAATTTTTTTGTAACTACTAAATCTTTGTTTAAGTTTGACGAACAACGCTTCGATAATGCAAGAAAAACCCTAACTACGAACTTTCCATCTTCTTAAGGTAATCTAGTGACTCCATTAGGTCTTCAATTATCAAGAAACACAATCCTATGGACTTTGTCATGAAAGGAATCCCATTAGAACTTAACTAACGCTTAAAGCTAGTTGCTTAGAGTGTGCAGGGATGCTCGTCCCCTACTAATCTTAAATTCTTAATCATTGAATTCTGAGCCAAGGTTTTGGATGGGATTGGATGGGATTGCTTCTAAAAATCATGTTCTGAACCATTGTTTAAAGTAGCAGAGGGATAATAGTCGACAAATTGAAAATTGGTGGCAAGATAATTATATATCTGCTATTATGAGCGCTAGTCTTTCCTGATAAGTTTAATCGGAAGGAAGAGTGTCAGGTCCATTAGTGTTATATAAAGTGAAAGCTTCATCTATAAAAACTACAATATAATAATAAAAATCAAATAATATTAGAGGTAATTTTTTATATAGAATATTAAATTTTTATAGATTATTAGAAAATAACTTACAGCCAGCTATATTATTTTAATTTTTCCGCATATACTTTACTGGCACTAGGTAATTATAATAGTTATTAGTAGCATTCTTTATATCTTTAATAGTTTTTTAATTTATAACATTATATTATATGTTTGTATATTATATCGCGGCTATAAAAGTCAAATATTCAAAGTATCGATAATTGTAAAAATTAATTTATTTTCTTGTTGAAATAATATTCAAATGCTTTTTTTTTAAAAAATATACAATTAACTTCTTGCAGAAATAAATGATAAATTTTGCCACCACTTAAATAAATATCTTTAATTCTTGTCCAACTCTGACCCTTAAAATTCCCTGCATTATTGATTTATAAAACTTTGTTTTATTTTTAGACCAATCCAAGATATTAACATAACATAACAAAATAATGAACTGGAGTTTCTTTTATTTAGGTATAAATGATAATTACTCTTCATTTTAGTATAAAAAGAAAATTTTATATTTCTTTGATTATTTCTTAAACTCCGGGTCCTAAATTTTTTTTTATATATTCGTGCCAAAAAATAAATTTTTAAAAATAACTTATGGTGGGACGGATTAATTTTATCACTCAAAAATCTATTTTTAATTTAAAAGAAATTAATTTTTCGTTCAAAATAAAGTAAAAATCTGTGCAAATAAATAAATTTTTTTTTTAAATATATATTTTTATTTTGTAATTTCATAAATTTTAATAAATTTTATATTTTTTTCTTCCATTTATAAACCCACCCAGGTAAGTCTTATTTTATTTAGCTTATAAAAAAAAATAAGGAGGTCATTAAAGAGCTATAATAGCAATCTACTCCTTAGATTTGAGGTTCAGAGTGGCGCAGCTAGAGGTCTGCAATAGGTGAGCTTTTAATCCGCCAGCCCATGCTTTATAAAATATTTTATACGTTGGGCGGGTAGCGGGCTGGTTAAAAACTTATTTTTTAAAGTAATGGGTAGCTGAATTTTTTAATATTTTTCGGGCGAAATGTATAAAACGGCCTTCAGTTTTATCGAAAAATAATAATTTTATTCATAATATTGTATATTATTCATGTTTTTAATTTGAATAAAAAAGCAATAAAGGAAATAATTAAAGAGCCATAATAGTTTTTAATGGGTGAGCGGACGGGTTAAAAAAAATTAAAACAGCTAAAAACCGACATTGCAGACCTCTAGGCGCTCTGATTTATTTAAGGAGGTGGAACGAGTGATAAGTCCTAACATTCTCTGATAAAATGGGTATTGTGAGGATCAGACATATTCGATATTGAACTTTTTAGTAATAAATTCGATAATTTTTTCAAGTAATTCAATTTTGCCTTTTATAGTAGCAATTTTCAAATTAACTTGAATATAATAATTTTTCTGGGCAGGAAATGAGGGAAGATATGGCGTCTTAAATAAGGTCCCATAGGACCGAATCTGAAGATTTACCTATTTTAGAACAAATAAGTTCATATAAAAACGGAAGCTAGGTCGTTCTGGGATAGAGGAATGAGCCATAAAGACCCCCATCCCCATCTAAAGGGTGGGAGAAGGGGGGGGGGGGGGTGACGTCACTAAATGCCAGTTTTCTTTAGGAAAATTCTAAATAGGTTGTTCAGAAAATTAACGAAAACCCTTAAAGAAACGTGTGGTTTTTGGTTAAAATACTCTATTTCTTAGAAAGAGGTTTATAAAGTAAAAGATGGCATCAAAATATTTTACCGATAAATGGAGGTTCGAGATATTAATATCTATTATAATATAAATAGATTAAGATATAATCGGATCAGTTTATTATTATTAGTTATATTTATATAGACCTAATTTATTTTATTTAAATAGTTTATAAAATTATTTTGAAAATTTTTTCATAATTATGACTTCATTTTTATGTAATGCTCACGCTTTGATTTTTGGGATCTATGGTGTGCAAGTATTATGTTTCAATTCTCGCTCTAATGAAGGTATAGATTATACAAAATATATTTTATTTAATTTTTTTTTTAAAAATGCCTACATATAATATAATTGTGGTAAATATGTATTTTGTCTAAAAACGCTATTAGCCTTTTTTAAAAAGAGTTGCCACAGCTAGTCCTTAGGCTCAAGTGAAGCAATGCAGTCAGCTGGCCTAAGGGTGCAAAAGAAATTTTATTTTTTAGAGGTGGCCATTATAAAAAAATAGTAATATTAATAATGATTTTTTAAAAAAATAAATTTCAAGTTTTATTAAAGTGTTATTAACGGTTCCTATATTAAAAATTTTTCAATTATAAAATGAATTCTGACTAATATGTATGGTTTAATAAAAAGTCTCAGCATAAAAAAATTATTTAATAAATTGTCGGCTGAGTATTAGATTGTTCTATATTCTTTTTCTAAAATTTTTCAGTAGGGCATATCTAAAAAAAAACAATTTTCTAGGATTATAGGTAGGAAATCACGCGATAAAATTGTAGATAAAATAATATTTCTAAAATATTTTGTTTCAATAATTTTTATTGTCGAGATGGAGGAATACAGAATTAAGGAAGAATTGATTTTATCGAGAAAAAATAAAATATGCACTTTATAAACATTTTAATACTCAACCGACCCAATAGTTTGTCGTTTATATTATTTTAATATATATGTTTCATCCAACAAAAAATTTAATTAATCTCTTAAAAGAGGATACTTCCTTCGATAAAGCCTCAGCGCCTGCACTGGAGCTGGCTCTTGATATTCTAAATAAAAAGCTAGCTATCTTCTAAAATTTTGTAAAAAAAAAAAACGAACGCCGCCAAAGCATAGGTTTTTTTTTAAGAAAAATACAAATGTTGATAAAATAATTAGATTTTTAAATTTAAAAATATATAACACAATCTTTCTAAGCTTAAATATTTTTAAAATAAATATTTTTTGCAATAGATACGCGGATCAAAAAGAAATGTCAAAGCAAAAACCCAGGATTTGAAATATTCTGGAACATTCCTACGATTACATGTGGGAATGAGACAGACAAAGAAATTCCTCTTTCCCCCTACGGAATCGTAGCTAATGAGAAACAAGACTTTTTTGGTTCAAAGATCAACATATTCTACCTGAATAGGGGTCTGTGGCCACATTATGAAAAAAATGACATGGTAAAAATTTTATATTGCCTAATAAAATATTATTCACAAACTTTAAAGCTTACAGAGGTCAACGGGGGCATACCTCAAAGAGGAGATATCGAAAAGCATTTGAACTTTTTTGCCGGAAGTGTGAACAAGTCAATACCAGACCCTTCGTTTCATGTGAGTTCATTTGACAGATATTTAGTTTTAGTTTTTAAAATGGATATCAATATCGAGAGTAAATTTAATACAGTTTTACTTTTGTTAAATTGAATATTCTAGGACTTTTGCATTCCATAAAAACTAACTCAAGGATGGATACCCATTAAATATATGTAGCAGAGCTGCTGATTCTTTTAGGATTATAGAATCCCAGCGTTTTTTGTTCGGAATCTTCTAAAGAAACCCTGAGAATTCGTAAATCATTAACGCAGCATTTTCAGTTTAGACTGTTCACTAGTTATTCGACCTTATTCATTCTATGACAAATGATAAAAAATATATGGTGCATTCTTTTTGAATAAAAAGGGTTGATAATGATTAATATTTAATGGCTCTGGTTCCAACTTATTACTTTAGGATTTTTTTTCCATCCCTAATATTTATCGTTTACTATATTAATATGTACTATAATTAATAGAACTCTATAAAAAAAAATTAAAAAAACTGTATCATTAAAAATACAATTTTATAAATAAGTTCCCAAATAGGAACAATAACTATTCAATTTTTTTGGCGCATATATAAAAATTAGTTTCATTTGTAAAAAGTCATATTTTATTGCCTAACTTATATGCTAATAGTGAAAAATATCCATTTGCGGAGATTACTAGCTATTGGAATGAATATGAAGTTGTTAAAATTTTTGTATGCTTTCTTTTTAGTTTCTGCTTGTAATAGTGGATTGATATTTAAGTTTGAGGGAAATGAAAAGAGGTATGTGTAGTCCCATATTAGTAATTTTCCCAGGGCCCAAGGTATGGTTGTCATACCATCAGGTCTTAAGCCATGTACTTGATATAAATTGTGGGTTCGATGGTAAACCTCGATTGTTTATTGCTGAGTGGCGTTGGTGTCGCCCTTTATTATATATAATTTTTGATGCAAGCATGAAACTGTATTTTTAAAATTTGAACATATATATAAGGATCAATATGTCTTTCTGCAATTATACATCCAGCATTCAAACTTCAATTGTAATGGATAAAACTTCCACAGAACGAACCTATTAAAAATAAACTTTAGCGTTATTGAAAAAAATGCTTAAAAAACCCTAGAGAACTGTTAATTTCGAGATATCCTTTTTTTTGTCGAGAGTAGAGAATGGATTGGAGGAGAATAACTTATCTCAATTTTTTGCAAATAACAAAACAATATGTTTTTATTTAATTCTCCATGTCAAAAGAGATGGATGATTTGTATTTGATGCAAGCATGAGGCTGTACGATATCAGAACCTAGATATAAACTGATGGCTGTCAGTTGTTCGTCTGATAGAGATTACTAAGGTTACTAATAGGGAGTGATTCTAACCATTTATGACCCCAACTCTGTAATATGATTGAAGGAGTTGAATGCAATCTAAAGGTGGATTGACTGATATATAGGTTTGGTACTTCGAAATTAAAGGAGTAAAAAAAATTTGTGAATGTGTGATGGATGGTATATGAATGTTAATTGGTATATTAACCTTCCATTTGTTAATTGCGCCTTCTAATAAATCATCGTTAGGACATGTGAAGCCCAAAATCATAGAATTGTTTGTTTATCTGGATAATAAAAATGATTATAAGGATAAAAGATTCAGTGAGAATGTCTATACCGCTTGATTGAGGAGGTAATTGGGCAAGTGACCAATTGAATTGGTTTAAGTTTATGTTTAAAATTTTTTCTATAAATATTTTAAATTGATCCTGTATTTTATATATGAATTCTTTTTCGATATGCCAAATTTTTCATATATATATAGGCATTTGCTTATTAAAAATAAACTATGGTGTGGTGTAAGATGGCATAGAAAGTGCTTCATGCTGTAAAAGTTTTAAAAATGTTATGAAGGAAATCTTCTAACTTGGTAGCATTAGCTAATGGGGACCTTAGTTGGGTTAAACTACCTGGAGCAATAATTTTATAGCCTTCAAAATTTTGCAACTTGTTGTTTAAAAAGATAAATATTTATGTTAAGTGTTAAACCGGTGGCTTGAGAATAGGTGTCCGAGTATTTAAAACGCTAAGTACATTCGCTGAGATGCCGCAGATGGTACCATCGTCATAATACCACAGGTCTATGTTAAATTTTTTTAAATTTGGTAAATGAGAAGATGGATCCCCTTATTTCTTATTGGGACAGAATCTGAAAAGGTCCATATGTCAGAGGCGTAAGCCATATAGAGATTCAAATAAATTTAGAAACAGGGAAAAGTTTCATAGAAGAATTTTAAAAATGAGGTACAATATAGGCTATTGAAGGTGTTATTAAAATCGAGTTTACATATTACTGAGTCTCATGGCAGGTTTTCTATCTATATTCTTAAAGTATAAGCCACGATTTCTCATCAGCCCTTAATCCCGAAACCTAGTTGATAACTTTAATAAATTAGATTAAATTCATAATATTTATATCCATGACTGCGACAATATAATATTTGGGGTAATTCATACCAGCACTTATTTATACATCCATATCAATATATATAGATCCGGATATCACATTAAAATAGATGCTATGGGTGTTAGGTAGTTAACTTTCACCCAATACTATATTAATAATAAATATATATATAATCATTATAAAATATATCTGATTCATAATATACAAATAATGATGATATATTCATACATATATTTCCATAATATAAATAATAACCAGATACAATAATATTATTATTCTTTCAGCAATAGGTATATATTTAATTAAATGTTAAATTTCTTAAACACTAGAGATTTTAGAATGTTCCTGGTATATTGTTAGCCTAAATTATAAATCAGTTAGTGTTGTAGAAGATCTTGAATTAGGTGCTTTTATGAAAAATATCTAAATAAATTTTAAAAAAAGGTTCAATATTAGATGCAATTAAACTAACGCCACATCTATAGAGAATATATAGATAATGACATAAGCGTCGGGGAGGGTTATATATTTTTCTTAATTACTTATTAGCAAAAAAATTGTTTTTTATGATTTTAACGGGGCTCTTCAAGATATACTTGTTTGGCCGGGAATTGAAGGCACCTATGCAGATATATATATATATATATGTGGTATAAATTTAAGGATATTGGAAAATAAACTTTCATTATATCGATATATAATATTCCCTAAAACCAATATAACGATAATAAACATTGAAAGATTTTAACTAAATCGAAAAATCTTAAATGAAACATATTGAAAAATTGAAAATTATTTGATATTTCGTTATATCTCTTAATTTAAGCCTTGAGAAGCCTTCAATGAAAATAGTGTCGTTTAAATGACTTGATATGAGCCGGTTTTTTAAACGGCTAACTCGATATTCCCACCCTAAAAATATCGCATAAGCCTTGATATTTCGCTAATGGATGTCTAAACTGATGTGCCCAAATTTGATAAAAATCTTCAGTCTTATATTTTTTTCTGGATAAAATATATAGTTAGCCGTTTTTTAAAAAATGGGTTGAAAACGAGACGTTTAATAACACAAAATGTAAACAAATGACAAGAGATTATTTGTGAGGTGATTATGGATCCAAATTAACTGCCGTTATTTCAGTAATTCATCATCTTTCCGTCACGATATTTATAAAACGCAAAACATTCTTATAACAACTTTATAAAATTGATTATGTGGTTAGTCAAAAGAAGGAATTTAAAATGGTCAGTTACCTCTGAATTTATTGTATTTTATTGCTTAAATTATTTTTTCGCACATCGATAGGGTCTAGCCGTGATCGATTTCGAAGAATACTTGCCGAGTCTTAGCCTATTATCGGGAGATCTCAAAGATTACTACAAGGTTGGTTAACTTAAATTTAACCAAATTATTAAATTGTACCATTTCATCTTCAACCTCATGATCAATTCCTAAGGAATTAATTAATAAATATTTTTATTTTTTTTTAAAAATAATTAATTATTCCTTTCTAATTATGATATACATATTTTTTTTACTTGTTTAAACCTCATAATTTATATTTTAAAATAAATTTTAATCACAAAAGCAAAAATCATTGGAATTCGCTACAGAAAAACACCCAGAAATAAAAGATAGCAATAAGTTGAATACTATAAGTGTCAACCTTTTTAACAAGGCTGCCAGACTTTTTTTCGAATCCACTCTTAAATTAGGGATTCAAATGAGACCCAATGCTAAATGGGGGTATTATGGATTTCCTTATTGTTACAGAGGGTATAAAAAATTTACTTTTTTTTAAAAAAAAAAAAATTTGTTATAGTTTTTGCTGTAAAACAGTGGGAATAATTCTAAAGTTCAACTTAGACTTCATTATTTTATATAAAGACATTTTAAAAAATGATTCAACCAAATTAAATTACATGAATTTTTTTAAATTCCAATTTTAAGACCGGATCGGCCAAAGACCGGCTTCCGCCCAAAAAAAACGCACTTCCGTTTTCGAAAAAAGGCTATCAGTCTGGTCTTTGGTTATCCATCTTTTTTACAAAAAAATAATTGTATACTTTGAAATTATTCCATCTTTTATTAAAATATTATGAAAAAAACATAGTCAATTAGACAATTTAAATTGTACCGATAGCATGGTCGCAATGAACAACAAAAATTTATGGTTGTACGAAGCCTCCTCCGCACTTTTCCCTACCATTTATCTGAGTAACAAACCGTTTCCTAGGGCCATAGATGCTGGTATTTGGATACATAAAGGTTTTTTTTTAAACAAAAAAATTTAAGCTATCCCTTTTAACTTTTATTCAGACTGCAAATACGACTATTTTTTGTTACTTATTGAGTCTTTAAAACTTAATACTTTAGGAATATCGAGATTCAAAAGATTTAAGAGTATGATGAAGTTATATCATAAAAAAAACTAACATCTTGTTTCAGAAATAGTCATAATTTCTTGATATATTTTGGAAATGAACCAAGGTTTGATCCGCTGACGTTGCAATCTTCGTTTATCCCCTGGAGGGTGTTCCCTTGGTTTGAGGCCAATGCTAGCTGTTTTTGCAGGATCAATTTATTTACTAATATTGTCTCTAACCGTTTCTTTGCTTAGGTAAAGTTTTTTTGGTTATGGCGGATTATTCATTCCTTCTTCTTGCAAATCAAGAATATTGTCCTAGGTAATTCGATCAATTGGAATCTTACTGGGCATTTGAAATTAAAATTCAAAAATAATGGTTTTTAAAAAAAGAGTAGTTTTTTAAACTTGTCTTTTGTAGATGATTAAAAGCAGACGATTTCACATTCACTCTACTATTAGTTTATAATCATTTATAACTTCAAATTTTATAAAAAATTTGAAACATAAAATAGCCTTAATATAATGAAATAGTCGTTCTGCATTAGCAATTATGTATGGTTGCTCATTTTAGTGCTTTAATAGTGGGTTCATCTATCAAATTAAGGAGGTAATAGAAGGAAAGTTTGGGTCATCTCGCAATATATTCATGAATGATGCATTATCAAATACCACCATATCTCGAAAGGTTGAATGGATAGATCCAAAAGTGTTATATTTGCAAATAAATCTTCTATTCTCTTTTATTATTTCTCCATCTTCATAATAATAAGTAGGGTTTTTAGCCTACTTGAAAAATATAGAGATGCTTCCATTAAAACAATTAAATTTATCAAATTAAAATGAAAATTTAATTTATTGAAAATTAAAATGGGAATTTTTGTTTTAAAATGTCTTGAACAGCAGTATTAATTAGTTGACTAAAAAAATTTTTTAGCCAATCATGTGTGACGTAATTATCAATATTAGGCTTAAATTCCAAATTAGTGGCTCAAATTATTATTGGAGTGGACTAACGTTCCCCTCTCAACTTGCCCCAGTTTCCCTTATATACAGAAATAATTTGTAATAAAATTAATCAATAAAAGTATACCAAGAGGTTAACAGGCTTCGCAGCAAATTGGTCGATAAATATTTACCGGCTTACCCTTATTTCCGGTTCGAGTACCAGGCAGAAGAGGGCGAAAAATATGAAAAATATCTTCAAATGAAGGATTTGAGGTTTTCCTTCAAGCAGGCACTGGATATGGGGATGGATGGAATGGTAAATTAATCTTGTAAAACATTAGCAATTTTTTTATAATTTTAAAAAGAGAAGAAAAGAAAAGAAAAGAAAAGAAAAGAAAAGAAAAGAAAAGAAAAGAAAAGAAAGAAAGAAAAGAAAAGAAAAGAAAAGAAAAGAAAAGAAAGAAAAAGAAAAGAAAAGAAAAGAAAAGAAAAGAAAAGAAAAGAAAAGAAAAGAAAAGAAAAGAAAGAAAGAAAAGAAAAGAAAAGAAAAGAAAAGAAAAAGAAAAGAAAAGAAAGAAAGAAAAGAAAAGAAAAGAAAAGAAAAGAAAAGAAAAGAAAAGAAAAGAAAAGAAAAGAAAAGAAAAGAAAAGAAAAGAAAAGAAAAGAAAAGAAAAGAAAAGAAAAGAAAAGAAAGAAAGCAACAACTAATTTTCAAAAATTGATTTAATACCATTTGTTATATCAGTTGCTATAGCTAGAATTTCTTATCTTTCTCTCGTCATTTTATAATTATAAATATTTTAAAAATAAATGTATTATATTTTCAGATTATTTGGGCATCCTCGAAAAATTTATCAGCTAAATGTTCAAACATCAGCCATTATGTGAGAGATTATTTAGGCCCCATATCGAATATTAGCAAACATTTTGCTAAAAGTATGGAATGATGAAAAACAATCTTATATTAAATTTTTGATACTTTAAGGAAATCTTAAATAAACACTTTGGAGATGTTTTTTATTTTTTTGTTTTTTTTTCCAAAGTTTTAAAAAATGTGGGAATTATTTTCAAGTTGTTTCGGAAAATAGATTTTAAATTAAAATCTTAGAGAAGCTGGCAGTTAGTGTTATTTAGCCGGATATAGGTTGATTTTTCACAACGGCCTGATTAAGATTTTGGTTAAAATAATATTATGTTAAGCATCGAAATTTGGCGAACAGATGCCCCAAGCATTTCTGCCAGCTACGAGTAAAAATCTTTAGGTCTTCCAGAATGTTTTTTTTAGTTATAATTTTAATAGTGCAGGTTTTTTTTTTAAATCGACCCAAATTTGGCTTTTTATAACAACACTAATGGCAGTGGAATCAGATTTGAGGATTAAACAGCCATTTTATAATAAATTGCCTAATTTTAGATTTGAATTTCGCTTTCTTATTTTTTATGATTGTTAATTGATCTTTTGATACTTCGATGGGGACTAGATATATATATATATATAACATATGTTATTATACATTATTTAATTTTCAATTTTATATACATATATATATATACAAGTTTGCAAAAAGGTACTAGTTTGTTGTAACAACTCTATCGCAACCTCCGATCAAAATTCCTCTTTAGTCAATTACCAACCAAGGGAGAGTAAATGTGTCAAAATTGATTCCGAGAACATAGATTATATAAAAGAAATTTTGAATTCCACTGACGACATTAATTTGACCTATCCCCAAAGTTACGATAAAATCAAAACTGAATACCAATGCGCTACCTATTAAAAATTATATATATTATATATACACTTACATTTAAAGTAGAAATATTTGGGGTTGTAGGGGAATTTTATTTATTTTTTAAATATTATTATTTAAATATAGATAATCCTAATAAAATTAGATTCTAGACAGCAAATGGGCATCGGTATTACAACATTAAACTAGTTGAAATATAAAATCATATTATGGATCAGATCATTAAGCATTCCATATTGTCACCTGCTTAGATTCATTACCACAACATACAGAGCTAGAATTCATTTTTAAAATGAGCGAATTTTAAATTTTTTTTAAATTAAGAACAAACATGGAAGCTAGAAATTAGTACTTTTTTAAAAAACAAATACCACTACTCTTGCCGAAAATAAAATTAGGATCTAGACCCGTACTTCCTGTAGGTTGAGTCTCTATTTCTAATAAGATCAAGATATCAAATGATTTACAATTCTTAATTACATTTTATTAGTGATGGGGGCCATTTTAGGGCCGAGTAAAAATTGCCTACGCGATTCGGTAAAGAACGCGTGGCGGGGTATTGGTAGTAGTTTTCAACTAGCAATAACCGCACCTCGGTAAAACATCATCGGTTACGGTATCGCCACTGCGCAAAGTTAGTTTTGATAGATCTTATGTTAAACTTATATAGCCATATTTTGGGGTCCCGGATATGGTGTCTTCTAAAGGTTTAATTTCTGGAATGCTTTATAAATCGTTTAGTAGATAAAATACTAGGATGTTATGCGTAAAATGGTTAAAAATATTACATTTTAAGAAAAATTAAAAATTTAAGAAAGTTTATACAATTCCCTTAACAATTATACCCGGCAAATATTTAATGCCATCTATATTATTATTATTTAATAGAATTATATTTTGCTAGAGTAGGCAATGCTGATGTTTTTTTTTAAAAAAAAAAATTTATAAAATATAATGATATAAACAAATTATTCTAAAATTAAAATTAATTGAATAACCCTTGAATAAATAAAAAAAATTAAAAAATGGCCCCCATAAAACATATGGTTAATGTATAGATGATTGACATCAAATTAATACACGCAATTATATAACTATGAATAATTTTATTTCATTAATTCATAATTATAATCTCTTCAAAAAAATAAGTTTCTATCTAGTAAATTTTTGAGCATAATCGCCAGTGCGCAAAGTAATACCTAAAACGAATTATTTGTTATTCGATATTCAACACAATTATTCGATTCGAAAATTCTAATCGAATTCGAGGAAAATATATTATTCGTCGAATAATTTTTTTATCGATTATTCGAGACTATTCGATTAAAATAATTTTAAATATTAATAAATATTGGAAAATAATCATATATTATTAGTAGGAATTATTAAAAATTACTCCAATTTCATAAAAATTTCCTAGTGGAATAATGACTAAACATTTTATATTTCTAAAATTGTTGCTAACGGCTGTTTTTATTTGAAATAACTTCATAATATAAAATTAACTTCCGAAAATTGTTTTATGATGGACGAAGAAAATATTTATTTTTATAAGCATTTTATAACATATTATATAGTTATAATAAACTAGTAGCTATCCCATCAAGAATGACGGGCGAAGCAGATATTTATCCTTCGTTTGATGATGGAATCATAAATTTGACTTTTTGCCTAAAATTTTTACCACTTTGTTTGTAAAATATCGCTAGATGTGAGTTTTAACATATCTTACGATTTATTATTTCCCTACAATTATTTGTTCATATACAAGGTACTAATACTTATATTAACGCTTTTGTAAAAAAAATAATGGAAATTTAGGAAACCACCTCTCATCAAAATAAAAATATATTTTTGGTTCACATCTCATAAGATAGGCAAATTTCTTATTTATACATCATTTAAATGAAGGAAAAATATCTGATTTACCAATGATTCAACGGTTATACTATTTCAAGTTTATAAATAATTAAAAAGATTTATTTTATATATTATATATTATTTTAGTTTATGTTAATAACATTAATAATAATAATTAAATATCAATGTATAATATGATGTATGTATAATCTAAAAATTAAAAACATGCTTTTCTAATAAATGGATAAAAAATTTATCATTAATTTGAGAATAATTTATAAATTTTTATGGTATTTGAGATTAAAAATAACCATTCAATCTCGGTAGGAATTTCTTATTGCCCAAATCAAGGGTAATTTATGTTTAATCGTAAATGTTATATAAACATCTGTTTTTTTATTCGGGTTAAGGTGATATTTAGGATTTGATGCTCAAATGTTTTATTTTATATTTTTTTTAATATCCAATAAAAAAATTAATTTGATATGGTGTAAAATATAAAAGGTTTTAAAAATAATAATAAAGTGATTTTTTTAAAAAAAATTATTTCATTTTGAATAGTTTTACGTAAATAATTAGGGCCATCTATTAACATTATTAATATTTAAATTAAGTTATGAGGGATAAAAGTAAATAAATTTCAGAGCTCTTTACAAAGATTTGACTTTGCTGATTTCGATTAAATTATTCATCCAAATTATCCTTTCAGTCTTTGTAAGGGCCCTAAAACACGCGATATACTGACGTCATTGAAATTTGCATGTAGGAGATAATCTATTCAATATTCATAGTCAGTATTCATTTACCATCTACTTTTATAAATAGTAACCGGAACGCGTTTTCTCATTAAGGAACCCATGTTGAGGAAGAAAAAAAAGAACCAATTAATACATTTTCAATTAAAATCTTTATTTTTGAGTCTTTGTGAATTAATATTAAAAAACATTTTCATTAAAAATAAAATAAATTTGAAACCATAAATAATTTAATGGATTTTAAAAAATTTGTTAAAAAATATACCGCGATTTTGGATATTTTACACAATATAAATTCTTTGTATAAAACCAAAAATAATTTTTTTTTTTGTAAAAATATTACGACTAGAAAACTATACTGTATACTGTGTTATGCTGGAATGAGATATTTTTTATTTTAAAATTTTTGTCTTAAAAAACGCTTAAAATCTTCTCAAACCCTCACGCATCTGTACTGACTCTCGATGTCTTCATAACGCTCGGGATATGAATCTAGGTAGTGTGAGGTTTTCAGAATATTATAAATATATTCCATATTTTCTGAATCGATTTTGACGCACCTGTCCTCGTTAGCCTGATTATTGAGCGACCGTGTGGCGTAATTTCCAAACATGGGGGACTGGAGAGGGTTTTTTCGGCAAATCGTGTTTCTACAAACTTTTTTTTTGAGAGGAAAAAAAAAAATTGAAATAATTGTATATAGTATACAAAAAAAATGAGAATTCGAAATGATTTTAATATCTGGAAAAAAAATTTTAAAATTGGACACCTGTCATTAACATTTTTAGCCCACCTGTTAATAACATTATCTCGGCCTGTAATCTTTATACATGGGACGGCCTCGGGATCAATTCCTGCACAAGTTTCCTGGCCATAATTTTTTTTTTAATTCCGGCCTCATAGACCGAACCTTCTGGTTGTGCTTATATTTGAAATGGCGTATATATTATATTTGATTTTCCGTTACCTTCCGCGAATACTTTGCTCATATTTGATATAGGACCTAAATAATTTTTCAGGTATTGACTGATGTTTAGACATTTATCGACCAATCTTTGCGAGGATGCCCATATAATCTTGAATGCAATTATGTAATTTGATATTTTTTTAAAAAAAACTTTGAATTTAAAAAAAAAAAATGATTTACCATTCCATTCATCCCCATTTCCAGTGCCTGTTTGTAGGAAAACTTTAAATCCTTCACTTGGAGATATTTTTCGTATCTTTCTCCCTCTTCTGCCGGGTATTCGAACCGGAAATAAGGGAAAGTTGGCAAATGTTTGTACCTCAATTTGTTGCGCAGCCTATTAACTTCTCTAAAAACTTTTTAAGATGTAGTTCAAAACACTCGATATATAAACTAAAATACGTTAGAGTAATAGAGAAGAGAAGAGAAGAGAAGAGAAGAGAAGAGAAGAGAAGAGAAGAAGAAGAGAAGAGAAGAAGAAGAAGAAGAGAAGAAGAAGAGAAGAGAGAGAAGAGAGAGAAGAAGAAGAAGAAGAGAAGAGAAGAAGAAGAGAAGAAGAAGAGAAGAGAAGAAGAAGAAGAAGAGAAGAGAAGAAGAAGAGAAGAGAAGAGAAGAGAAGAGAAGAGAAGAGAAGAGAAGAGAAGAGAAGAAGAAGAGAAGAAGAAGAGAAGAGAAGAGAGAGAGAAGAGAAGAGAAGAGAAGAGAAGAGAAGAGAAGAGAAGTTTAATAAATGTAGAAAAAAATTACTTTTGTGTATCCAAATGCCAGTATCTATGGGTTCGGGTAAGGGTTTATTATACAAATAGATGGAAGGGAAAAGAGCGGTGGATGCCTCGTATAACCACATATTTTCGTTGTTCATGGTGGACATGCGTTCGGAACAATCTAAAATGCCTAATTCTCTAATTTAAAAAAAAATTAAATTAATTGTCAGTCAAAAATTTTTCTTAACTGAAGTATTTTATAAGTATTTTATAAAAGCTGACGCTAAGTAAAAAAAACGGTTCGGTCCAGTTCCAAGGACACTGTCCGAACCGGCCTTTAAAAAAACATTTCGCGCCTAAATTTTATAAAAATAAACAATTAAAAGGATGTCTTAACCAAGGGCCATGAAACCGACGCATTCATATTTTAACTGAACCATATCTCGGGTACAGGGTTTAAGTTATATATTTAAAATTTAATTTAAACAAGTATTTAAAAAAAATATATGCTAAAAATAACATATAAAATATATGTATAATAATAATTTTTAAAAAAAAACATTAAATAATTTGAAAGCTAATTGTGTTTTTTTTTTAAAATTCAATGTTAATCATTTTAGGTGAAATCGTTTATTTAATTCTTTTTTTCTGGACATCGAATTCTAAAGCCAATCTTAAACAGCTGTCTAGAGCTTTTTCACTGAAACCAAACTCTAATTCTAAACTAAATCTGAAACAGCTGTCTAGAGATTTTTCACTGAAACCAAACTCTTTTAAGGAAAATTCACAGTCCTGATCTTAACCCGTCAAATAAATTATTATTTTTATCTCCTTTAAAAACAAAAAACTTTTACTACACCTTAATGTCTCCGAAAATAATAGAAATGAATTGTCATATTTAAAAAAAAAAAAATTTATATCATACATTCTATAGCAATAAGGGAATCCGTAATAACCCCATTTAGCGTTCGGTCTCATCTGAATCCCCAATTTGAGTGTAGACTCAAAGAATAATCTAGCAGCCGAGTTGAAAAGATTTTCGGAAATCTCTTTAAGCTCCGGGTCATTCTCCCTACCTGGAAACCTTTGCAAGGCGTATTCATACGATTTTTGCTATATAAATATATAATTTAACTTACATATACCACTTTTCTAAACTAGTAAAGCAATTCTAAGTTTATTATAATTAGCCTAGAAAATATTTGGTTCAACGTTAATATAATTAATTTTTTAGAAATTTTTTAAATTCATTAAAATAAAAATTAGTTTGGGTTTAATATATTGTTCATATCTCGACAAATATCTATCAATGATCAAGTTTTTTTTTTTGAATCAATGATTTTAAGAATATTTTTACCTATAGATAGATAGATATTTAGCCAATTTATTATGAATTTATTTTTGTATATTTAGATAGGAATAATATTTTAAAGATAATAAGACGCACCTTGTAAACATCCCTGAACTTGCCCTCTGTGACCTTGAGACTTGGCTGGTATTCCTCGAAATCGATGACGGCCAATCCCTAGAGTTAAAAATATTGTATAATAAATATCGTATAAATCGGTAATCGTTTTTTTTAGCCAGTATATAACCTATTTACGAATCGGAAGGTGGCTAAACCTTCTTATCCCTTTCTAAAGATGAATAGTTGGATTCGTGGGTTATATTTAATCCTAATCAAAATTTAGAGATCCAGAAATAATATCTGAGGGGAAATTCTTACACGCACATAATGAACTAAGCAAATGAGATATAATAAATATTATTCATAGATGTACTTACATCATAATTAGGGTCTGGTATTATATTTTCTACGCTTTTCCTAAATAAGGACAAATGGTTATCAAGATTTCCTATTTGAGGAATGCCATGATTGATCTCCAAAAGATGTGATTCCTGGTTATTAAGCTCGTTTAGAAACAATATATTTGGTGCTATTTTGCTAGAAGGATCCCCTTCCTCGTAATGGGGCCAAAGACCGTTGTTGAGGTAAAATATATTTATTTTGGAGCCGAAAAACTTTTGTTCCTCGTTCGCTATGATTCCGTAGGATGAAAGTGGTAACTCGATGCCCATCTTCTCCCTGCACAAGTTAGTAGGAATGTTCCAGAAGGTGTTGAATCCCGTGTTATAATTCTCTTCTTTTAGCTGTCTGGTGTCCCTTTTAGAGATCGATCTGATAGGTTTATCGGATTTCTCTAAGACGTCGTTCAAATCTACCGGATTAACGTGTTGCGTGATTACGGATGGTAAAATACTGTCGTCAGGTTTTGCTAAATTTTGGATATCCACCGCCAGCTTAAATTCGCTCAATATATTTCTAATCCGACTATCGCGCGCCCGCGAACCGATATCCTCTTCCGCTATCAACAAAATTTTGTCGTCGTAATTCCCACGATTATCGTATTTCGCGGTAAAAGGAATGGAATGCCGTTTTTGTGTGTCACCGAGAATTCTCAAATAATTGCCGCGACTGGAAGATTTGTTAAAATAAATATCTCCGCTTAACTCCACGCTATCACGCCGCGTCGCGACTGATCTTACAACGTTGAAGGGTCCTAGTATTTCTTTTTCGATTGTAATATATTTATAAATAATACAATGGAATAAAAATTTCAAATTATTTAAATCATTTTTTTTTTAAAAAAAAAAAAATCAAGATGATAATTAACGTGCAAATCTATCTATCATCTTTCAATTCACTTTCATTTATCTAGACATCAAAATTGTCATGTTTTTGTGTTCGTTGAAATAATTAATGAATTTTAATATATGAAAAATATATTTTAAGTTTGACCTTCTTATAAATAAAAACATATTTAATTTAATAAAAATTATATTATATTTTGAATTTAAAATGTCTCGTAAAAAATATAAATATTTATTATTCAATTTTTGATCCGCACTACCCAGACCGAAATATCGGTCTGGGTCGGTCACCCAGCTCGCGATAACCCGTCAGTTAGGGCTAAGCTGAATTCTAACAGATAGATTATATAAAATATAGTGTATCGAAGCAGAGGCTAGGAATATAAGACGGAATTGAATTTATATAAAAACAAAAATTAGGAATATAACCGCGCGATTTAACAGCTGATCAGGTTAATATCAAATATTTTAATTGATATTTAATAATTCTTATGATTATAAGCGTAGATGGGAAATAAAAGATAATTATTTATTGAGAAATTGATCTCATGAAAAAAAGATATATACTATCAATCAGCTGATTAAAATGGGACAAATTTTTCCCCTTTATTTAAACTATTATAAATTATGAGAACACATTATCGCATGGATTCGAACTCTTCGAATATCGATTCGATTCAAGTGAAGGTAATGGTTTAAACTCGTGAAAAAACATCGGTTAGAAAGTTTTCCGGTCTGAAATTTTTTCGACTCTAAACTTTTCAGAATTATGCAGTAAAGCTCATTTTTTTTTATAATTTTTATTCTTTAACTTATACAAAAAAAGCAATTAACATTACTTTCATTATTAATGCACAAACAAATATAATTTGAAATAAAATTCTCAAGATTACAATTTTATTTTGATTGAAAACACCTCTATACCCTGATTCGTCTACCCTATCGTTAAGTACTTCAACACAAAAATATCGAAGGTGGCTTAAATAACTTTGATAAATTGATCAATCAAAAACCGATTTCGAAAATAAACGTTAAAAAGATAAGTGTTAAATATTTAAAAGGTTTAATTGTATATTTTTTTTTACCTTCATTAGTTTTGGAATAGAAAGGGCGCCAACTATTAATCCCGCCAATCAGAGGCAAAGTATAAAATAAGAAGCGTATTATATTACGCGGTAGCGATACGGTAAACATTTTCAAATAAAAAATCATTACGAAACTCTTAAAAGCAAAATTAAATCTTTAACTTTTTAAAATCAAAAAAAAAAACTTGAAATAATAAAAGATAAACTAAAAAAAAAATTAATAAATTTCTAATGTAAATTGTAAAAATTATTATTATAGATAGAAATAAGAGTTCTAATAAAGAATTCAAAGATCTCGAAAAATTTTATGAATTGTTGATTTACAAAAGACAAAAAATCTTGGAAAATTTCGATATCTTTTTTTAATTAAACTTACCTAGGCGTATTTTTTTTTTATAAAAATCAAATTATTTAAACAGGTTTTTAATGAAAAAATTAATATTTAAAAAAAAATTATTTAACAAATTTTTAAATTTCTTATATATATACATATATATATAGTAATAATTTTCCCATAAAAAATAGAATAAAATAATTTATTATAAAAAATAAACAAGCCACTTCATATACCAATAATATTCATTCATTATTTTTGAATATACAATGTTATGACAATTTGATGGAAAAATCTTGCCGTAATTTTTTTCAAACTTATTTGTAAATATAAGAACTTATTATTTATAAACTATAAACGAAAAATTGAAAATATTTATCTATTTTTTTAAAAAACAATTTTTTAAACAAATTAAAATAATATTATTTGCAAATTAAATGGAAATTTATTCCTAAATCAACACAACCACCCCCATAAAATAACAAGCTACTTCAAAACTAGATAAATTTAACAATAGTATGTATATTTCCCCTTAACCTACTTGAAAGTTGGAACCTTCAAATACTGAAAACATAGCTATCAATGATCAAATAATCATGTTTTTCTTAAAATATTATAGTCGTGGTATTTTCTGGAATTACGAACTCGTCCTGAAGATTGAGAAATAATTTGCGAGCTTTAACTTTTCAGCATCTTCTTAAATAAAAATAATTCAAAGTAGAGTAGAATTACTCTGAAATTTACAAGATAGGTATCTCTCATAGACATATCCAGGGATTTTGCTAAGAGGGGTGTGGGGATTCTTACATTATTTATTGGACATATTTAAGTACACTCATTGTAGGGCCTTAGAGCTATATTGTATTTTTATAAAAATAATTTTGGGTTTTCACAAAATACGTTTTTTTTTTGAACTAAAAATTATTATCGTCATTATTTTTAAAAAAAAGTTATTAACTTTTACTAATTTTTCTTTTAAATTCTTTCTCTATAGAGATATATTGTATACATTTTTGAGAGAGTGGGGGGTGTGTAGAGGAATCTTTTTCTTTTTATTAACTTAAAATGATATTTACCAGAATAGACAAATTTAGCTATGGGGAGGGAAAAATTCTCCACCTTGGTTAAGCGCCGTGGTATTATAGCGAGCTTCTAACACGCGGAGAGTAGGTTAACACGTAGGATCGTCAGTAAAATTCCAAAGTGAGTATTAGAACATGCAAATCAAATATATCGAAATTTAACAATTTTTGTTCCTTTTTAGGAACTCGATAATGTTTTTTCTTAAAATTATATTAATTTTTTTTTAAAAACATTTTTATTAGAATAATATAATATATAAAAAGTTTTTATGAATACAATTAATATTAAAAAAAAAATTACGACATAATTGTATGGAGAAAAAAATATATATAGTAATATATAATAAATATAACATCTTCAATTTATACAAATTTTATTATAATAAATGTATTTTCAAAATCAATATTTTAAAATTTAACTATTGTTCCTTTTATATATGAACTCAATTAGGTTTTTTTCTTAAATTTTTATAGATAATATATATTAAAGTTTTAATAAATATAATTAATATTATTTTTTAAAAAAAATACCACATAAAATTGTATGATGATAACAAAATATGAAATCTATATTTATACAAATTTTATCATAATAAATTCATTTTCACTATGGGCAAAAAAAAAATAATAATAAATATTAACAGACGTGTGAAATTAACATTGTGAGATTGTTGAAGATAGCGAAATTTCTTTGGAAAATGAGAAAAATATAGATTATCCTTTCCCAAAATTCAAAAAAATACTTATTTCTTAAAGAAAAAATTACTACTGGATATCGGTTTCGATGCAAGAAAATTTTGCCAACTACTGGTAGAGTCTATGTTAAAAGGCATTGAGGAAAGGTCAAAACTTTATTTTTATTTTCTATTATAAAATTATATAAAATGAATAATATATTGCTTGATTAGCCATAATTGAACCTGCAATACATTATGTTATTACAGTCATTTCTAAAGAGGCAGCCTTACACATATTTTTCAAAATCTATTAAATTGGCTTAATTTACAACACAATCTATAATATTAATATATAGTATTAATATAAAATTCAAAATTAATATATTATTAATTACCTTGTGAATAATAATTATATTTTTAAAATCTTTATTTATCATAATTTATTGTTATTTTAATATTTTTTTATAAATGAATCTAAATCTCAGATAAATTTAAATTTTGAAAATTAAAAAGGTATTCTTCTTTTTTTATAATAAATACAATCGCTTTATATGAATTCCAGATCTGTATGATGATGATAATGTAATAGCTGCTATCGTTCATCCTAGTTTCAAGTTAAATTGGCCATACATTAATTTGACTGAATCTAAAGGGCAACTTGATAGGCTGATAATAACGTTAAAAAATGCCATGCCTAACTACTATACTAATACTATAGCAAGATCGAAACCGAGGCCTTCCATAGACGATTTTTTTGCAATAAATAATAATAATATTATTGAACCTCTAGATGCTTTTTTTAAAATCTAAAAATACTAATTTAAAGATTTTTGATGATTTTTTTCATATAAAAAGTTTGTTTGTTAAATTTAATACTGCGTTGCCCTCAAGTGCTAGTGCTGAACGATTTTTTAGTATGGCAAAGCTTATACTTTCTGATGGTGGCTCTAGACTTGGGGATGAGAGTACCGAAATGTTATTATTATTGTAATAATAAATAAATTATATATATATATATATGTAACAAATTATAGTCATGTTTTTATACCAATATTTTATTTGTGAAAATAAAGTTACATAAAAATATTTTTTAAAAAAAATCAAAATAGCGTAAAAAGTAGCTAGAAGCGCGCTACTTATTTGAAAACGATAGCGGTAGCGGTAGTGATAGCGCGCTACTTTTAAAAGTAGCATTTAACACTTAGTTCACTCTATAATATTAATTAGGGCTGGAAAAAAATCGTATTTTTTGTTATAAAAAAAATATTTTAGGGAACAATTTATTTGATTTAAATCGCGATTTTTTTAAAAAATTTAAATTATACGATTTTTTTTGATTTTTAAAAATAATTTTATAATAAAATAATTATTGAAAATAAAAATAAGCACTGAAGGAAAAAATCTGTGAAATTATCTATTTATTTTATTGCATTGCATTAGTAATCTTGCAATATTGAATTGACTTAATGAATGGTATTTTATTGATATTTAATATTTACCCATTTTTATGATATTTAGCGCATTTATGAATCGGTATACATTAATTATAACGTAAAAAAAAATTTTTTTTAATTCTTTTCTCTACGACCCCCCGTCATTGCCAAATTTTTCCCCATCAATTTTCTGATATTAAGACTATATTTAGGTAAGAAAGAAGAAAAAAATTTATATGAATTTTGCCAAGCATTTTCATTATCTGTTAATTTTTTTTTTCATAACATAACATGGGTAATTTATCTTATTAATTTAGGATTATAAAATTAATTTTTTTTCCACGTTTAAATGTTACATTTAACGTTTTTAACCTTTGATTCATTAAAAAAAATTCCTAAATTTGGTATTATACGATGATTGTATTTCAATATAGAATTTTTAACCTATGTCCATCTTTTGGTAAATCTTACTGGTTTGGCATATAATGTCAAAAAATGCATCATAGTTTACCCAAAATTATAAAAAAAATTATTCGTTTAGTATAAATAATTTTTGTTTTTAGCAAAATATTTAACATCATATAATTTAAAATTTGTCAACATGTTCCTTAAAATATTAACTAAAAAAAATAAAATTTATCCGAAGTTTATAGTTTAATCTAAAAGTCACGTAATGATTCGTATAAAATATACATCATCACATTGGAGTAAAACTGTTTATGAGTAAAAATCGTCAAAATGTTCCATTTGATTATAGCTTAAATTTGAGAATTTTGAAATGTTGACATCTATATAAAAAATATTTTTGAAGCATAAAGAAGCATTGATCAATAATTTGTTATATGAAATAACATTTTAATGCGTATAAGAATTGAAATGTACGGTGCACCTAAGATGGGTATAACAAAAATGGGCTTATTTTGGTTAATTTATTAATATTGCTTTATTTTTATTGATCAGTTTAATACTTAAAAATAATTAATAGAATGTCAAAATTACTAATATTTTGTTCCAATATACACAATAAGCTGTGTTTCAAAATTCATTTGATCTCACTTTTCCCTGGTGCTTAGCCACGAAAATGGCACACTTCACACAATTAATCATAGCTCCTAAAGTAATATAAAGAGCTAACACTATATTTTTGTAAGCGAGATATTGAGCTACATAAAAATTTAGAGTTTTGCCTTTTTTTTAAAAAATTTTTTTATTATATTTATCTTGTGTATTTTCATAATTTTTGAACATATTGCCAGGGAATAATTGTTAAATATAAAATGAAACAGTTGATTTATCATTATCATTCTACAAGTACAACAAAAAAAATTATGTCATTAATTTGTGAGATAAAAAAAAATTATGCCTTTACCATTTGGTAACTGTGAGTTTAAAATAGATGATTTACAATGTTGGATAATTATTAACTTTATCTGAATTAATCTTGGTATTAAGAAAGTATAAAATAGTTGCAAATATTATTTAGGCAGAAATATTTGATTTTTGATCCCTTTAATTTTAACATTACAATGACCTTTACTGGAGCTTATTATAAAAAATAATATTAATTTCAAGATTAGCGTAACATATAAAACCCTTTACTTATAATCATAAAATTTAGCAATTTATTAAAACTTATATGCAAAATATTATTTGAAAACAAAAACTAATAATTACTAAAAAAATACTACTGCAAGCAAAAGAGATGATTTAAATCGTGATTCTTAGTATTGAAAAAAATCGTTGATTTAAATCACAATTTAATTTAATCGCGAACCCCCCATAAATAATCATTGGTTATATCGATCCTAACAAAATATGGTTGGCGCACAATATCGTTCTCGTGTTATCGTTTTTTCTATCACATTGTTTGATATAGCGTGCAAATGGAATATAGGGATATATAAGAAACTATTTAATGGCAGTTATTTACACCAAGGTTATGATTATGTCAATCAACAAATCAAGACATTTCTAACCTCAGTTTGCACATTTCTTTCATGTCATTTTTTCTAGCTGAAATAATTTTTTATATAATAGATTGCTTACTTCCTCCTAGTAAAATGAACTGAGAGCCAAGATGCAGCTGATGATCTGAATCATCACTGAAATATGTTTTTTTTTAAAGATCTCACTTATTAATTTAAAGATCAACAAAAGTTTACAACCATATAAATTTTATATATTTAAGCCAGCAGCGAGAATTTAAAACAATAATTATTGATTTTTTAAATATTACAATATATTAAAAGGTAAGAGAAGGCATGCTAGTCACAAGTAAGAATATTTGGTCAGTCAAATATTTTAAAATGTTTAATGTGGATAAATATATTATTAATCATCAGATTTGTAAGCTCTCCTCACCAAGATTTTCTTTTCAGAATGCTCAACAGGTTTTTTTATCAAATTTTACCTAAAATTCCAAATTTTCGAAGAGGCTGGCTGCTAGCAACCCTATGTCTGCTCCTACTCCCATCTCTTCATTGGTTCACTCCAGAACGCTAGTATGTGCAGGAGTGATTTATATGAATAAAAAATATTTATCTATTTATAATTATATTGAAAATTTATTTTAAATATAAATTGTGGCATATTAAATTATAATTTGACTAATGATACGCAAAATGATATTGATCGAATCGTACACCACTCGAAATTTAAAACATTGATTTAAAGAGTGAATTACTTGAAAATATTTGTAACGCAAAATTATCATTTTTTTTTCATTCTTGGTTTTATATATATAAAAAATATATAAATATCACAAATTAATCAGTAAAATAAACAAAATAATCATAATAGATCATTTTTAAAAAAAAGTCAAAAAAAAACTTTTTCTTTTAAAGTAATTTCAAAAAATAAAAAATCCAATCAATTGGTTAATTGCAAAGTATCGGCTTCGAAAACAGATCCATCGTATAGCATTAGGTTTCCGCTGGGTTTGGAAGACGATAATATCTACATCATTTATATAATAAAGGTTTTTTTAAAAATTCCAATTTTTATAATATAGCGAATCTTAGAGTTTTTATTTTGTAAAACTTTGAACAGACCTTAGGTGGTATGGGCACACAATGAGAAGGCCTATGAACTGTATAGGAAATAAGGTTGAGAGTTTGGAAGTGATGGGAAAAGGTAAAAGAGGAAGGCCAAAACTTCAATGGGGCTATAAAGTTAGAGCCAATATGGAGAAATATAAACTAGACAAAAGAGATAGCATGAATAACATAAAGTGGAGAGAGATATTGAAAATGCTTTACCACCAGAAAAGGGAAAGCTAAAAAGAAAATAAAAATTAGTAAAAACTACAAATAATTATTATATAAATAATTGATTTCTTAAGATTACTAATTTCGATTTATTTATCTAGTCCAATTAGCCGTAAGCTAGTGTTGTTAAAAGGCTAGACGAGAGCCGATTTTTTAAAAACGACTAACTCGTATATTTTATCGAGAAAAACATCACGCAAACTTGAAGATTTCGCTAATACAATAGCACAAAGGTTTGGACATCTATGACCAAAAATCTTCAGGCCTGCCTAATATTTTTTCTAGCTAAAATAATAAGTTCGCGGTTTTTAAAAAAATCTGCAACAATTAGGCCATTACTTTAACAAATTTTATATAATATGTAAGTAGAGGTTTTGAAAATTTTAAAAACAATTTGAATCATTTATCGGCAGCGTTTTTCCTAATTTTTCCAGAAACATATTCCGGCATATACGAAGTAATTATACCAGAGGTGGGCACGGGTCTAATTTTTTTTTTAATACGCGGCTTGCCCGCTAACGGTGGCAAAAAAAATTCATTACCAGTATCGCTGGCCGCCAAAAAATTTTTAACCCGACCTAACCCGCTCACGAAAAACAAAAATTTTGAAAACGCATATCATATGTTTTTTCCTAAATTTTTTAAAACTTTATTTTACTCTTTTTTTGGAATTTATTCCATCGTAGTTTTTTTTTTAATATTTTTTTTTTAAATTCCATATTAAATAACAAACAAAATAATTACGATTTATAAATCAAGGGAAATAAATTTTCCTGCTTTCCAAAACTTCCAAAAAATATTTTCGTTGTCATTTGTGCAATGAACGATAGACTTTATAGGTTGATCCTCACAACTTTCAAAGGTGAATGTTGTCGCCTCATCGGAATTAGAAATAATCTAGAAATTTTCTAAATGCCATATTTAAAATACGCGAGTTTTTTTTTATGTGTGCAGGATGAATTAGAAAAGTTACAAATAGCTGACATTTGTCGTATTGCATATCGTCGAATTTTCAATTATTTAGCATTTTTTTAAAGTTGCTTTATATGTATATATATCTGCCTTTTCGTCGTCTGTTAAAAACTTAAAACTTTTAAAATTTGGAATTTAGAATTAAACCTGCCTATTGCATAATAAATCTTTCCTCTAGAAAAAAATATTGATTCACGAAAAATTTATGTTAAGCCCAATCACGCCCGTCAAAAATTTGGGATGACCCGTCACGTCTAATAATTTAAAACATATTCGCACTTCCGCTGTGACCCATCGTATCACGAGTATTTACAAGGCCCGCACCCACCTTTCAGTTATACCATGCGGATTTTCGATATTTTGCCGTAAAATTGTTCATGTAAAAATTAACAATCTCCGTACGCGAAGACCGGTCAAATCAGATTTTTACAAGTTTTTTAAAAAAAAAAGGTCTGCAAATAAATGATTTAAAATTTTCCGCCGTAACGACATACGCGTTAGTGTTGTTAAAAGGCTCATTGGCTAACTCAAATTTTTCGTCCAAAAAAAATCTTATGCAAGCCTGTTTTGCTCTCAGAGAAGGAACAAAGGCCTAGGCATACATTAACGTAATCTCGAGGCCTAGTCAATATTTTTTTGGCTAAAATATTGAGTTAGCCCTTTTAAAAAATGGGCTTAAAACGGGTCGTTTAACAAACACTGATATACGTCATATATTTTCTTTTCTCTTATACTTCATCTCGGATTTTATTTTTTTTTTAAAAAAAATTATATTAATATTCTGTATTATATTCTCCTCACTACTGGTACGTTAAATAATTTATAAACGCGAATGATCAGGTATACATATTTTTTTCAAACTAATAACCTTGATTAACTCTTGGCACAAAAATCCAGCCAATACGGCACAAACAGGATTGAATTCGGTTAATGGATATCTTTATTAATTTATTTATTTTTTTGAAATAAAAATTAAAAATAGAATTTTTCTTTTCAGTGACGTAATAATTCGTAAAAATAAGAAAATCATCATGATAATAATAATTGCTAGGGGTGCACCGATACCATTTTCGGAGGCCGATCCAATCCGATATCCCCGATATTAAATTGATATCGGCCGATTACCGATTCGATATCATATCTAATTATTAATTGCTATAGAAAAAGAAAGTTTTCTCGTAATGTTATCTCTGGCCCACAATGACAGAGTTTGAGGAAGGGTTAGTAAATTGAAAAAGTTTGGAGAATTGGTGTATTGGATTTTGAATACTTAGAACCTTTTAGGGTTCGCAACTTAAAAATATATATTTATAAAAGCAATCTTTGTGTTATAAATATTATTATAAATATTCACATAAAATGAAGAAAGAAATATGGTACAAACTTGCGAAAATCGGGAACATTTGAATCTTCAAGATCGAAAGGTTTTAGACTTGTAGCTATTCTAGTATTTAGACTTTGCAACATTTTAACTGAAGAATTTCCGTTTATCTTGGCGCATTTGTCAGCCTTTGATTCACTTTCTTCCAATTCCAATATGGCTTTAATTTTATTGTTTTTTTTTAAATAAGTAGAGAGAGTATAATACATATTTTAGAAAATCATAAATTTGTTCAATCTATAGGCATGTGCCAAAAAACTTAATACATTTTATTCTGAGTTCCTCGTGAGTTGCGCTATCTTTGGCTAAAAAAAACCTGAAAACTGAAGTGAAAGTTATTGACTAAGGTCAACTTTTTCATTTGATATTGAGGTTTATTTTTTAACTATTAAGTAATGAACAATTAACCATATACCTAATTATAAGTTCCAGTAAAAAGAAACATGTTCCTTGTTTTAAGCTATTATAACTGTACAGTGATAAAATAAATTATTATAGGTTTTCTATCATTTTTCTCCTCCCCAATTGATTTAAAACCCTAAAATATCTAGTAGTGAAGTCTGATGATGGCTTAAAGTTCAATCATTTTAAAACATGAAAGGGAGGGGGGGGGTTTATACTTGTTTCTCAAGTGGCATGAATTAATGAAGGAATCAATGAATTGATAGCTAATATATATAAAATTTGAAGTTTATAAATTTAGTTTAAGAAAATCCAATATACTTACTAATGAGTAATGATCATTATTGTATAAATAAAAAAATGTTTAAAAAAAGTTTTATACCCTTGATGATAACATAAGTTTTCTTCAAGTTGCCAGATTTTTTTAAACTAAATATTTTGTCATTGAATTCAGAATTGATTAGAAGATTTGAAAAACTGGGATATTTTATAAAATTTATCTTTAATTAAAAATTAAATTTATCATAACAAAAATTATATACATTTGAATTATTTGTTTCTTGTGTAATTTCATTCGGCCTAAATAATTTCAATTATATATATAAGATCTGATTTTTTTACTTTTGAGGTATATTGTATTGAAACGATCCAAAATCATATATTATATATCCATAGAGAAAAAAATTTCTGGTGTAAATACATTTTTTCCCAATTTGATGAACATAATTATTAATATCTTGTGCAATTTTATAGCTAACATCATTCATTATGACTAGATCAAAATCCTAATTATTCATTAAAATAGGCATTTATACATTTTAAAAAAACCTTGTAAATGTTAGCTGAATGAAAATTATCAGGAAATTTTGTTTCAACTATTATTTGAACATTGGGATTTAGATATTTTAAACTTGATATACTACATTCAGCTCTCTAAAAATAGAAATATACATATATAAGATGGATAAAAATAATCACATTATTTCCAATATCATCTTCCTTCAAGTATAAATTAGATTTTAGATCATTATGTGTAACCTTTAAGTAATAATATTATATATATATACAAATATGTAAAATGTATACTGTCTTGTTGTCCATAATGCATAAGGTTTTAATGCCATATAAAATCAAATTTTTAGAAATTTCCCATCCCAAACCTGAAAATCCAATTAGCATAATGGAATAATTTTTAATCCTTTATTTTATATTAAATTAGTAGTATAAAAATAACTAACATTATTGTACTTTTTTTGAACATCATGACCCCAAATTCTGATTTGCCTATCATAAATATCAATTTCTTCCTCATTAAGCATATTTTTTTAAAATTCAAATTTAATGAATGAATGTCAAACTAATTAAATTCATCATCATTCATTAATATTACGCAGATGTGTAATTTCATCGTCCATGGAGGAGTTGATGGATTTTAACTAATATATAGATCCCATAAATAATATCTAATTACTGTTGGCAATACTATTATATAGTCAGCCTGTAAAATTTTCTTTTATAATTCTATTAAGTAATATATAGATATTATTTAAAAATTAATAAGACTATCTAAATTTTTATTAAATGAATACTATTTTAAATATTAGATTATATTAATACATATAAATTATATAATTGTTCATAAAATATTAGGTAAAATGCCACGTTTACAGACGTATTCGACAGTTATATAATATATTACAGTTCATATTTTAATAAATTTTACTAATATATGCTATTGATAATAAATATAATAACAATTTGCATTCATTTTTTAACGCCATCTATTTATTAAAATATATTATTATTAAAAATAATGTATCTTATTATTCATCCCGCGATGGTGTAATAAATTAAAAATCTTTTCTCTCTTTTTTACGTGTTTTCAGGAAAGTTAATTTTTTTTATTTAAAAAACAGATTTGAGTTAAATTTTTTACATGAGTATATTTTTAATAATATTTCAAACTTCTATTATTATAAGATATAATATAACAAATGAAGGTGGTGAGACAATAATATAATAAATACTAATGCTTTTATCAGATACCTCTGGTTCTTATTTTATAGTTACAAAATGTTTCATTTCTAATATGGCATCCTTGCCATGTAAATAACTCAAGGCTTCAAATATTTGCATAATTTCTTTTTAAAGATTTTTAGTGTTTTGTTTTATCAATTTATCTAACAAAATAAATTATGTGCTAACTATTACGTTGTGCCGTAAAAGTTCGGGTAGAAAGCAAAACTCCGAGTATAATAATTTTATTTCAATCCAATAAATTTATATGATTTTATAATAATTTTATAATAATAATTTTAATAAATAAAACGAAAAAATTAACTGTTAAAAAAAAATTAATTAAAAAAAAATGAATTCAAAAAAAAATGAATTCAAAAAAAATGAATTCAAAAAAGAAATGAATTGATTTTACAATTTTCGCTTCCCTTTTATAGGGAAGCAATAATCATCACAAATAAATAATTAAACCCCATCATCATAATGACTTTACAATAATTAACTTTTATAAATTTAAAAATAAAATGTTAACGCGATTAAACTAAAACATAAAATTATAAAAATAACAATGACTCACCAATTTAACTAAAACATAAAATTATAAAAATAAAAATGACTCATCAAATGCAATACATACTGACTTTACCAAAAATCAAATTTTACAAATCAAAGTCTCCCAATTATGACACCTCCCCCCTTTAACCAATCCTTGAGACCCCAATCCCTTTGATCACCCCTAGGAATTCTTCTGTTATTGTTGTAAGTGGACACCTTTGACCATCGATTATTCGAACATATTTCCATAATTACTATTCCTCCATCGTCTTCTTCTAAGAGTAACTACAACCTAAAATCCTTTTAATTTATTTCATTACTAAAAAAAAATTTTGGACTCCCACTTTTGCATACACGCTGAAAAGACTCCACCACTCCAATAACACGCTGCAAATACTCATCCACCTCTAACCTTTGATTGTTCTGCTCTAGAGTAACCCTGTTATTTTTACATCATGGTATAATTAAACACTCCCTCCAATCCCTGAAAAACTACCGCCATCGTCCGTTGAAACATAGGTGCCGATACGCTCAACCCAAACGGCAGCCTTCTAAAAGCAAATAAGCCCTCTGGCGTTGTTATAGTCAACAACCTCTGCCTCTCCTTTTTTACCCGTAATTGCAAATACGCGTTCGAAAAATCCACTTTAGAAAAATATCTGCTTCCCTTTAAACTGGCCAATATCTCCTCTATCCTGGGTAACGGATACTTCACCTCCACCACACATGGATTCAACGTTACCCGGAAATCCGCATACAACCTCAAACTCCCATTGGCCTTCTTCACCGGTACTAAAGATGTCGCCCACTCGCTATATTCGACCGGACATACAATATCTTCCTTTACCCATCTATCCAACTCTTGCTCTACCTCCCGCCTCCATTCAAAAGGTACACGACGTACAGCACAATACTTCGGCACACATCCATCCTTCATCCGAATCTCCACTTCATAACCCTTTAGACAACCCAACTCTTCCCCAAATATTTCTCCATACCTCTCCAATAACTTCTCCACCTCCTTTTGGACACCCTTTATTCCCTCTCCACACTCCCACAAATTTTTCGCATTCTCACTCTTCTCACTAACCAGCGGCCTCAATACTCCATATCTACTTTAAATATTTCCTATTTCTCTATCTACATAACTCGGACCTCTCCTCAACATATCCTCCCTCACATTTCCTTCGCTTTCCCCCCAAAACACGGATCTTCCCTCGTCTACTTCAATATTATCTCGGCCCTCCATCCATTCCAAATTTCCTCCGAACATTTCTCTCCTCATTCTCTCGGACCATATTTATCAAGTCTTCCCGAATATCTTCTCCAATCGCCACAAATACTCCCCATCGCGCAAATACTCCCCAAAATCCATACTCCGGACCTATACTTGTAATCCAGTCCCATCCCATCACCGGCTCTCCGATCCATCAAACTGCCTCACCTGCATAACGTCTCTAATTATTTTACTACCCGGCCAAAGTCTCCTAAAATTCTCATATCCCATCACCGAAATGGCTGCTCCGGTATCAAATAGCATAGATACCATCTTCCCGTTGATATCGAACCATACCCTCGGACTCGGCAGATATGTTAACTCCCTTTGAACCTCCTGCTGCAACATTTTAACTCTCAACTCTCTCTTGCCTCCTCCTAACTCCACGGTCAACATTTTGTCCTCCCTTCCATCATATAGTCATTCTCTACCACAATCTCTGGCCCAATGTCCCCTTTCTCGACATTTGAAACACGTCATTTCCTCTTCAATATCCTTTTCTCCTTTTCCAGCTATCTCCGTCATACTCCTCATATTCACGGCCCCCGAAGTCTCTCCTCTCTGTGGAAAACCTGCCCTCGTTTCTACCTTTCCCACTTGGCAATCCTTTAACACCTTCCACAACCCGCGCAACGTATTCTCTCCGCTCTACCCGGACAATATGTCGAAATATGTCCCATCTCCCCACACGCAAAATATTTGACATCTCTACAATTCACCGCAATATGACCCATCTCCCCACATTTATAACATCTACCATTCCGACCTCTCTGTCCCCCATTGTTGAACGGCCTTAGCATGCCCTGACGTCCACGGTATACGTCCAAATGTCTGTCATCTGACCTCTCGTTCTTTATCCGGTCAATTTCCTCATTATTGACCCAACCCTTCATTATTTCTTGTTTCGGTAACCACGTCACTCTCCCCAATCTATCATCCTCTCCATTATGCCCTTCTACAAACAACGATTGCCCACGAATCCTAATACTCCTTTCTCTTCGCATTCTCCTACCAAAATATAAACTACATAACCATATTACCAACACTACCACCGCTCCTAGTACATTGTATTGCAACTCCACATATTTAGTAATTTTAAAACTCTTCATTAAAATATTTACGTATTTAAATTTTCTAAATTACTTCCAAGTAACTTAATTTAGTATCACAAAAAATTAATAAACAACTTTACCAAGAATATTTTAACTACTTGCAAGGTTAGACAATAAGATAAAATCAATAGAGTAAAAACTCCAATACTGCACATATACATCTATTAATTTCAAAAAAAAAATCAATACTTTCCGCGTTTGATAAAAATGGACAGCACTCCCGTGTATCTAAGTTTTCTGGAAAAATTGAACAGAACTTCCGTGTACCTACGTCTTTTTGAAAAATTTTGGCAGAACTTCCGTCTATTTACGTCTTTTTGAAAAATTTGGACAGAACTTCCGTCTATTTACGTCTTTTGAAAAAAATTGGCAACACTTCCGTGTTACTTGCCTTCTAATAAATTTTTCGGATTTTCGTCTAAGAGATTTATATAGGCAAAAATTTGGGCAGCACTTCCGTGTACTTTACGTCTTTTGAAAATTTTCACTTGACAGTCACCTCTTTTGACGGTACTTGTTCTTGACGGTCTCCTGACTCAAACGGTCCCTTATTACACACAGTACTTGTTATTGACGGTACTTGCTCTTGACGGTTCTTGCTCTTGACGGTTCTTGTTTTCACAAATTGACGGTCTTATCCACTACAGCGCTCCACAAAAATATTTTCCCCAAAATAATTTATAAAAATAATTGTTTTTACCTTAGTTATTTAGTCACGGCACCAACTTTTACGTTGGCCGTAAAAGTCCGGGTAGAAAGCAAAACTCCGAGTATAATAATTTTATTTCAATCCAATAAATTTATATGATTTTATAATAATTTTATAATAATAATTTTAATAATTAAAACGAAAAAATTAACTGTTAAAAAAAAATTAATTAAAAAAAAATGAATTCAAAAATAAATGAATTTAAAAAAATGAATTCAAAAAAGAAATGAATTGATAATTTACAATTTTCGCTTCCCTTTTATAGGGAAGCAATAATCATCACAAATAAATAATTAAACCCCATCATCATAATGACTTTACAATAATTAACTTTTATAAATCTAAAAATAAAATGTTAACGCGATTAAACTAAAACATAAAATTATAAAAATAACAATGACTCACCAATTTAACTAAAACATAAAATTATAAAAATAAAAATGACTCATCAAATGCAATACATACTGACTTTACCAAAAATCAAATTTTACAAATCAAAGTCTCCCAATTATGACACTAACATTGTGAGTGTCATGGCTAAGACTGCAAATTAATCAGCATCTATTATTTGTGTAACTAAATATAAGATTATTACTACAGCTGCTGAGAGCATATGATCATATTATAGATAAGCAATAATAGTCAACTGTGTAGTTGTTTATATATTAATAAAAATGGAAAATTATCTTTTAGAAATCTAATATCTCACAATCATTTTCACGATTACTTAAGCTTCCATCTCATCTAAGGGGAAGCTCTAAACCACCATATAGTTTTATGATTTGGATTAGTTGTTAATATTCTGTTCTTCAAGTATTGTTGATTTGGTTAGGCCTATAAATTTTTCCTTATTAGTCCATTCTATAAAACATTGTGTAAAATGGTAACAGAGAGTTATATTAGTTTCATGACTTTCTATCAATTTAAATTGATAAGAATTATATTATATTATGTGGTTTTTTAAAACCATTATCAATTGAGGCATATGTATGAATTAATTAACCTTTTTTTATAACTTGTAATTCTTTAGACGCGAAATTTTTTTTATATCAGGAATCAGCAATCGAAAATATTTTATACTGTAATAAATAGATTTAGTATTAAAAAATATTATTTTTAGAAATGTATTGTATTGTTAAAATTATTTATATGCTAGCAGTGGCGTCACTAGGGAGGAGCGCGAAGGGGCTCGAGCCCCTTGTAAAATATGAATAGCCCTCTATAGCAAAATTATTTTTTTTAATGGCTCCTTAATATCTTCATGAAAAATAATTTTGTTTGATTGGTACCCAGAACGATTTCTTTTATAATTCTATTAAGTAATATATAGATTTAATTTAATTATTTAAAAATTAATAAGACTATCTAATTTTTATTAAATGAATACTATTTTATTTATTAATTAGATTAATATATAAAAATTATTTTCACTATGTCAGCTTTAAATCAAATTCTGTAATAAAAATAGAATATCATTATCCCTCACTAAATATTAATTTAGCATTACAGTTGAAGCTTAATTGACTTTTTAATTTAAATTATTATATAACCCTAATTAAATAAATATAATCATTTATTAATTGAAAATTAACAAAATTAATAATGTAATTAGCCGAGTTCAAGATCACTAATCAACTATATTATTCATTTTTAAATTTAATTACCATGCTTCTTACTAAATATTTTCAAGGTCCAAATAAGTATAAGAAATTTGTGTTTATAATCCTCTATTATATAATATTAGGTAAAATGACAGACTTATTTGATAGTTATATAATATATTACAGTTAATATTTTAATAAATTTTACTAATAAATGTTTTTGAAAATAAATATAGGTAACAATCTGCATTCAATTTATTAACGCCATCTATTTATTAAAAATAAATTACACATCTTATTATTCATTCCATAATGGATTATATAAATTAGATATCTTTTCTTCTCTTTTTTACGTGTTTTTTTGGAAAACTATTTTTTTCTTCTTTGAAAAATTGTTTCGAGTTAAATATTTAATATGAGTATATTTTTGATATTATTACAAACTACTATTATTTTAAGATATAATATACCAACTTGAGGTGGTGCGACAATAATGTATAAAATTTATTTGCTTCCAACATATCATTCTGTTTCTTATTGAATAGTTACAAAATGTTTCATTTCTTTTATGGCATCCTTGCCGTGCAAATAACTCACGGCTTCAATATATTTGCATATTCTTCTAAAGATTTTTAATGTTTACTGATATGTAAGTTTATGTATCATATGGAAGATAATCTTTTAGAAAAATAATTTTCTCGGTTACTTGTCTAGCTCCCATCATGTCATCTAAGAGGAAATATTTCCTTATTAGTCCCCTCTATAAACATTGTCTAAAATGTTAACAGAGGGATATATTAATTTCATGACCTTTAGTCAATGTAAGTTGCTAAGAATTATATTATATTATGCAGTTTTCAAAAACCATTATCAATTGAGGCATATGATTAAATTAATTAACCCTTTTTATTACTTGTAATTCTTTAGATGAAAAATTTTTTATATCAGCAATGGAAAATATTTTATTTTATATTAAATAGATTTTGTATCAAAAAATATTATTTTTAGAAATGTCTTGTGTTTATTATAAATTATATGCTAGTTAATTTTGTTGAGTAATATAAAAAATGATAAAATATGAATATTAAGAATAATTGTTAAGAGTTAGCAAGTTTTAATAAAGTATAATATATTAATACAGAGGGCCGAAGGCCGCAAATTTAGGGGTATGGTAGGCTTCGCCCCCCATAAAATATTTTATAGTTGAGCCCCCTGAGATTGCAAAGGCTAGCGACGCTCCTATAATTAATGACAAAATAGAAAATTCAGAATAATTGTTCAGAGTTAGCAAATTTTAAAAATATAATATCCAGGAGTTATATTTCATAAATTATAATAATATTTCAACTTTTCTTCAATATAATATTTTTTATGTACTATCTAAATTAGCAAAAATAATGTTTCTACATCCTCTCTTGAATCAAATATGTTATATGCGATATCAAAATAGAAATAAATCATTTAATACGTTAAAGAAAATATAATTAACTGGTATAAGTTACGCTATAAACTGCCGAAAGAAATAATATGAAAAAAATATTTATTTCATTTAAATTTAACACGTTACATAAATAATGATATAAATTTATATATAACAAAAAAAATAAAGCGTACCTTAAGGATATATTTAAAATATCAAATAATTTTTAAAAAAATCCAAGATATAATAAAGTGATATTATAACAAAAAATATATGAAGAATCATTATAAAAATAATTCGAATATTATATTCTTATATTTTATAATAAATTATAGATCCCAACCCACTAAATTGTTAAGCAATACACTACTAATAAAAATTATATATTTTTTGAATAATAATGCCATCTTGATTTAATTTACCTAATTTTCTCTTATATTCTAAGAATGATGTATAATAATGATATATTTTATTGTTAACATAATTATATTTAAATGTGGGTTGTTATAATATTTATAAATCGTCAAAAATATTTTTTTTTCTTTCTCTCTTTCCCGAAACTCCAATATTTCCATTATTTATATTTGTAAACGGCTTATAATTACAAACTTACTCAGCATTAGCTACGCGTATCGTGGGCTTAGTATATAAAAATTATTGAAAAATTATTATATTTATATTATATTTTATATACTTCGCCTAACTTCGCCACGAATTCGTGATAACTGTTAATGTATGGTTACTTTTCAAAGGTACGGTAAAACGATATTTGCAATGAAATCTTCAAAAATTCCCGAAATTTCATTTATAGTTAGATGAAATACATTTAAATAATACATTATTAATTAATTATATCAGGATAATATCGAAGATTACGTTAAACAGCAAGGTGATGTTCAATTAATACTGAAAAATATGAATGAATCCTATAACAAATATAAATTCCTAGAAATAAATTTATTAACTAAAAAGAAAGCGTAAGTAAAATGTTTTAAAAATATATAAAAAATTTTTCAGGATAAAAAGTAAAATTCCAGATTTACAGCATAGTTTAAAAATGGTAGATGTTTTAGAAGAGAAGAAGGTGTGCATATATATATTTGGATTTTTAATATTATAATAAATAGCAATCAGAACTAGAAGCTCTAACTTTATTAAATATAGCAAACAATTTATACTGTCATGTTAAGATTCCGCCAACAGACAAGATTGGATTATGGCTAGGAGTATGGCTTTAATTTATATATAAATTTATTTGTAAAAAAAAATTTATTTTGATGAGTATATTGCATCTGTTATTTTTATAATATATATTTTATATAATTTTCATTTATTCTGTTTTTATTATAAATCAAGGCAAATATAATGTTAGAATTTCCATTAGATGAGGCCAGACAAGAATTAAATAAAAGTTTGAAAGATGCTCAAACCACTTTAACCCAGATTGAACATGATTCAGAATTTATGCAAAAACAAATAACTACTGTTGAAGTCAGTATCCTTTTTAAAAAAAATTGGTTATTAGTAAATATATTGTAATTTGATTTTTCAATTTTTAATTACTTAACTCAACTCATTAATATAAGACATGGCTAGGATATATAATTGGGATGTCAAGCAAAGGCAAAATTCAAATAAGGATGACTAACTATTTTGAATATATATTTATATCTTTTAGGCTTATTGTGTATGATTTTTTTTATAATACAAATGTATTTTTCAGGCTATTTTCAATGAAATTTGTTATAAATAAATACTCATAATTTATCATCTATTTTGCTAACATATTTTTTTTTACTATCCTTCATTTTTAAAAATATTAACAACATTAAAATTATGAAATTTTATAAAGGTAAGTGAGTTGTGACTTTAATCTGTTATTTTTCCAATAGCTTTTGATTTAACTTAATAAATTAAACAAGAGATTCCACTTTTTAAAAATGGTTTTTCCATTTATTTTTAAAAAATAAAATATTAACTGTCATTAATCATATAAGGGTTAGCCCCTTGTACCTTGCTTAATTAAAATTAAGCAGATTTTAATAGCAATATTGTTCTCAAATAGGAAAACTAAAATGTTTGTAAAAAGAATTCTAAATAGTTTTTAAAAAAACTATTTACAATAGATTTTTTTCCAACAAAAAAATTCCCTATTATCAACTCAGGGATTAGGACAAAGTAATTAGTAATTTTATTCTATATAACTTTATAAAACTGAGCAGCCTAGTTTAAAAAAATTTGGTTTTAGCTGGATCAAGCTTAATATCAATTTTAAAAAAATTTAGCCACAAATTTTGAAATATAATGATTAAATTTGTGTAAAAAAAATTGATATATTTGTTTGTAGAATATTTTTTTCACAATATTCATTTGTCGGAAGCACTATATAATATAGCCAAACAAACGAAATCGATTTTTAGGAATGAGGTGTGCTATTAACTGCTAAAAACACTGGTAGCCACTTATTGGAAAATGAATTATTGATTACAGGCATAAAAGTCATATTTATATTTTTTTTAATGAATAAAAACATAGGCGTTTTCATCCTTATCCCTCCTGTCTTCCTTACATCATCATTATTTAGTGTATGAGGGATTAAGATAACCTTATCTTAATATCTTGACAATTCCAGTTGAAACGTTTCATTTTTATAGAGTAGTGTTGTTAGGTTAAGCCGGCCAAGTATGTTCATGAAACAACTCTGACTTGAGTTGATTCAATGAACCACATTAGTCAGCTCACTTAAGTTGTCTCTGTTATGTTATGTAAATTTAATATGTATTTTAAGATGAACCACATTAGTCAGCTCACTTAAGTTGTCTCTGTTATGTTACGTAAATTTAATATGTATTTTAAGGTAGTTTTATTACTTACACATATTTTTTCAAAATTTTTATCATATGTACCTAAACCTCGATTTGAGTCGATTTTTAAAGAATGGCTAACTCAATGTTATCAAAATTATGCAAGCCTGAAGATTTGATGATAGATGGCTCAAAGATTTAGACATCTATTAGCGGAATCTCCAGAATTAAGCAATATTTTCTGGCTTTTTTAATAATCAAGTCATTTTACAACAATATTTATTTGTTTTTTGTAATATATTTTATTTGAGTTAGTTTGTTTACGCATGATTTTTTAGCTAGTTTTTTTTCTATATTTATTTTTTTTTAAAATATAATATTGGTGTAATTTTTTTTGAGCATGATTTTTAATGGTGGCTTATTGCTACCTTTATTTTTTAACCGGAAATGGATTCTAGAATATGTAGAGTAGTGTTGTTAAAAAGACCGATCTGGGTCTATTTCCCAAAAGGCCCGATTAAGATTTTGGCGAAAATAATATTATGTAAGCGTCAAGATTTGGCAAATAGATGTGTCCAAGCATTTCTGTCAGCTATAAACAAAATCTTTAGATTTACATAATGTAATTTTGGTTATAATTTTAATCGGGATGTTTTTTTAATATCTAGCCGAACGGGCTTTTTAACAACACTAGTAGAGTAGAGTACCTAAACTGTAAATTTCAAACAATTTGGCAATACACTTTAGCACTACTAATTTTATATCAATTATGGATTTTTCATTTAAATTTAATAAAACACCAGAATGTCCATGGCTGAAATTTATAGGGTTAATACTCTACACATGCTAGAATACATTTTCGATTACGGATTTTAAAATTATTTAAATCGCCATCGGTAAATGATTTAAAATTGAGAGATTCCGAATCCCTATATGACATATACATTTTATTTGGCTTATTTTTTATGCTTGATTTTTAAAATTAGTTTTTTTGAATATATTTTATTTTAGTTATATTTTTGAATTAGTTTTTTACACTTTAATGGTGTTTTATAATTATTTTTTTGTTTTAATTTTACATATTAATGGTCTTTTTTAATATAAATATTTTTTAAAATATATGTTTAATATATGGTTTATTTTTTAAAAAATTACTTTTTATGCTTGATTTTTAAGAGTGGTTTTTTCCATTTTTATTGAATATATATTTTATTTGGGTGGATTTTTTTAGTACTCATTATTTTTAATGATGTATATATTTTAATGTTAGTTTGTATATAAAAGAGTTCAAACCCGTTTTTAGATGTTCGAAATTAGAGCTGTGCTTACATATTTTTTAGGTTATTTTTTGTTAATCCTTCAGTACAAAGATCTTAACTTCAGAGGTGTGGTGTATTTTACTTCAAATTGTTATTAGCTCTATTCGAAAATTAAAATTTGAGAACTAAGATTTTGCACAATTATTGTAAAATTATTAAAGAAAATAAACATAAAATTTTTAGATTTATTATTATTTATAAAAAAAAGTATATTTTTTCTAAAGTTGCTTAAAAAATTTTTATTTGGAACTGTCTCTTAATTATATTATTATCATCAAAATAAATTAATAAAAGGCAAATATTAATTATATATTATATTTTATTAATTCAATAATGATAATGAATAGTGATAGATAATACATAAATTTTTACCAAATATCAAATTTAAAAATAAAATTATATAACAATATTATGTCAAAAAAAATTCTTAATTACAAAGGTGAGCTTAATATTATATCCCAATCTAATAAAATGCTAATATCTCAAAAACTTATGAAATGATATGAATAATCATGAAATTTGATGGATATATATTTTATTCCATATATTAAACTACAAAGCTCACAATATTTTCTCGTATATTCATGAGATCATATATATAATCCCATTTGTTCTAAAGGGTTAATATTTTTGGCTAACATTACACTATCTAAAGAATTACCATCTCATTTGATCGACAGTTAGTTATATTAGGAATTTCACTTTAGCACTTATAGCTTTAACTGCCAATCGCTCTTACAATTTACGAAAAAAATACTAATTTTTTTTTTGAAATATAAAATATGGTAGAATTGGCAGCCCTGTTTTACCACTCTGAAATATTTTTTTGAAAAACTAATATCAAGCAAATTCGTAATTAGCCGTTTTTTACTATTACGACTCGAGATCCGACTCATAAAAACTCGGATATTTAACACTACTATTATAGAGCTTCTTTTTATTTAATTCTTTCGTAGGTGCTAACAAATTCTTTTTCCTAGCGAAATTTCGTAGCCTTCAATAACACTTTTAATGTGCACGCCAACCATATACCTCAATAATAATTTCCAATTGTCTTTCCCCTTAAAAAAATTATGTTAAATAGAAGGAAATTCAGGGATCAAAATTAATTTTAGATTGGTCACTAAATGATTTACAAATTTACCTGGCAAAATATCCAAATCTTATCGTTGAGGGCAATAGCTTTTATAAGCGCCTCGAAATAAATGTCTCTTCACTATAGATACAAACCGTACCGAATATCGGTTCAGATAACCGTTTTATATCTAAATTTATTAGAATTGTAGAAAGTGTTGTCTGCTTGTCTTCGGCATTAATCGACAGCTATCCTATCTTTACGCCAACGCCAGTATTAAGAAATTTTGTGCTGTTGAACAATTAATAATTTTATTACTAGTAGCTTTTAAAAAATTTATTAATCATCTTTTATATTTTAAATTTGGACAGAATACATTTTTAAATTAAAACCTAAAATTTTTTTTTTTGACTTTAGACTCTTTTTAATCATCAAATCTCATTCATAACCTTGTATTGAGGCAAACCATCCTATATTTAACCAATAGTGAAAAGAAATAGGAAAAAAAAATTAACAATACTTTATTTTGTATTCAGTACACAATTTTTTTTTTATAAATCAATAATTAAAAAATGTAGAGACTAAAGAAAAATTAATTTGTGATGGTTAATAATAATTTTTGGATATCAGTTAAAATTGAAGTATTTGAGTATTGGAATTGGTTCTATCATCCTGAGGATAGGAACACGTCAGCATGGTATAGGCCCAGTCCAAGTTCCAAAATATATTGTTTTATTTCCTTCTTTTTCTTGTACGATTGAATATCACAATTATATAAAATGAATTAAAAAATAAGATTAGAAATACTATTCATGATAGATTAAGTGCATCATTAAATTAATAAAATTTATTGCTGAATATTTAAATATGTGTAACATTAGAGCCTAAAATAAAAAAAAATTTAGTTTGAGATTTACACTATAAGCTTTTTCAAAAGGGCCAGGCCTGCGTTTAATAAAATATTTGCCACTGGGCTATGGGTGGGTTCTGGCCAAAAATTTTGTCAAAGAGAAGTAAGGGACCTTGCTAGTGTCATTAGAAGGTGACACCTAGGGGCCTAAGCTCCCTGAAAACTCTGGAAAGCCTCCTAAAAATAGTTTTTTGGGGGGAATTTTAGAGAAATTACTATTTTAAATTTAAATAAATTTTTCATTTTTTGCTCATTTTAAATAGAATTATCTCCCATTTTGCTATTGTTTAAAATTTCTAAAAATAAACTCCCACATTATTTACAGATAAAAATATATAATTTTATTATTAAATGCAAATAATATTCTTAATCAAATATACTAATGTTTATTAAGTAACTGATACTGATAAGAAAAAAATGAAAAGCTCTTCACAGGTAAAAAATGCATAAATTTATTAAAATTCTATCTATCATGATGATTCATAAGTATAACAAGAAGAAATTGTAAAAATATTATAAATTTTTAACTGATTTTTTATTAAATATATTCACAGTTGTTTCAAAACAAGGTCGAAGATCGTAATCACAGTATCCAATATGAAATTTGGCAATAGATTTAAAATAATCAAGACCTCTTCCAATTTTTATAATCCATCCATTTTCTAAGCTTTATAAAATGAAGTTTAAGAATACAATTTAAAACTAAATATTTACCTTATTTCCCTATCATGTATTTTATCTGAAAAAGTAATCACAAGTTCAACATTAGATGATTCCAAATTTGATTTTAGTTTTAGTAAATTATTTTGGTGATTTGATGACATTTCCTTTTATTTAAGTAAATATTATTTATTTAATTTAAATAGTACTTCATTTCTGGAAGTATTCAAAGTTATTGTTTTGATATTGTGATTGGACTTTTTATACACTAATTCACAAAACCTTAAAAAATTAAATATCTAAAAAATATCAAGATAGTAATTTGTTTACAAACTTGATAATCGCTTCTAATATATGGATCTTGTATATTAACCCAAGTTACTGTTTCATCTATGAAACGCCCAAACAATGACTCATAACTATATCCAATTGAATTGTCCTTAATAAATATTTGCTCATGATATTTGCCAGCTTACTAAATCTAATAAAGATAGAGCAATTAGATAAAATTATACCTTCCTTTTTTGCTTCTATTAAAGATTTTAATTTTTCAGCCTTATCCATGTAAGATGATACACATTTTCTTAGAGCGACTTTTTTAGCCCCTTCTTCATTACATACTTAAGAGGATTTATATTTAAAAATATATTATAATAAACATTTTAATTGGTTGATATATATTTCCAAACTCTCTTGATAACATACTAAGGCCTCCGTTAAACGATTATTATGTTCTAAATCTACTGCTCTCTGCAATAATTTAGTAGCAAGATTTTCCTCCATATTTTTCAAACCCAGCAGCCTAACATTAAATTGTTATTTTGCTACTTGGTAAACGAAAAACTCTTCGGAGATTAAATCAACTAATCAGTAATTTATTTAATTCCATCTATAGCCTTTTAATATTAAAATCATCTAAAAGAATAAAATTTCACAGGGGAACAACAATAATAAAAGATAATCATTTTATATAAAAGCTTTCCTTCAATTTATTAAACAGAAAACAGCAATAATAAGCCTTTACCAATATCTTACTTTTAAATAAAAGCTTTCCTTTTATTTATTAAATCAGTGATATAATATAATATGTGATGAATAAATAATTGGAATTTCAACTAATACTAGTATTTTATGGTATCTTAATATTTATAATCAATATTTTATCTTATTGTTATCTCTTTTAATTGAATTTGAAAATAAAATTTTATATTATTTATTATATTTTATTGTAAGGTCAATTATATAACGTCATTAAAAATTCAATCAAAAAATATTTTTTCTTATTACTATTCGATAACAGCTGTTTGTTTTAAAAAGCTTTAATTTTTGTATAATCATGGCCACAAAAAGTACTATTGAACAAGAACAGATAATAAATGGATTTAATAAACTAAGATCCGATCAACGTACATTGGCTATTAAAGCAACTGAATTGGAATCGGACATTAAAGAACATGAGTAATTATTTGATACATTATTTAAATAAAATTTTATCATTTACAGCATTGTAATAGAAGCTTTAGCAAATATCGAGTCAAAAAGAAAATGTTACAGACAAATTGGAGGCGTTTTGGTTGAAAGGACAGTGGGGGAAGTTTTACCAGCTCTTCAAGATCACAAAAATAATGTAATAAACTATAAATCACATAAATTGGTTATATCAAGACATAAGGATTGACATATAAAAAACTAATTTTGTAATTTGTGATAGTTTTAGGTCGTGTTATATTCTATTATACCATGAATAAATATATTAGCTTATAATAACATTAAGAAAATTTATTATAAATTGGTTATCATTATATACTTTGGTTGTTTTATTATCTTATAGATAGTCCAATTAGTTACCAAATTAAATGAACAGATAGAAACCAAGGGAAAACAGATATTTGAATATCAAAATAAACATAAAATTCAAATCAGTACACTGGACAAAGATTCACTAATGCAAGCTATTCCTATTCAAACTTGATAATTATTCATGATATATGTATATTCTATATGATTATCACATTTTTATAATAAAAAAATATGTTCAGATAAATAATAATATTAGAAACCTGAATTACCAATCATAGAATATTTTATAAATTAGTTATAAAAAATTTATTAACATTAAAACAAATTTAAATGTCTAAAAACATATATATTATATCTTATCTGAATCAAAGACCTTCATTGGCCAGCTTACAACTAATATTATATTTTCTAACGAGCCTGGGCTAGGCTTCGATTTTTGGAATTTTTTTAATAGGTCAAGGTAGGGCACAAAAATTTTAATTTAGCTTATTCAAAACAGTTAACCTAAATGAAAGTATTGCAGTTTTTTTCTTCTTCCAATAACAAATTTTTTGTATTGCAAGCAAAATTTTTGCCTAAATATGCTAAAATATTATTTATTTTCATTGAATAAAATAAATTATAATTTAAAATTATTATTGGTTAGGCTTGGAATTTTTTTTTATTAAATATAGACATAGGTCTATAAACCTTTTTTAAACTGTGGGTCTGGGCAAGGCCTGATCAAAATATCCAGGCCTGTGAGGGTGTTTGATCTGGATGTAATTTTTATCATAATATTATGCTAATTTTTTAGACCGGAAATAAAAATTTATCTTATTCTTAAAATTTTAAATCTAAGGAAACAAAAATATATGAACATATTTTTTTTTAAATATTGTTTTCTAAATTCTTATTTTGTCTTATATTTTCTTAACCTTCCCTCTAAATTTTTTTGGTAAAAATAAAAATATTTTTATAAAATAAAACTATTAAAATAAAATTTAAAAACCCTCTAATAAAATACGATGAGATGTTAAAACTAAAAATATATAAAAATTGCATATAACCATGCATTGTAATAATTTTGAAGTGCAGATATAAGTATTTTTGGATCTCCAAAGAGAACTAGCTCTTTCCTAATGATTTTAGAAGGACCAGAGTTGTTAAAGTATCTAGATATAATGTGGTATCTGTATCTATATAGATTTTTGATTAAAATATCTGTATCTAGATATTATTTTAGACGTACCTGTATCTGTTTTTAGATATTTTAGATACTTTTTAGATAAATTTTGATATACTTTTATTTAAATATTTATATTATATATATATATATAAAATATTAAAACTTATATATAAAAAAATATATATAAATATTCATTAAATATTGTGTGTGAGTCAGCGTCTACATGAGCGGGAGGGGTAGGAACAGTTTGCATCCTATTTTTTGAGGGGATAGGGGGTAAGCTGCTTTAATGGGGGTAGGATAAATTTTTTTTGGTGGTTATCCATTAAATTTTGAGATGAAATAAGACAAAGTTTATTGCTGTAAAAATTAATACTTTTATTATAGTATTATTATAATACGATTCATCAACCAAATCTATATATTGCAAACAATCATACACATTGTTTTCCAAAAAACTATCCTTTTAAATATAATTTAAAAGGTTTAGATATTTCAGCAAGCTCATAATGCCATAATAATTAATACATTGTAAATAATGGAGGTTTTAATTAAATTTATTATCTAAAAAATAAATTCTTTATTATCTAAAAAATAAATTCTTTATTATCTAAAAAATAAATTCTTTATTATCTAAAAAATAAATTCTTTATTATCTAAAAAATAAATTCTATATTATCTAAAAAATAAATTATTTATATTCACAAAATATCGATAGTTGGTAGTAGAGATAGATTAATTTAACTTATCTTTTATAAATTATATGAAAAGAGTATCAATAAATAAATAGGTGAAAATAATTATAAAGAGACATCGCCGCCGAAGGCGGTGGGGATTTTTTAGGGGGGTAGTAGTGTTGTTAAACGGCTAAGTCGAGTCGACTTAGTCTAAAATCTAGTCAAGTTTTGAGTCGCAAAACTCATTTCAATTTGAGCGGCTCTATGAGCCGCATGAGTCGGCTTAAAAGTCGGCTCGATGAGTTGGCTTCAGAGTCGGCTCGATAACTCGGCTGCAGAGTCGTCTAAGGTTTATTTTGAATCGGCCTGATATATTAAAAAAATTTAACCCCTATGGTTCAAAAATTTAAATATTTTTAAATTCGAAATGTATTATTTTAAGAATATGACCATGTTATTATTAATAATATCTAAACCCAGACATTTCGCTGATAGATGTCTAAACATTTGTGACATCTATGACCACAATCTTAAAGCTTACATAATAGCTTTCTGGATAAAATGTTGAGTTAGCCGTTTTTAAATTGGCTCAAATCGAGCCGTTTAACAAGACTACTTATACAATTATTTAGAATATATATAAAAAAAGATTTTTTAAAAAAATTCAGACCTGGGTATGATTTTTTAAAAATATATTATAGGGGAGACCGGGTTTATATTGTCCATAAAAAAGTGAAGTGCTATAAAAAATAGACGAAGCAATTTTTCCAAAATGTTTAAACGTAGTTTTATTCTTTACATATAATATCATGGTAGAAATAAAAAAATTTATATAAAATTCTAATTAAATAAATAGAAATAAATTGTCAAATATGTTAAATTCATCTATATTATATATATTAGCCGGAAGAACTTATTATCACTTAAAACTGTCTTATAATTTACAAAAAATAAGTTGAATTTTAAAATATTAATATTCTCGAACCATAGTGGTTAAATTTTTTAAATATTTTATCGTGGAGTAAATAATAATAGCAGGCGGATTCAAAATAAATTTTTTCCGACTCTGAAGCCGACTCATCGAGTCGACTCATGCGGCTCATTGAGCCGCTCAATTTGAAATGAGTTTTGCGACTTCGACTTGAGTTCAGAGTCGTAAAAACTCGACTATTTAACAACACTAGAGGGTAGGCAAAGGTTTTTGAAGGGGGTTTGCATCCAGTAAAAATTCTGTCATGTAGACGCTGGTGTTAGTTTATCAATCAACCAGGTTTGATATTTGCAACTTAAGGAATCTGCCATTTTTATCTTTAATAGAATGGGTTAATTTTATTTTATTATACATTTTAAAAATTTATTTTAGATTAATATTAATAGTGATGAAGAGGAAGAAGTAATAATCAATGAAGCATTTCAGACATTGGTTTTTTATGGCCAATTTATAGAGCATATTTTAAAGATCTCTGATAGTAAAATGTTTGCCATATCTACAAAATAATTCAGTTAGCATCCACCTCAACTTGCAACATTGTAAAACATTAAAGGGTATAGATAGTAAATAAATGTTTACAATTGAATTTTAAGTTTTAAGAGAAAAAAAAGATAACACAATCCCTTTAAGTGCCCGAGCTAGTAGGAATGCTTTTTAATGTAGCTAAAAATGTCTTTAAGGATTAACTAGGATGCCTTTATGACCAAAATTTTGAAAATATTTTATTACTAAAATCTAATAATTATTTATAATCATATATTTTCATATATAATATTATAATAAAATTTAAAAATCATTATTTTAGGTTATATTTTGATAAATGTGATGTCTAGTCAATAAAGTTTTTTTTAGCTCATTTCATTCATTTTCATAGAATCCTAATTTAGGTTTATGCAAGGCTTATATGTTAATATTTAAAATTATATCTCTATCTAGATACATTTTAAAAATTATATCTGTATTAAGATAACTTTTTAGGCGATGTATTTGTATCTAGATGACCTTTTAGACGATGTATCTGTATATAGATATATTTAAAAAATATCAGTGTGAGAAATGAAATTTTCGCGAGTGTTCGATTTGGTGAAAATTTATGCAAGTATAATCCAAACGAAGGAAATAAAAATTATATGAGAATAAATTGATATTAAAAGAATATAAAAAAAAATACAATCAAGATTATATATTATTATGGTGTGTTTGATTGATTTATATTTTATTTATTTAAAAAATATATAATTAAAATAACATGTAAACTATTTGTAAAATAAAATTTATATAAAAACTATATTAAATAAAACAAAAATTAAACATAAAATACATATAAAACAATAATTATATATTCATTTTATCATATATATTTCTATAATCATCCTTTAAGTTGAACTATTTATTGGGCAATAATAAGATTAGTCAATTGCCCTCACGAATGTTTTTTATTTGTAACAAAGAATATTTTTTTCTAAATTTGTGATTTATATCTATAACTCTACTTCTTTTTTTTTATTTTAAAAATATGATTTTAAGGTAATGATAATTTTAAATATTTTGCATACTAAAGAGTTTAATTTCATTTATCAAAATGACATCTTGGTTAACAAGAATCGGGATCAGGAACCTTTACTTTATAAGAAAATTTAATGGAAAAAGTCTTCTAAAAAACAGTTATTTCCCAAACATATTAAAGATTTTATACTGTTAAAACGATTGTGGAATTAAACTTTTATTTTTATAGAATATAATAAAATAGTTTTAATCAATGTTTCATCTGAATTAGAGCCCTTCAGAGCCTGTCTATCCAATATTAGTGGTAACATCAATAAAATATAATCCCGACCCTAGGCCCAAAAAATATTAGTTAAATTTCCACCCTATTCCTTTTTTTGCATGATTAAATATCACAGTTATAAAATGAATTTAAAAAACAAATCAATTTGTCAATAAAATATAGGCAGCGCATGACCAGAGAACTTAATAATTAAGTGCATAATATTTATAAGAGAATAAAAAATATTTTTTTGATATGAAAATCCCCCCCCCCCCCCAAACCTCCCACAAGCTTATCATAAAGAATTACTTTCAATATTGCATATTTTAATCTGAACAAAATCGGAGATTTTTCGCTCTTCTGTGATAATTAATTTAAGTTCTAAAAAATATGACTTTTGGAATATCTTTTAATGTTTTTTTTAAATATCACTTTGTTACCTTTTTTTAAATTTTTATATTCACTATTTTATATATATATTATTATATAAAGCTATGATATATTTCGTTTTACCTTTTGTTTGATCACCGCTATGATTGCCTTGGTAGCTACACTACAATCCTTGCTTTTAGATATTAAGTAGAAAGTGTTAAGAATTATATTTGATATTGATATTAGTTAGTTAAAAGGCTTATTTTTAAAAACGGCTAACCCAATATTTTTGCCAAAAAATAATACTCAAGCCTAGAGATTTTGCATATAGGCGGCAGAAAGGTTTGGACAACTATTAACGAAATTTCAAGGCGTGTAAATATTTGGCGAAAATATTGAGTTGTTCATTTTAAAAATAGAGCCGTCTAACATTACTAATTGATATCTCCACAAACAAATTTTACTTTACTATCAATTCATAAAATTCCAAAAAATGAAATAATGATTAGATAATAATTGCTATTATAGTTAGTTATGAAAGATTGATTGTTAAGCTACAGATTTCAACAATCAAAAAATTATTAAAATTATAAGGAAATAAAAATTAAAGATCTCCATGTCTTAAAACTTCTATAATATGAACATTTCGACTTATCGGTTGTTAATTATAATAAAATTAAAACCAAAAATTATATAAAATCTGTTATTATTATTTTTTTAAAAAGTGGTAACCTCTTTAGCAGATATATTAATTTAAAATTTTCTAGGAGATATAAGAAAGATGGAATCTCGCAATCTCGCTTATATTTCCTGATTCCTAAATTTTAGCGATTTTTGTTAGCGATTTAGAACTTATCCTAAATCTCCGCTCTCAAGTTGCAGTTTTTGAAGTCAAAGTTAGGATAAAAAGTATTGATTTCTATTTTTATTTTTGTAAAGTAATTGATTTAAAAAAAAATTTAAACTTCGGAATTAATAATTGTTTTTAAAATGAGTGGATGTTTCTCTAAAAATAATTTTTTTCTGTCTTATTTATTAAAAATAATTTTATACTTGATAGAGTTGTACAAAAGCGAGATCTCCTTCAAAAATTTGAACAAGATCTTTGAAAATCTGAAAATTTGAAGATCTTTTACTTTTAGCAACGATCTTCAAAGATCGAGATTTTTGAAGATCGTAAAATTTGAAGATCTTTTATTTTTAATAAATTAAAATAAAAATACAATAAAGAAGTACCGACAATTTTCCTAATCGTTATTTTTTTTTTAACTTTTTTGACTTTAATGGGTAGAAAAAAAATTTATATTAAAAAAAATTATATTAAAATTTCAATGAAGATGTAATGTAAGTAACACAAAAAAGTGACAATTGTAATAATCGTTATTTTTTATTTTTAACTTATTTAATTTATTGTGTCGTAAATAGGTTAAAATTTTTATTATTAAGATGTAAAAATAAAATTTCAATGAAGATGTATCATAGAAAAGTGATAATTGTCATAATCGTTATTTTTGAAAATTTTTTTAAAGCATAGATATTGTTAACATAGATTTTTATTTTAATTAAAAATATAAATTAATTTTTATTAATCGTGGTCTGAGTATTAGGTTATTCCATATCCACTTTGTCAAAAATGTCTTCTATACATAAATCAATTCTTTATAATTATACTATCCTATTTACATATTAAAATCTAAAAGTTAATTTGTAAAATTACTCACATAATAAATTACAAAATGGAATAATCTAATTCTCAGGTAACAATGAAAGAAGTAAAATTCACTGATTGCTTTGTCCTTAAGGAAACATCATTTAATATTAAATATTATATTTTAAATATTCTTCTAGCCTAGCTAATGACATATAATATATGTCATTGAGCCTAGCCCTATTTTTCAATTTTTTTTTTGTTCGTGAATTATTTTAAATTAAATGCTAGACTTGGGCCGATTTTAGGGCTCTACTCCAATTATATGGTGCTAAAAGAATCAGTCAAAAATACTTATCGTATTGGCATTCTTCTTACATTCTTTGAAATATATTCAAATTTCATCAAAGATACAAATAAATTTATTTTATTTTATGCAAAGATTAAGAATATCCGATTATCCTAAACACATTATAAATACATACCTATCATTAAAGTTTTTCTTTTATGATATGCAATAAGCTAAATTTAGCGTCAGGCTTGTTAATCTATCCTTTTAAAATGTTTATGCTCTATAAAAATTAACAAATATGAAATTAAATTTAATGTAAATTAATTATAATAGAATAATATAACAATAGTAATAAATTTATTTAATCAAAACTGCCCTTAAATAATAAAAAAAAATGCAAATTATCATTCAAACATCCATGTCTTTCATTAAGAACATATTTAGCGTTACTAAACAAGCACTCCATATGAGCATTTGATGAAAAAGGTGTTATATACTTTTTAATTTACATCAGTATAAAAAATATTAATTGAATTATCATTTTAATAAAATAAATTAAGGGAAAAAGCAACAGAGAAGGTATCAGTTTTATCAAATCATTTGAATAATCTTCATGTGTAATTAATGAATTTGCGGCAGATTCATATAAGGTATATTAGGTTTAAAATTTGAGGAATTATTGCTGCGAATGCTACTGTTATCAGTTAAGGAAATCTATATTTTCAGAAATGATAGTTAGCATTAATATAGAGAGCTTAGTAAAAGGTAAAATGCTTTTATTTATAGCTGTCACTTCAATAACTGTATGTCTTTTTCTAGGTCTATAATAGACATGAGTAAATAACTATAAATAATTTTTTATATTTTTATTTCAATAAATAAAACTTGAAGGTTGTAAATCAAAATGGTAAGTGTTGTGTTATCTTGATATAATTTATGAAAAAAATAGAAAATATGGAGGAGGATGTTTTATTAAAAAATTTTTTTTAAATTTAAATAATTTATTTATATAAATTTTTTAAAAAAAGGATCAAATATTTGGTATAATAATCTCGATCAATATCCTAAATTTAAGAGAAAATCATAAATCTGGGTAAATTTTTAAAATTTGGATCGAATCCAGGATCGTTGCCTTTAGATCATGATGTTTTATCAACTCTGAGTAGCATATATAATTTTTGACTGAAGAATAAATAATTATACATATTTTAATATGAGATAATCGTTGTGCAGTGAATAAAAATTTGCGGAGAGGATAATTTGGACTAAAAAGCTAAGAATATACTAAAGTAATTTGTCAATTTATATTTTGGGTGTTATTTAGCACAAATGTAATTTTAAAAATCCTGTTATTTATTTCATTCATTTATTTTTTTAAAAAAAATTTTAAAAATATCATGAAACAAGATTCAATTCATGATCCATCAATATTTATAGAACTTAAAGAATATGCCATTAAGCTTGCCTTTAAACCTTCCATTGACATAGCTGATTCATATTTTAATATTATCAAAAATCTTGATAAGCAACATATTGTTAATTTTCAAGAGTTTCTTATATTTTCATTGAAATATGCTATAGAAAATAATAGATTGTAAGATAACATAAACATATTTATAATAATTGATTTCATAGGGAGGATGAAATATATTTAATAAAACTTATTGAGACATTAAAATATATCATTAATAATTCAAAGATTAATAATTTCAACATTTTTATTGAATTATTTAAAATTATTTCTATTGAAATTTCTTCTAAAGAAAATCAGTCAGAGTTATCATTGAAATATTCTAATCATTTTAAAATGAAAATACTTAAATTATTTCTAAATATTTTAGAAAATTCTGACAATGAGTAATATAACTATTATTTACACATTATAATTTAATTTCAGTATTTTATGCAAGATATTTGAAAAAGAATTTACCCCTGCTTTGGGCCATATGATATTTATGTTAAATAAGTTAATTGAAGTCTCAGATTCATCAGATTTAAAACTTATATCAATATCCATACTTAATTATTTAATTAATATTTCCAACAATGGTATATTATTTATTTTTAATGTAAAAATTTATAAATGTAACATTTTAGATGGATTAAAAAAGCTTGTCCATGAAAGATTTAAAACCTTTTTGCCATTAACGTGTTCTACTTTATTTAAATGTATCCATCATCATTCAAATAAAGGATTTCAAACCTTATCGGTGAGTTTAGGAAAATTACTTATTTATTGTTTATCTATGCAATATTTAGTCTGCTCTGAATTGTTTAAAGCATCTAATGATCTTGATTCTAAAAGAAGCCTCATATAGTTATTATGATCCAAATTTTTCTTCTAATGTGTTAAAAATAAAGGACCAATCAACAGACTTACAAACAGCCCTTATCAAAAAAATAAATATAAAATTATCACAAATAAACCTAGCAAATAATGAGTCCAAAAATAAATTTAAAGCAACCAATATAGCTGAATTTCAAAAAAATGAATCATGGTTGAAAGAAACACTTGTTAAGTTCAATATAATCACCAAAGCTTTGTCAGGGTTGTGCAACCATTCACAATTAAAAATAAGACAATCAATATTTATATTTTCCATTGAGTTGTTGACTTATTATCACAGGTTAAATATTTGTATTTTCAATATTTTACAAATTTTATATTAATGTCCTTTAAAAACCTTTTTTTTTAACCACTGAATAGAAATTCACTATCAACTAATACAGGGCAAACTGACCCTCACAATATTAAACATGAATATGAGTCCTTTATGAATGCCCTATTGAATATATACCTCACCCTTTATCAAGAATTTAAACATTTAAATGAAGGCAATAGATTATCACTAAATTTGTCCAGCCTAGCAATATCCCACGATATTTTAACTGATCAACTCAAACACCTAAGCATAGGATTGATGAAGAATATCAGGTTACCCACCAGTCCTGATATAGATACATTGATAATCAAAGATCTGGTGATAATCAAGAATTGTTTATCTATATTAGGTTATATTATACAATAGTTTTATGCTATATAATAACCATCTTGCCTATCTTCAGTCTCACTGCAAAAACTGCTAAGCTAAAAAAAAAATTCCATCATGTCTTAATATTGCACATCTAACTTAATATAATTTCCATGGTCATATATATACATTTATTTTGCTAATGATGTTATATTATGATGTAAAATTGAATATACCATTTTCTTCAACTATTTTTAGTAGCAGTAGTAGCCAATAGCCCACTACCCTTTTTAAAGATAGCAGTAGCTAGTGTTATTAAACTGCATTTGAGACGATTTCTAAGAACGGCTAACTCAATATTTTAGCCAGAAAAATATTATCCAAGCCTCAAGATTTCGTTAATAGCTCAAACCTTTTTGCCACCTATCCTATCTGTAAAATCTTATTCCATAATAATTTTCCTAATAAAATATTGAGTTAGCCATTTTTAAAAATGGGTTCAAAATATGAGCCGTTTAACAACCACTAGGTAGCACGCTACTTTTTAAAAAAATAGCGATTTCAATAGCACACTCCTTTTTTTTTGGTTTACTAAAAAGAGAATACGTTCAATAAATCAAATTAGATGATACCCACACCCAGGTGTTTTTCAAATATTGGCTGATATTTAAACAGTACAGCCAATTTCCTTGATCAACGATTCCTATCTCTTGGCACCAAGACATCTTGGCGGTGGACACTGAGTGTAGGAATTCAAGAAATTAAAGAGTCATTAATGATATGTTTAATCAGATGTGAATACAAATCTAATTTTATTGACATAAATTAGATAAATGAAAAATATACTAAATTTTTTTTTTATAAAATGGCATACAAAGCGCATTTACTTTTTAAAAAGATAACCAATATCGCCCTACTTTTTGCCACAAAAATAAATAACGTTTAACAACACTGGAAGATAGGCTGTTTTTGCAGGGAGACCAGTTGATATAATTTTTATGTAGGGTAGGGCTGTGACGATCCATATATTTTTCACCGATCCGATCCGATATGTTGATATTGCTCCAAAACCGATCCGATACCGATCCGATATTTTAAACTGATTTTTAATCACCCCCGTTTGAACTAAATGTAATTCAGAAATCAATATTTTTTATGCAAAAAATCGAATTATGAATTTAATTTAATTTTTTTATTTCTACAAAATTAAGACTATAATAAAAAAATGGATATATTTAATAATATATCCATTTTATGTTGGTATGAATTACAAAATTGTAATATATAAAAATTAGATTTTTTAAATAAATTTGAGAGCCTCTAGATTTTCTGGGAACAAGCTTCTACGATATGGACTATCTATATCTCCTGCCGTACTGAAGGCAGACTCAGATGATTTCGCAGATAACGCATTTTGCAAAATTATCTTTGTCTTTTGTAAAATATTTCCATAATTCAGATAACATATTAAAAAAAAATTCTTTTATTTAAAGTATAAATAAAAAATATTGGCGTTATTTTAAAAAGATTTAAAAATATATAAAACTTTGGGTGTTCTTTTCTATTTTTATTAAAAAAAAAAACTTTTAAAATACTATAAATCTATTTTTAAAAAGAAATAAAATTTAAAAAAAAATTATTTAGAAATATTTTAATAATGTAAAATAAATATATATAACATAAAATAAAATAACAAAAAAAAGAAAAGTAAAAAGATCGGATCGGTTTTTGACAAGTATCGACCCGATCCGATATTATCGGAAAACGCTAAATATCGGTACCGATACCGATCCGATATTTAATATCGGCACAACCCCTACTTTAGGGTGATCATAAAAATTTAAAGCCTTAAAATCGAGGATACCTAAGAACATTATTTTTTGTAAACAGGTCCGAAATTGGCCGAGCCTCACGTATTTTACAATCATCTGGACAAACTATTCAAAATATTCGCTACTATCAGCGAATTTAATCTGGCTTACGCTATCGATTCCATGCGACCCGTAGGAAAACACAAAATTCAAGGTTTTTTTTAAAAACTTTTTTTTTTATGAATAGAAAAAAAATTAAAATGTCTGTTTCTTAGGATATTCAAATAGAAGATTTTCTAGCATGGTAGATATTAGTGATCTGCATCGTAATTATTCGAACCCAGCCCGGCACGATTCCGATTTTTTTAAAAAATAGAAGCCCGGCCCTAAGCCACGCTGGGTACGGACCGGGCCTACTTCTGCAGATTTAAGCAAATCTGCATCTGGAATCCTCCATATGGTGATCCAGAAATCTTTCAACTTTTAATCCTTTCACTGAGGGCCATTTTTTTTAATTTTTAAAAATCTGATAATACCGGAAATTCCGGTATGTTTTAGAGTAGCACCTATCCTATAAAAAATTTCAGTCAATTTCGCCATTTATAAAAAAAATAATTTGTCATTTTTCGAACATCTGATTTTTAAAAATTTATAAATCTTCCTCCTTAGTAAATGGTTCAAAATTTTAGAGATTCCGAATAACCCACGAGAGAATTCTAGATCATTCCTTATTCCAACTCAACTTATCACACACAGTAAAACTTGTCTAATTTGGGCTCTTCCATAATACTGGCAACTATCTAATTTACTAAACATTTGAGTTCAATCAAATTTATTATTAACTACAACTTAGAAAGTAAAACTGTCTAATTTGTCCCAACAGATTTTTCTGACAAATCAGAAACCAATCAGTCAATCCCATCACCCAGAATCCGATTCGAACTCTTAGGTATGATTTGATTCTAAAAAATGATAAAATATCTAATTTAGGATGAAAATACCATTTTTTTTATCAAGGAAAGGAGAAAAAATTATTGGTGATATTTCTTGAAAAAAAAATATCCGAAATTCAATTCCACCCCCTAACAAAAATTGGTGGTCTTATCGAGTTCGTGTTAATGACTGCCTGAGTCCGGTTGAATTCCGCCGGAGGTGGGGCAGGTCCATTACAGGGCTCTACTATATATGGAACAACTAGGTAATATAACGCGATAAGAGGTTGTCGCGGTTTATGAGCACTAGGATGTTCGGTTAGGGGAGGATCAATGATATATAATACTTGCATAGACTGACGATTTATTCATTGAAATCAGCTCGTGTAAATGCCATATTTTTGGTGTCCTATATAAATTTTAAAAAACTTTTCAATTTCGATATATAAATTGTTTATTTGGAGAAATTAAAAATGGCTTGCTACCAGTTGTATCGTTATTGATGCGCGTTTAAATGGACTAATGGTTCAGTCTAGGTGATGTTATATGTCATTGGGGAGGTTGGACTTTAATAAATCCTCTAGGTTATTTAAAATAAAAGTATTTGTTGCACAGAGATCGAGAACGTGCTACCCAAAGAAAAGTCGCTTTGCGAGGAAGCTAACCCGATTCTTGATGATCAAAAATCGTTCGAAGACGAGAAATTTTACAAATATTTTAATCGACCCCAAATGGTTCGATATTACAAGGAGTGCCTCGACACTATAGGATACCACTGTAATTATTTATTTTGGACAGAGGGATTTTATATATTTGCGGCAGTGATAGGGGAAGGGCCCTAAGGGGATTCAGCTCGGTTTGGGAATGCCGTTAACCCCAGAATCTAGGTATATAAGTACGCTAAATGAGAACCCTTGAGTAACCTTAGAAATCTGTACATTTTGAAAATGTTCAAAAATATCGTTATTATTCGTAATTCGAAGTAAAAAATCTTAACGGGGAAAGGACTGGCCCCTTGAAAAAAAATTTAATAACAATTTTTTTTATCTGTTTTATCTTATTTCTCGAGTTTTTTTTTGTTGCCCTGGCCAGGAATAAACCTAGCTCGCCCATAGCCGATTTTATAATGTAAAAGATAAATAACAAATAAATACTATTTTTCGTTTAAAAAAAGGTGATATTAGGTTGACCATAGATTATTTGCTAGAATGGTACTTTGCTACCAACTCAGAAACCAAATTGAATGCTGATACCGATCATTTCGATGAAAACAGCAACGAAATTCTATTCTTCTTGAATGAGATTCTGGGAGGGTTCTCTCGAAAAATGGCGGATGACGAAAGTTAGGCTATATTATATTTCGTAATATTTTGAAAGAAAAATAGACGAGACAATCATTAAATCGTCAAAATTATTATTTGAATATTTAAATTTAATGCATTACATTTAGAAACGGAGAATTGGATATAAAAATAATGTTGAGTTTGAGATTTACTTCCTATAAACTTCTTAAAATTAAATTCGGGTCACAACGCCGAAATTTTTTACTACCGGGTCATTGGTCCAAACTTAAAAATTTCGATTTTGTAGGTATTTAACATCCATTATAGAAAACAATTGTCAGGTATACTGTTTAGTATTCATGTCATTAGCATCGTTACGTATTTAATGGTCATATAGAACTGAGGAATTAGGAACGAACTGCTTGCAGGGCATGGAAGTAGTATCTTGTCTTATTGGTTAAAATATTATTTAGGTTTTAATTAAAATGATTGGAATTTCTTCTAAGGCGGTTTCCTATCAATTTTTTTTTTCTATATTTATTTTTGTTTGAGTTAGAGATGTATAGGTAAAGGATATTCAAAATTTTATAATTTTATTTTTTAATTGACCACAAAATTGACCCCCCCCCCTTTTCCCCATCGCAATTTATTTATCCATATATAGAAATTTCTTTTAATTTATGAAAGGCACGAGGGACAAATCCGTGAAAGAGGATGGAAGCGAAAATTCCGAAATTATCGTCTACTTGATGAAGTAAAATAAAATTATTATTTTTTAAATCAATTGCTTTAAAATTTTTTTTTTAAAGGGAATTATTGCCCGTTTATTTGAGCCTTCGTAACTGGAAACCGGGGTTGAGCGACCCTAGCTTCGATAATCAAAATGGCGTCAAATTTTCTACGAAATCGAATACTCTTATATCCTCCAACTTCAGCGATATCAAACTTAAGTCAGACTCCAAAATAGAGTTTAACAGGCGCTTGAATGGCCCCCTGGTCAGCATAATCTCCGAAACGGACACGAAGCCTGAAAAGATGGAGGATGATAAGTAAGAATAAGTTTTTTAATTAATGAATAAAATCTCTTTTTTAAAAATTTTCATTCTTGGGAATTTCGTCTATTTACTCGATCATAAAATAAAAATAAACATATTGCCAAAAAACATTTAATTCTTAAATTTTACGATCTTTTAACATTTAACGCCAATCATTTTTGAACTTGAGAATTTATAAAACGAAAATGATTGGCATCAATATTATAAAATACAAAAAATATATTAGGCAGATTTTTTCCTTAAAAAATTTAGGTTAAGGCGATACCTTAATAAGCTTTCCCGACATGCGCAGTAAGGTTTTACATTTTAAATTGTAATTTCTTTAAAAGTTCATTATAAAATTGTCTGACATTTAATAGGGTGGGTGGTATTATACACCTATTGGAATGCACATCCGGCGAAATTAGTTTTCAAATTTAAAATAGCGCGCCGATTAGTGATTTATAATGCAAATAATAACGATTGTCCGAAATTTATAAGGTGGGTATTTGTTATTTTTTGCATTTTAAATCATTAATTGAACGCCATAAATGCATTCCGATAGGTGTATAATACCCACCCTATAAAATTTCAGACAATTCTATAATGAACATTTAAAGAAATTGCAATTTAAAATTCAGAAACCTACTGCGCATGTCGGGGAAAAACCTTTTAAACTATCGCCCAACCGAAATTTAATTGTATATCAAACACTCCTCCCTAAATGCTTATTTTAAGATTTTTCTCGTTAAAGCTTCAATTGAAAATGAAATTGATGCTAATTTGATTAAAGTGAATTTATATAGACGAGAGACCTAGTGGTGTTAAATGGGGCGAAAATATTTCTCCCGAGATTCTACAAACCTTTGTGCCATCTATGAGCAAAATTTTCAGGGCTCGCGTAATATTTTTCTGGATAAAATATTGACGTAGCTCTTTTTTTTAAAAATCAACTCAGCACTAAGAAAGAAAATAAAGAAAAGAAAGAAAGGAAAGAAAGAAAAAAAGAAAAGAAATGATTTTTATTTCAGGATAAACGGTCACTATTTTTTAAATTATATATATATATTTTTTTTTTAAAAAAATGCCTAATTTTAATTTCATTCTTAAAATTCAAAAAAAAAAATGAATTTAAAATAATATAAATATAAGAAAACATTTTTTGGAGTTTTCTGCTCTACCTACCAATGTGAGCACAAACCTTCTCAATTTGCGGATTCCAGGGATCTTAAACAAATTTCAAGAAGTTCCTTCACCAACGAAACTTTCTAAAAAACAATCCCAAAGCTCGCGTTCTATCCTGACGACTTTGTTAAGCGTTGAAGGTTATCGTTATTTTTTTGACAAAATGGCGGGCGGGGCAGGAAGTGGGTTGATTGGATGATGCGATTCGGATACTGGTGCTTCGTGTGGAACCTTCTAAGTTTAAGGGTGGGGGTTGGGTTCAGTTTAATAATTTTGGAAGAAAACCCAGGAATATGGCTTAGCCCTCTGCCCCCTCCTACCTCCACTGGTTCACCGCTTTATAATAGTTCTCACATATTTAATGTTCGCGATTTATATTGTGATGAGCCTTAGCGTCAGCGCAATTTGGGAGCGCTCTGACTATTTCCTCAAAAGTTCGACAACACGTATCACTTACTATTAAATAAAAATCAAGGCTAATTTAAAATATTTTTTTAAAAAAATGGTCAAAATATAAAAAAACGCGCCAAACACGACAAACGATTCAAAAAAAAAGTTACCCGCCAATTTTTTTTTTAATGAACCCAAAAGTTGGGGTCTACGTTGGATATCATTATATATAGTGTTGCGTAATCGGCTAAAAACTACGCATAAGCCTAATAAGGCTAAGCCTAAAAATCGGCTAAGCCTAATTAGGCTAAGCCTAAAAATCGGCTAAGCCTATTAGGCTAAGCCTAATAATCGGCTAAGCCTAATAATCGGCTAAGCCTAATAATCGGCTAAGCCTAATAATCGGCTAAGCCTAATAATCGGCTAAGCCTAATAATCGGCTAAGCCTAATAATCGGCTAAGCCTAATAATCGGCTAAGCCTAATTAGGTAAGCCTAAAAATCGGCTAAAACTAAAAATCGGCTAAGCCTAATTAGGTTAAGCCTAAAAATCGGCTAAGCCTATATATATCTGCTAAAATTAAATTAGTCAAAATTCTGCATCGATGCTTATAATTATTATTTATTTATTTTAGTAAAATAATTTATTTTATTTATATTTAATGTAAATATTTTATTATTATCAACAAATAAACATAATATGATTTAATATTTTTTATTTATATTATTATATTTTGAAATGAAAATAAATTTATTTATTTGATGTTATTTTAATAAAAAAAATAATATGCTGCTATATTGTAAAATTGTAATATTCTTTTTAATATAATTTATTAGTGATTTTTACAATCTTCTTTATAAATACATCTTTTATTGAGGAATTATATTGTAAATTTTATTAGATAAATAAACAATCTTTTAGGTGAAATCTTTTATAATTTTTTTATCATTTAAAATTATCTATTTTTTATTAAATGAGGTGGATTTTATGAAACTTTTTTGATGATTTTATATGATCTTTTTAAGGATAATATTTTAATGTGACAATTGTCATAATCGTTATTTTATAAGTTTTTTGAATTTTTTTGAAGAAAATAGGTTAAAATAAGTATTAATAACATGTGTAAATATAAATTTAGTGAAGATGTACCAAAGAAAAGTGACAATTGTCATAATCGCTATTTTTAAAGTTTTTTGATTTTTTTTGACGACAATATGTTAAAATAAGTATTAATAACATGTTTAAATAAAAATTTAGTGAAGATGTACCATAGAAAATTGACAATTGTCATAATAGTTATTTTTAAAGTTTTTTGAATTTTTTGAAGAAAATATGTTAAAATAAGTATTATAAACATGTTTAAATAAAAATTTAGTGAAGATGTACCATAGAAAAGTGACAATTGTCATAATCGTTATTTTATACGTTTTTTGAATTTTTTTGAAGAAAATATGTTAAAATAAGTATTAAAAACATGTTTAAATAAAAATTTAGTGAAGATGTACCATAGAAAAGTGACAATTGTCATAATCGTTATTTTATACGTTTTTTGAATTTTTTTGAAAAAAATAGGTTAAAATAAGTAGTAAAAACATGTTTAAATAAAAATTTAGTGAAGATGTACCATAGAAAAGTGACAATTATCATAATCGTTATTTTATAAGTTTTTGGAATTTTTTTGAAGAAAATTTGTTAAAATAAGTATTAATAACATGTGTAAATATAAATTTAGTGAAGATGTACTCTAGATAAGCGACAATTGTCATAATCATTATTTTTTTAATTTTTTGATTTTTGTTGACGAAATAATAACATGTTTAAATAAAAATTTAGTGAAGATGTACTATAGAAAAGTGACAATTGTCATAATCGTTATTTTTAAAATTTCTTTGATGTAAATGGGTAAAAATATAGATTGTAAAATTAAAATTGCCTGAGTATATGCCATAGAAACACATATGGTAATAATAGATTCTTCCCCAAAAACAGGAGCAAATTGGCATTTTATTACATTTGTTCATCGGGTCAGAAATTAATATGCAAAATTTATATCATAATATCTAATCCTAAGTTAGAAATTATTATTTTTTTTTACCAATTTTCATCAGACAATCTTGTTTTAAAATTTGGGTAAACTTTTTTTTCTATTTTAAAATCAATATCGATGCAAGTTAACTATTTTCGTCAAAAAAAATCAAAAAACTTTAAAAATAACGATTATGACAATTGTCGCTTATCTAGAGTACATCTTCACTAAATTTTTATTTAAACATGTTATCAATACTTATTTTAAAATATCTTTGTCAATAAAATTCAAAAAACTTTAAAAATAGCGATTATGACAATTGTCACTTTTCATTGGTACATCTTCACTAAATTTATATTTACACATGTTATTAATACTTATTTTAACATATTTTCGTCAAAAAAATTCAAAAAACTTTAAAAATAACGATTATGACAATTGTCACTTTTCTATGGTACATCTTGACTAAATTTATATTTACACATGTTATTAATACTTATTTTAACAAATTTTCGTCAAAAAAATTTAAAAAACTTTAAAATTAACCATTATGACAATTGTCACTTTTCATTGGTACATCTTCACTAAATTTATATTTACACATGTTATTAATTCTTATTTTAGCATATTTTCGTCAAAAAAATTCGAAAAACTTTAAAAATAACGATTATGACAATTGTCACTTTTCTATGGTACATCTTCACTAAATTTATATTTACACATGTTATTAATACTTATTTTAACAAATTTTCGTCAAAAAATTCAAAAAACTTTAAAATTAACCATTATGACAATTGTCACTTTTCATTGGTACATCTTCACTAAATTTATATTTACACATGTTATTAATTCTTATTTTAACATATTTTCGTCAAAAAAATTCGAAAAACTTTAAAAATAACGATTATGACAATTGTCACTTTTCTATGGTACATCTTCACTAAATTTATATTTGCACATGTTATTAATACTTATTTTAACAAATTTTCGTCAAAAAAATTCAAAAAACTTTAAAATTAACTATTATGACAATTGTCTCTTTTCATTGGTACATCTTCACTAAATTTATATTTACACATGTTATTAATTCTTATTTTAACATATTTTCGTCAAAAAAATTCGAAAAACTTTAAAAATAACGATTTTGACAATTGTCACTTTTCTATGGTACATCTTCACTAAATTTATATTTACACATGTTATTAATAATTATTTTAACAAATTTTCGTCAAAAAAATTCAAAAAACTTTAAAATTAACCATTATGACAACTGTCACTTATCATTGGTACATCTTCACTAAATTTATATTTACACATGTTATTAATTCTTATTTTAACATATTTTCGTCAAAAAAATTCGAAAAACTTTAAAAATAACGATTATGACAATTGTCACTTTTCTATGGTACATCTTCACTAAATTTATATTTGCACATGTTATTAATACTTATTTTAACAAATTTTCGTCAAAAAAATTCAAAAAACTTTAAAATTAACTATTATGACAATTGTCTCTTTTCATTGGTACATCTTCACTAAATTTATATTTACACATGTTATTAATTCTTATTTTAACATATTTTCGTCAAAAAAATTCGAAAAACTTTAAAAATAACGATTTTGACAATTGTCACTTTTCTATGGTACATCTTCACTAAATTTATATTTACACATGTTATTAATAATTATTTTAACAAATTTTCGTCAAAAAAATTCAAAAAACTTTAAAATTAACCATTATGACAACTGTCACTTATCATTGGTACATCTTCACTAAATTTATATTTACACATGTTATTAATTCTTATTTTAACATATTTTCGTCAAAAAAATTCGAAAAACTTTAAAAATAACGATTATGACAATTGTCACTTTTCTATGGTACATCTTCACTAAATTTATATTTGCACATGTTATTAATACTTATTTTAACAAATTTTCGTCAAAAAAATTCAAAAAACTTTAAAATTAACCATTATGACAACTGTCACTTTTCATTGGTACATCTTCACTAAATTTGTATTTACACATGTTATTAATACTTATTATTTTAACATACTTTCTTCAAAAAAATTCCAAAAACTTATAAAAGAACGATTATGACAATTCTCACATTAAAATATTATCCTTAAAAAGATCATATAAAATAACATCAAAAAAGTTTCATAAAATCCACTTCATTTAATAATAAATAGATAATTTAAAAAAATGATAAAAGATTTCACCTAAAAGATTGTTTATTTATCTAATAAAATTTACAATATAATTCCTCAATAAAAGATGTATTTACAAAGAAGATTGTGAAAATCACTAATAAATTATATTTAAAGAATATTACATTTTTACAATATAGCAGCATATTATTTTTTTTTATTAAAAAAACATCAAATAAATAAATTTATTTTCATTTCAAAATATAATAATATAAATAAAAAATATTAAATCCTATTATGTTTATTTGTTGATAATAATAAAATATTTACATTAAATATAAATAAAATAAATTATTTTACTAAAATAAATAAATAATAATTAATGCTAAGTAAGCATCGATGCAGAATTTTGAATAATTTATTTTAGCCAATTTTTAGGCTTAGCCCATTTTTAGGCTTAGCCAATTTTTAGGCTTAGCCTAATTAGGTTTAGCCGATTTTTAGGCTATACCTAATAATCTCGGCTAAGCCGTTTTTAGTCGGCTAAAATTAGCCGATTACGCAACACTAATTATATATTAAATATCACGTTTCTATTGATCAATCAATTTAAGATAAAAATACCTTTTTTTTTCATATAACGAATTTATGATGAAAGAAATATTATATATGTTATATACTTTTATATTAACATTTTATTAACTTAAGGATGAGGTAAGAATTCATAATTTAAGGAAAAACTTTAGGAAAATTAAGAAATAGCCGGAAAGGCTAATTTAAAAAAATTTGATAGGCACATTAGTGATCTGCATCCGGCCTAATTTTTCAAACCCGGCCCGACCCGGCCCGAACCCGAAATATTTTTCAAAAAAATTTACCGGCCCGGTCAGTCCCGAATTTATTTAAATACAGAAATTAATTTTTATAAAAAATAAACGATATATGTTATATGCGGTCTAGTTTTTATAAATAAAATCCAATATTTTTTATTTTACATAAAATAATTAATATAAAATCGATAAATTTAGATATATTTAAAAACCCGGCCTGAATTTTCTTAAAAATATTAGGCCCGACCCAACCCGAACCCGTTTTTTTGAAAATTTGGGCAGCAGGGCCTGGTACGGGCTAGACTTACTTTTGCAGATCTCTAAGGCACATCACGTGGGAATTTATTTTACCTTAAGAAAGAAATACAAAACTAGAAATTTGCCCAATAAAATTTTTTTAGAGTTGTTAAAAGATTCTTTTTAAATGGATCTAGATACAGATACATTGTCTAAAATAATATCTAGATACCGATATTTTAATCAAAAATTTATCTAGATACAGATACAGATACCATATTTTTATATCTAGATACAGGATCTAGATACTTGTATCTTGATCCTTTAACAACTCTGAAATTTTTACATGAAGTAGATTTATATCTTTTTTCCTTATTTTAGGTTTAGCTCGATTGTTGGATCTGCTTTCCCATTCACTCATCAAATCCGATAAAAGCATTAAGGCCTTATTAATCAAAAAATCGCTCTACCCTCTACTCGTTTTATCTGTCGCTTCGCCCTATAAACCCTTAGCGGATGTTTCTAAGTCAACTTTAACTAGTCTCGCTATCGCTTTTGGATACGGGTAAAATTTAATGAATCATTATCATTTTTCGTTCTTTCAGGGTGTGGACTGTAGATATAAATGATTTAAATAGATTTAAACCAAACATAATAGTTGTCGAAATTATCCCTTTAACAAGTCACTTGACATTTTATTACAAATTACCCTTTTGAATATTGTTTTAACTTATTATGGCAGTTTATATGTGAAAATTGTTTTGTGGCTTTTTTTTCCCTAAGCTTATAAATTATATTATAGTTTTTTATGATCTTATATTCATGATAATAACAAACAATGCTCAAATGTATTAGGCCAACTCTAGTATTTCCTCTTAAATGTAAAATTTCAACAATGAACAATTAAGTAATATAAGATTTTATAAGTTTTTAGCTATTTCTAGCATAAATCCGTTTCTAAATTTGGATTGGATTAAGCCATTGGCCTTTCCTGACAACAACCCCTTTCGTTAACTTTTACAATCTAGGAAAAGATGATCCTATTCTATCCCAGATCACAGGCATCCTTTTAAGACGTTGCCACTCCCGCTGCCACGTTAAGGCAGAAGACTGGACATAAATCTAATAATAAATGATTTTATTTTAACATGGTATATATGTTTTCTTAAATATAAAACTTAAAATAAAATAGGAATGTTAATCGTCTGCTATCCCTCAACGCTCATCAGCTGATTAATCAAGTTACTCTGAATATAGAATATTTGGGAGTCCGCTTAGAAAACATTAATCATCATTTTGATGTCAGTTTAAGCTTGGATACGTGTCCAATATACCCCAACACAGCCACTCACGTATTTACCGCCTTGATCAATCATTACACCGCGTTATTAGACGATTATAAGGATAACGAGGAAAGTAGTAAGGGCATACTTATTTTTTAATAATACATAATATCACGATCTATTCATCATTTTATAGTATACAGATTGAGCACTAATACCTAAAATGATACTAACAAAGTAACGACCGATACAGATACCGAAAACTAATGTATTGTTTAAGTGTATTTATTGGAGGAAAAAAAAGACAAGATATTATAATTTATTAATAAATGCTTAGAAAAAAATCTTTTACGCTACATAGGGCCAATCATATGAGCCACAAAGCTTGGGAAAAAAGACACCCTAAACAATTTAATTTATTATATATTATAAATTGACTAGTGTTGTTAATAGTTACCCTTGAAAAGTAATTATATTTTAAGTTACATTCTTAAGAAGGCAACTACTTACTAGTTAAGTTACATATTTAAAAAGTAACGTGTAATTAGTTACATTTAAACTTAACCTTATAAGTATTTTATATGATTCTGCATCTTTAATATATACGAAATAATTTTGAGATTTACAAATTTTAATTAAATGAATAAAAGTTGGTGTTTTTAGTTTTTCCTCCAAAAATAAGCTTCCTTAAGACTAACCAAACTTTATGAGCTCTTGATGTAAATGAAACATTGCATTGGCTCAGTTGAAAATTATTCGATATTCGAATCGAAATTTGCGAATAGTAAATTTTAATTATTGCGAAGTTATTCGTATTATTCTTAAAATTCTTTGAAAATCTTAAATTGCTACCCTGGTGGATATATGCGGCGAGAAACGAAAACCCCACGAGATTAATACTATATTAAAATTCTCATCACGGCATCGTTTTCCTCGTGGTGCGTACGGGTCTGAAGATGAGAATTATAAAATTTCCGTAAAAATTTCGAATTTGAATTTAACTCCATAAATTATATATTTTTTAAAAAAATATTACAATTTCCAAAATATTAGACAATATCCCTTGCGCATCATCTAATACAAACTCGAAAGCCGAAATCTTAGTTTCCCGCTCGCCACAAGACGAGCTGACACCCTTAGCCAGACACGCCCTTCTTCTCACTCTAGCTAACAGGCTACGTTCGCATTACATTTTATCTTCCCCTAGCTCGAAATACTATTCGGATCGCCACAGTGCTATGGACGCGATCGATAACTCCGAAATTAGATCGCTTTTGATAGTTTTTTCCGCCTACGCCAAATACGCTAGATATTACGCCCAGAAATGCCGAAAAGAACCTTTGTTTGACGCGACTTTGTTGGCGGTCGTGGAAGGCAATGAGGTAGAGAGATACACGAAAAATTTCAAAAAAAAACGTTACGTATGATTTTAAACGAAGGCATACTATTCTTAATTTCCATATTATAGTGTACTCCAACTAGATATCTGCAAAAATAGACCCGGCCCGGCTCGAATGGGCTTCGGGCACGGCCGGGCCGGCAAAATTGTTAAAAAAATTTGGGGCCGGGCTTGTAAAATTAGGCCCGATGCAGATCACTAGCATGAATACCATATGTAATAATTTTCTTTATATTATACAATTGTTCGATAAAATTAATCCTTTAATATAACCCGAATTTTTGGTTTTTTTAAAATAAATCTACTTTTGCGTAAAACAAAATCCCCAAAGAAATGGAGTTTGAGAAAACACATCGAAAATGTTAAAGCCAAAATGGACGCCGAAAGGATTCGAGAATCGAATCACGATCAACACGAGGAAAAGGGAGAATTTGTTACGCCACTAGGCGTGAAGGATATAGGGGATGATGATAGTTTGGAGACTGTTCAATATTCGAACAACCTTTTGGAAGATAAGGAGACTCCGTTGTACGTTGGAGTCATCAAAGAAGTTATTTTAATAGATCTTATCATTTAAAACCCCCTTTTATAATTTTATTTTAATTTTAATTTGAAATTTAAATTTTTTTTTATAGGCGTTTGATTTGTTACCCAAATTTTTGTATCACGAAGATCTTACCGTCAAGGCCATTGTACTCAATACCTTAGAAGACGGTATCGTATCTCTCCTATCTTTCCCAGGTCTATATATATAATTAAAAGTTAAAAGGAGTTTAAAAATATATGGTAATCGTTTTATTTATTTTTCATAAGCAATAATGTACGATGGACCATCAATCATACTTGTGGAAATTGAATTGGCTTTCGTTTTCTTCATTTTTATAGTGTTTCAAATAGGGATGTTGGTAATAAAAAAATAAAATAAAAGAACGAAAGAAAGAAAGAAGAAAAAAAATCACTAGTTTTAAAGACTAGAGCCCTTCTCATTTTCGGATGATATTACTGAAGTAACTGAATAATTATAAACGAATTTTGATATATAATACTGGAATAGGTTGTTCAACCGCCATGCGCCACTTAGGTGTCTCTTGCCGAGCTATTTTCTAAAACACTGAACATGCTTTCTAAATAATATACCTTACGCTTTGTTATATTAGATTAGATTCATAATTTTTTTTTAAAAAGCATGTTATTATATTTTTTTTATGTTCGATAGTAATGTTTATTCATAGCACAATATAAAATTAAATAGTAAAAAAAATAATAATAATTATCCATCGATATAATAAATACTACACTTTTTTTATCGGTTATTTTATGTATAGTGGTGCTGTAAACATTACTACAAAAAAGAAACGCGTTGCCATTACTCGTGTCCGAAAATAGGGACGCGCGTTACTTACTATCCAAAAAAAGTAACTGGTTACTCGTTACTTAAAAAATTAAATGTTATAAAAAAAGAAACGCGTTACCGTTACCTCTAGAAGAAGGTAACGAATGACTTTCCTTTTCTTCAAAAAAGGTAACTAAGTTAGTAACGACGTTACTTTACAGCACTAATATGAAATTAAAATTATATGAGAAGTAGGTACACATATCAATTTTACTGCAATAAAATTGTACTTTATAATTTCAGTTAAGATGGTTAGGGAAAAGCGAATAGAAATAAAGTACTGTACTTTATTTTTTTTGAAAATTCAAAACCTTTCGTGTTTTTCTTTTTCTAACTCCAGTTTCATTTTTTATTAAATTTGAATGAGTATGATCTGAAATGTGAAAAATTAATAAAGCGACGCATTCTTTCTCGATTGATTATTTGAATCTAAACATTTATAAAACGATGGTTTAAAGTTTTATTAAGCTCCCAATAATTTTTTAGGTCTTAAGGACTTTGAATAGAGTCTAGAGGTCCGCACCTAGCCCGAAGCAGCTCCTGTTTAATAAATATTGTAATTTCGAGTTTGGGCTTAGATTTTTTAAATATGATATCATTTTGTGGAATGAATTGTTATATTTCAAAATTCTTGCAAGAAACACGGTGTCTCAATATGGCAATAATTTAAAAAAAAGACGTGCTGGGCGGACAAATAATTTTTTATATTTCGGGTTGGACATTTCTGGACAATTAAAAAAATTCGTTCAGAGTCGGACCAGGCAGGACAATTTAAAAGAAAAAAAAATTAGACCCGATGCAGATGACTAGTTCGAGTCTCGATAAAGTTCGCGATTCTCGAATGATCGACGAAACATTCGCGAATGGTTTACAAATGTTTTAGACTTTCAAAATGGTCTAAAGTTAGTCCTATATTAAAACGCTTAAATTATTTACACATACCACATGGTCGAACGAGATGAAGAATCCATAGGAATTTCATTTGTTGAAGGCGATTCAGATTTTAAAAATAATTTCTAATTTGACCGAAAATGTGCCTTAAATCGTGAGCGAATTCCGCACAATTTTGCCCTGACTTTCGTATATTTTTATAAATTTATAAGGAAAAAAAAATGATGCATATTAAAAGTACCTTAAAAGTTCAAGATAAAATTGGATAAGGCATACACGGACCCGGGCTACGTGACCCAAAAAAATCATTTAGAAAAAGAAACTATGGAACTAATATTTAATTTTTTTCAGAAGCCTAGTATGATCACAAAATTTTGCTATATACACGCTGGAGGAATACGTTTTCAGTCAAATGAGACTTTTCAAAATTTAAAGATTGCCTTCAGTTAAGAATGCCTTAGAATTGAGAAATCTAGAATCTCTATGGATTCCACATTCCAATTACGACATATATATAAACTAAATAACATGGTCTGTTACTTATAAACTTCTAAATATGTTTTCCCATTTAGAAAAGTTTTTCATGATTATTTTTCGCGATTTATTTAAAAAACCAAATGATTAATTCATCATAAATATAATTATGAAGATATACAACTACCATTAATTCATAACCTATGGATACCCACAAAATCTTGTCTTTCGACTTCACCCGTTGGTTCTCTTTCCTTCCCTTGCCTGATTCGAAATGTCAGAGTCCTCAAGTTAATCCACGATTCCTTAACCCTGACCTCGGATTGCAGAGATTTTGTGAAATCCAGAGTGCTGAAAGAGGTCATCAAGCCTTTGATGTTATGTTATTACGGGGCAGAAGTTAAAGGGAGAACTGGTTCAGCCAACAGGTTTTGCTTGATTTTGTCAGAGACACGAATATTTAAAATGAATAGTAAAACTTTTACTTTAAAAATTAAGTGTTAATCTCTTATGCATATCCACAATTTTTTTAAAATAAGAAATCTGGAAAAATCTTAGTTAAAAAAATTAAACCAATTTTATTTTGTAAAATATACATTATAGTATTTGGCAACGGGTCAATAAATATATGCAAATATTTAATATATCATCGCCTGAGAACTAGATTATTCCACCTCAACATTTTGTCAAAAATGACTCTTTTACATAAATCAAATTTTTTTTTATGATTATACTATTCTATCTACTTTACATAAAATAACTCACCGTAAAATTTACAAAAAAAATGGAGATGGAATAATCTAATTTTCGCGCGACAATATGTTAATACCATTCTACATTACGAAGATACTGCCCTCGAAACATCAATAACTTTTTATAATTATTCGATTTTATATGATGAAGGAAGAAGGATGCACACGTGGCACCTGTCAAGAATTTTCGCAATGAACCGCTTTACCTGTCCGTTTTTAGCTCTTTCATGAAATATATGACTGGGCTCTGCATCAAAGTTATCCATAATTTTATTTTGTCTATGTTCTTTCCCTACCAAGTAAAAATAGGCTTTTACGCGCGTTTTATTTTCAACTATATGAACACGCGCGAGTGTCTAGCAACCATTATTTTTTTTTTAATTTCCGGTTAAAGACGTAATCCTCTCGAGAACAAATGACCAATATTGATAATCATAATTTAAATAATTAAAAACTAATATATTATAATTCGGTTATTTTATAATAATGTCTTTCCACAAAAATATAGGGCCGGTTATGATATATTTTATTAATATTAATTAATTCAAATAACATTCTAATTAGTGTTGTTTAAGGGCTCATTTTGAACCGATATTTTAGCCAGAAAAATATTGCCTAAATCTCGAGATTTCTACAATATATGTCTACACCTTTGTTCCTTCTATGAGCAAAATCTTCAAGCTCGCGTAATATTTTTCTTGACGGAATATTGAGTTTGCCGTTTTTTTTTTGAAAATTGACGACACTAATTAACAACTTTATAAAATATAATCTTCTGATTTTATTTTTTAAAAAACACACTAATTCATATTAAAAGCTATTTTTCTTTGTCAAATATTAGGAAAAGTGTTTTTTTTTAAGATAGTTTTATTTTATAGATGTTGGGTTTTTTATTAAACTCGTGAATCCCTATAATAATTGTGAATTTTATTTTTTTATGTTCTCTGTATCTAGTTAAATTTACCACCCGATATAGAAAGTGACATCATAACGAAAATACTACTCCCCAGTTTTCACGAAGCTTATAACCCACCATTGGCAAAGGTTCAATCCTATTTTTATTATTGATTTAATGATGTATTATTAATCCATATGGAATATATTATATTTACCTTCATATATATATATATAAACCACCAACTATAAATTTCCCATAATAAATAAAAAAATTAATTTAAATTTCTTATGTCCTTTTCTAAATATTCCATTTTAAATGGTAAGTTTTTTTATATTTTGTTACATTTCATATAATATTTAAATATATGTATATGTTAGCGATAGCGTCTATGTTTTACAATTTTATAGCTCGTTTTAATAAATTTAAAAATCGCATTTTACCAGAATTATATTCTATCATGTTTGGAGAATACCTATCTTTTATGAATTGTAGACAATTTTTTTTGTTGACCTTTGGATTCATATATATAATTCATTTATAAAAAATTATATGGAAAATCGAATATAAATTAAATTAAGTTTATAAAAGTTCATAAAAAAAATTTTCTGAAATTCATGGGGTAGGTATATCAAACCTGATGGATGGCATACATTTCCGGTTCGCAAAAAATGATTTTAAAGTTGAAAAAAATAACACAGCTGGAAAAAAACAGATTGACGCGCTAACATATACATATAACTAAACAAATAGAAAAGGATTTTTAGTGCTCTTATTAATTCTTATCAGGGATTTCCCAAAAAATATTAACAATTAATAAAACTTTATTAATAATTGCGGAAAATGTTTGATTTTTTCAAATTTATATATTGATCGTTTATTATATTATATGGTGTATATAGTTTATATTATCTTATACTCTCCTGGGATAATTTAAAAAAAAATAAAATTATTATTACCCTGGTTCAACTTTATACATCCCATTTGTTTTAATAAATCACCAAAAAGTTTAATTTTTTTAAAAAAATAAAAAAAATCTGTTGAATTTAAACCAAATATTAGGTGGCAAAGATTTATCTGGATGAAATGGCTCGATATGATCCTTTTATGGTTTCTTACTACCGTGACGCGTATTTATCTACGAAAACGGATAATAAAAACGATCGCAGCCGAACATAATCATAAAATTACAATGTTATAGTTAATGTATTATGAAAATATTGATAACAAAAAAATCAGGTGGAAAAAATGGAAAATATTTCTGCCAAAAAATGTAAAATTGTGTAATATGCCGTAAATATTTGAATGGGTGGATAAATTTATTTTTGTATATTATTGTTTAAATAATTGAGTATTGGTTTTGAAGATTTTCTTTTCAAAAATTTATTACTTAATAATTGTATTGTATATTAAAGTTTTTAAAATATCTGAATTGCTAAATACTTATCTAGATTTATTTCTGCAAAAATTAATCTGCATCGTTATCTTGATAGCAAGATACATTTTTTAACTATATCCTTATAATATTTGTTTAAGTTTCAAGACATTATTTCTTCTTATATATGTGTATTATAAAATTTTATTTGGATGAAGAAGTATTAATTAGGCACAAAGTCAGAAAGTATATATATTAAATTTCCTTGGTCAATTTACAAGGCTTTTTTCTAAATAATAACTCATAATAAATGAAACAATTTTATTAGAATACTCACACCGTGTCTTCAATAGGAGACCATCCTGGCTTTTAGCTTAAACATGTAACATTATATATAATAAATCAAAGAAAAGGACTATCATGGTAAATACAAAACTGGAGGACTAAATCAAATTAAAGAAAATGTTTAATAATCCCTTTCGCTTTCAAGTAACAAAAAAATTATAATATCGAAAACTATTTAACGATTGTTATAAGGGGATCAAACCATTTTTAGTAGTAAAAAAATCACTTAATTCTTGGATTATGGATTGATAGAATTTTTTAAACATGGGAACATAAAGAAAAATAAGGAAAAACTTTTAGAAGTAACTATGATATGCAACACCAAATTTTAGACTTAATAATAGATTCGAAATTTTAACATTTTTCAGTGAACATGATTATTTTAATAAAAAAATAATTTTTCGGAATCTAGTTATAGATACATTTTCTTAAAGTGTATTGATATATAGACATTTGAAAAAAAATATCTTTTAATCACTGTTTACAATATGGGTTTTCATAAACTAACAATATAAAAATGCCCATTTGTTGAATGTATAACTGATTTGATTAAAAAAAAATCTTGAGCAGACCTCTATATTCCATGATCCACCCATTTTTTTAGTATCGATCCTTACTATCTTCTCTTAGTCTCGCTCCAAACCCACTTCCAACTACATTTTCTAATCATTCTGCTCGGTATACCCAAATCATATTTTTCATCGGTTAGATTTGAATCAACTAGTTACACTTTTGCCACATGGACAAGTGCCTTTCGCTTTCCTTAATCATTTTTTCCCTCGTGTTACCTTCGTTTCGTGATTCATTTTTTTAATCCTTTCGCTTCCATACCATCCTTTCATCTGAGTATATTGTTCTTCGGTTCTGCTCCACTGTTGACTTATGGACAATATACTACTAAAATACGAATCAAATTGCATTAATACTATTCGATTTAAGTTTTTGAATTTAATAATTGGATTAAAGTCATTTTAGAAACCCATCTAAAAAAAGTATCGCGCCCACAGTTATGTCCGGCACCGCATTTGACTAATAATTTCATATTCATTGCGTTTTATTGCCATAAATATTTTATCACCAAGTACTTTGGATTTTAGTCAATGAAAAAATATAAATTGAAATTTTAACTATGCCATGAATCTACTCAAACATTTCATACTATGATACTTAATCATGGATCAACAAAGAAATCAACCAAGCTTCAATGAGAAAAACGAATTGACAACATTATCTCAAATTCTTGTAAATATATAGTATCTTAAATGAATAAATATCAAATAATGCCATTAATTCAAGTTGTGGAAAAATATGGCCATATCTAACTCCAAGGCAGTGAGTTCTTAACACTGACTACACCCTGCAAAAGAAATATCCGATGTTAGATTAAAAAAAGGTGTCTTGGAAAGGTAGATAAAAAAATGAAGTGAATATTAGAAAATTAAATTCTTACCGTTCATATAGTAGAATATCTAATAGCTACCGAAATAAAAAAATAATTAATGAAAATGCCAAAGTGGGCATCATAATTGATGAGACCTCAACCTATGTGAAAGCTTCCATAGAGAACAGTATGCATGCTTAAATTTAGATAATAATTTTTTTGTCTTGTTAACTGATTAAAGATACTATTTTAAACCGATAAACTGATATATAATTTTTACTTTCAAAATTATGTTATTGGAATTTTACCCGTTGTTTGATTTAATAAAGATTACTTCTGATATTCCTAATTCTGAGCTAATTCTCCAATTACATTCTGATCAATTAGTGCCAACGTAATGCTTGGACTAAAATCTAGAATATCAATTAAAATTATCTTATTACCAGAATCGAGTACTACCCTATTTCACAGTCATCAGCTAGTATTTGGATGTTTCTATCAATATTATGAGGGTATTTTTGAATAAAACACGATTAAATGATCAATCCAATGATAACATGATAAGCATATATTCCATATGGAACTCTAAATTGTAAAAAAATGAACAAATTACCCTTTTTAAAATAAAAACAGTTTGGACTTATCCTACATAATAAAATCATTTTTTTTTTCAAAAATGCTAGACATTTGGAAATGACCTACTTTATGCTCAGCCTTTTGCTAATTGCTCAATATAATATCAGAATATCTATATTACCAAATGCCTTACAAATCGAGATTGTTTTGATTCATTAAAAGTCTCTGATAATTAATAAGGTGATCCCTCAGATGTCTAAAAAATTCAAAGAAATTATTTAGGGATATACGTAAAGAAGCCGCTAAATATTTAATTATAAAAGAGTATAATATGTATATCTTGTTAAAAAAAAATTTCCTTTTTATCTCAAAACAACTTGTTAGAAAAAGTCAATGGGCTCAGAGACATGCCAATTGAACAAATAATAACTTTCCTAGCGAGAAGGAAAAGAAAGGTTAGGAATGTTAATAATAACTTATTAAAATTTGAAATGAATGTGATTTTCGAGATTGTATTAAAAACTAGCTCTAGCCCAGAAGAAACCACATTCCTTTAAACAATTGAAGAAAAAGAGATTGCAAATAACAATTAGCATTAACACATCTGAGAAGTAGAATGGGGCTTTATTTTAACGAACGAAGATTGGAATCCGGAAATAAAAATAGCTCAATCATATTTCTAACTTTATGAGAATACGCTTTATCGAAAACGCCATCTCCGCGTAGAATGTTCATTCGTAAAATCATGGGCAAATGCTTGCAGACTACTTGCGACAGATAGAAGAATCCAATTATACTTTATGTAAGACTTACACAATGATTAATTTAGGATTCTATTGTTAAAATTGAAATTTAGAGGTAGGGAAAAATTTATTGAGCTGATATGATATCACATCTATATACAAATATATAATTTAATAATTGTCAGATTTTAATGAGATTTTATTTGATGATTATCAATATTTATATCAACTAAGGATGCTCAAAAAATCGAACATTAAATTATTTGATTTCTTTTTAAACATTGTCTAGAAATACTGATCGAAATATTAGATATATATATTTTTTAAATTAATATAAATTAAATAAAATAAATTATAATATACGTGTTATCGTTATCCATTGCGTAAAATAAAGTTTTTTCTGGGTTTTGTTTTTGTAACTAAATTTACTCGGATATATTAAAATTAATTTTAATTCAAATATTTTTTTTTTGATATAAAAAAATGTGAAATAAAATTATATCTTCTAAAGGATATAGAATAGGAGAGTATTATTAATATTGTAGTATTAGAAGATGATGAACATGAAAAGATCGATAAAAAAATTAGAAGATAATTCAATTATAGAAAGATATTCAATTTAAAAAAAAACATCAATTCAAACATATGCAAAAATAGTGTCACTTATTTATCAAATTTTTTTTATCATCTACTAAGAGAGAGATTTGCTAAAAGAAAGTGATTGGCAGAATTGAAGAAAACGCAGACCTACCCATTTGTCTGAAAATTTATATGAATCCACTTTCCGTCATGTAAGAGAATTTTCTCGAAGATAGGAAATAAGGATAAGCAAAAAAAAGAAGTAGAATATCTCCGAAAAATGGTGCAATGATTGATGACCCTATATTCTTGGGTGAAGGATGGCTCAAACTTGCAGACTGATTCCAGTTGATTGAAACCAAAGATTTGTTTTAGAATTACATGACAATATTATATTTTGTGTTTTTTTATATCTTATATTTTTATTCGTGTTCCGGTCATAAAATTGACATTTAGAAATGCCCGGTATTTAAATTTTCGTTATAACGGCATCCGCCCTAAGATCTCGTCATTCCTAGATGATTGGTCCAGATAAAGTCCACCCACTCAAAAAAATTTGGAGACCCAGAGCGCCTGAAAGTTTGCATTCACAAAAGGTTGCCATCACTACTACAAAATATTTCTTTTTAGCTATTTCGACATAATGCAAATTGTTACAAATTAATAAAAATATTTTATAATTCAAAAAAGAATGAATTGTCTATAGGAAATTTTTTTTATTTTATTATAAGACTTATATGCCATGAATCTTAAATTTGTGTATGTTACATAACATGAAACAGGAATAGATAAAGATTTAAATTAAAGATTTTCGCCTAAGCATTTTTTTTTTCCTGATCCGATGATATCTGCATTTGTATGTTTATTAGCTTAGAATAACCAATAATTTATTCCGTTTCAATATAAATTCTATAAATTCTAAAGAATCTAAGCCGCTATAGTAAAAAGATGAGTAAATCTTATTTACACTTCAATTAACAGCAAAATTTTTTTTAGAAAAAACTAATGAATAATTATGAATAATTAATCTCAATATTAATGTTTAATTATAAGCAAAGAAATTCTGTTATTTGCTAACATTAACACTAAATACAATATATTTAATGAATCTGTTTATCTTTTATAATTGAAAAAAAAAACAAGTATTATGAGAAAGAATTGCGATAAATTCAACAAAAAAAAATTTATGTAAAAATAAAAATAAATTAATTCCAAAAAATTGGATAAAATAACATTTACTATAATTCCGTGTCCAAATAATATTTGTAATTTTATAAATATATCATGAATAAATATATTA